GGCCGCGACCTGACCGACTGGATGGTCAAGCTGCTGACCGAGCGCGGCTACTCCTTCACCACCACCGCCGAGCGCGAGATCGTGCGCGACATCAAGGAGAAGCTGGCGTACGTGGCGCTCGACTTTGACCAGGAGATGCAGACCGCCGCCTCCTCCTCCTCGCTCGAGAAGTCGTACGAGCTGCCCGACGGCCAGGTCATCACCATCGGCAACGAGCGCTTCCGCTGCCCCGAGGCGCTCTTCCAGCCCTCCTTCCTGGGGATGGAGTCGGCGGGCGTGCACGAGACGACGTACAACTCGATCATGAAGTGCGACGTCGACATCCGCAAGGACCTCTACGCCAACGTCGTCCTCTCGGGCGGCACCACCATGTACGCCGGCATCGCCGACCGCATGTCCAAGGAGATCACCGCCCTCGCGCCCGCGTCGATGAAGGTCAAGATCATCGCGCCGCCCGAGCGCAAATACTCGGTGCCGCGCGCCCCATTCGCGCGCCCCATCGCCTCCCCACGCTTCTCTCACCGCCCACTCCCCTCCTCGCGCACAGGTCTGGATCGGCGGCTCCATCCTCTCGTCGCTCTCCACCTTCCAGCAGATGTGGATCTCCAAGCAGGAGTACGACGAGTCGGGCCCGTCCATCGTGCACCGCAAGTGCTTCTGAGCTGTGACGAAATAGAGGGGGGGGTGCGGTAAGACGCGCGCTCGGCTTGCGCCACGAGCATCGCCATCGGGGCGCAGGGCGGCGGGGCGGGGCGCTGGGCGGCTCGCGCGCGCAATGTATCTTACAGTGGTTTCTGTGAACTATGATCTCCTTCCAAACTTGAAAAAAATCTGGTGCAGCATGTTTCGCGTTTTCGCCTTTTCGACTCCGAGAGCTGTCCGCTCTGCCGTCTGCGGCTCGACAGACGAGGACACGGCGCCGCTCACACGTCACAGTCACACACTGGGAGACGGGGACAGGCGCGACAGCGACAGGCCGCCGGCGCGCGGGCATGCGTGGGGGGCGATGGGGGCACACATGGACATGGACATGGACGGGCAGCCCCATTGCCAGCCGCGACGCGCGCGAGGCACAAGCAGCGCGGCACCGCTGCTACATGGCGCTGTGCGAGCTGGACTCTCGATGTGTGCGGGTGTGGCGGTCGAGATGCTTCCCGGCCCAGCACGCTAGAGACGAGCACGCGACCCGGCTCCACGCGACCTGTCCTCTCGCTCTACGCCATCTTGCCGAGAGAGTAGTCGCAGTCTCTGCCGCCGAGTTCGTCGAGCAGCGCCGCAAAGTCAGTCGTGACCGCCCCCTCGCCCTCGTTCATGCTCCGCAGGTCAAAGGAGCGACCGCGGTACGCCGGTATCCGCAGCGCCTGCACCAGCACCTCCGCCACGTCCTCGCGCGGGATCGACCGCTCCCCGACGGTCCGCTCGTCATCGACCCCGAGGACGAGCTGCCGCTTGCCGCCGGGCTCGTTGAGGAGGCCGCCCGGGTGGACAATGGTGAACGGCACGCCGCTGTCGATGAGGTACTTCTCCGCCTTGCGCTTCCACAGCAGGATGTCGCCACCCTTCGTCGAGCCGTCCGGCAAGCTCTCGCGCCCGAGCGCGTTCAGCATGTTGCCCGGGTCGGTGCCGCCCATCGAGGAGCAGAGGACGACGTGGATCGCGCCGGCAGCCTTGGCGCCGTCGATCTGCGACTTCTGGCCGAGCCAATCGACGGCCTCCGGCTGGCCGTTCGGGAAGCCAAAGATGGGGCGGCCCGTCGACTCGTCCGTCTCTCCGCTCGGCGCCGGCTTGGCGCTGGTGCCAATGATGAGAGCGTCGCAGCCGGCGAGCGCAGCGGCGATGGCGGCCCCGTCGGTGACGTCGGCCACGGTCACCGCATCGGCAGGCACACCCGACTTGACCAGCGCCGCCTTGCTCTCCTCGCTCCGCACAATCCCGACCGGCTCAAACTCGGGCAGCGCGAGCAGCTTCCGGAAGGCGTGCTGCCCCGTCTGGCCGCCAGCGCCGGTCACAGCGACGCGGAGCGCGTCCAGTGGCCCGACCAGGAGCAAGAGGGATAGACGTAACATCGGGATTTAAGGAGAGGAGTGTGCTCGTCGGCCTGTGGGCCCTGGCGAGTATAGGCGAGTACAGGATCCAGTACCCGGTACCTAGAGACCACGCCTGCTTTCACAGCACCCTCGCCTCGAGCATGTGCAGCGAAAAGCATCCTAGCATCCTTTTTCCAGACGGATCCCCCCCTGTGAAAAAGTGAGGCGTGGTCTCTAGAAAATCCCGCCTAAAGGGACGGCGCACCCTTGTTGGTTAGGCTGTACGAGGTTTTCCTCTCGCACCCCGTCTGTTTTCCTTTCCTTTTTTCTCTACAGCACCCTCTCTTTTCCTCTCTATTTTCCCGAGAAAACTCCGTGGAAATCGTCAATTTTTGGCTCTGAGCCGAGTCTGAGGCTGGTTTGGGCCCAAAATCAGCCAAATTTTAGGCCAAATCGTCATTGTCACTTCCTCCTCTGTCGCGTCGTTCTCTTCTGCCTCGTCCTGCGACGCCGCCGCCTGCCGGCCCTTGTTCTCGCGGCTTCTCCCGCCTTTCGGCGCAACTCCGTCCTCCTCGCGGCGTATCCTGGCCCCTCGAGTCTATCGAGCTCCCCTCGCGCAAGGACCACATTTCTGACTCACCCTCGATCATTTGGTGAATTTTGTTTTCCAAAGGAATGTCAGGACACTGCCCTGCTGGTCGGCCGCATCCGCGAAACACAGAGACAGACAACCAACTCTGACCGATGCTCTCCCTGCACATCCTGGCCGAGACTTTCGTCGCCGCTCCGCGTGCGCCCGCCTCCTCATCTCACGCCCGCGGCGGCGGGCCGCCTGCGATGGCGGCCGGCGAGCCTCCGCATGTCGCTGTGGTCGGCGCTGGATGGGGTGGATGGGCCGCTGCACAGACGCTGGTCGAGAATGGCTGCCGCGTGACGCTGCTCGACTCTCTGCCCGACCCGACCGGGGAGACTCCGTACCTCACGCCGACTGGCAAGCCGTTCGAGGCCGGCACCCGCGGCTTCTGGAAGGACTACCCCAACATCGAGGCGCTCACGCGGTCGCTCGGGCTGCGGGAGGAGGATGTCTTCACGCCCTTCACGAACTCGTCCTTCTACTCGCCCGACGGGCTCGAGGCGACGGCGCCCGTCTTCTCGTCGACGAACCTCCCCTTCTCCGACGCGCCGCTGCCCGAGCTGCCCTCGCCTCTCGGCCAGGTCCTCGCGACGTTTCAGCTCTTCGAGCGGATCCCGGTGCCTGACCGGGTGACGGTGCTCGGGCTGCTGTACGCGACGATCGACTTCACGCGGGACGAGGAGGCGTTTCGCGCGTACGACCGCATGACCGCGCACGAGCTCTTCCTCCGCATGGGCATCTCGGAGCGCTTCGTCCGCGACTTTCTCAAGCCGACCCTGCTCATCGGCCTCTTCAAGCCACCCGAGGAGCTCTCGGCGGCGGTGGCGATGGAGCTGCTCTACTTTTACGCGCTCGCCCACCAGACCTCCTTCGACGTGCGCTGGATCCGCTACCCCTCCATCTCCGAGCTGCTCATCGCTCCCCTCGCCCGCTCCCTCCTGGCAAAGACTCTCCCGCCCGCCGGAGAGGCCGCCGGAGAGGCGGGCGGCGGGCCCGGCGGGGAGGATAGCGGGGCCGGCGAGGCGGACGGAGCGGGCGGGGCCCCCGCGCTGACGGTGCTGGGCGGCAGCCGCGTGCAGAGCGTGCAGCTGGACGCCGCTGGCAAGGTGAGCGGGCTGAGCTACGCGAGCCGCGGAGGGAGCGAGGCGCTGACCGGCCTGAACGGCTGCGTGCTCGCGCTCGGCTCAAAGGGGATGAGCGGCGTGGTGGGCGGCTCGCCCGAGCTGGCGCGCGCGGCGCCGGAGCTCTGCAAGGCGGCCTCGCTCGGCGGCATCGACGTGATAGCTTGCCGCCTCTGGCTCGACACCACCGTCGAGACGCGCACGCCCGCTAACGTGTTTTCGCGCTTCGAGGCGCTGCGCGGCGCGGGCGGCACTTTCTTCATGCTCGACCAGCTGCAGGGTCCGGCGTACGGCGGCGGCGACGAGGCGCTGCGCGCGCTGTGGGGCGGCGACGAGCCGCAGGGCTCCGTGGTCGCATGCGACTTTTACAACTCTGGCGCGTCTGGATGGGCTTGCCAGCGGGCCAGAGATGCAGCGCACGTCTCACCTGCCCCTCCCCCCCCGACCCCCACAGGAGCGCTCATGGGTCTGTCGGACGAGGACGTCGTCGCCACGCTGATGGAGGACCTGCTGCCCGCGGCCGTGCCCGGCTTCTCGCGGGCGAACGTCGTCGACTCGTTCGTCGCCCGCTACCCCGGCGCCGTCTCCTGGTTCTCGCCCGGATCGTTCGACAAGCGGCCGCCGCTGCAGACGCGCGTGCCGAACCTGGTCTGCGCCGGCGATTGGGTGCGCATGGGCGAGTTCGAGCACGGCGCAAAGGGGCTGTGCCAGGAGAGGGCCTACGTGAGCGGCATCGAGGCGGCCAACGCGCTCGCGCGCAGCGGCGCGCTGGGCGTGCGCAACAACCGAGTGCGGCAGGTCAGCCCGGTGCGCGACGACGAGCCGCAGGTGGTGGCGGGCCGCGCCATCAACAAGCAGATCTACGACTCGCTGCTCAAGCCGCTCGGCCTCGACAAGCTGCTCGTGCGCTGAGAAGGGCCGCGCGCGGTGGACTTATTTAAAGTACTGTGTAATGAAATCTCTCTAATGTCTCTGTGGAGTCTGGTGGCATGCTCTCGTTGCACGTTGGAGCACTTGGTCTTTGGAGTGCGGTCAGTAACCTTCCCATAAGTTAACGCATAAGGGAAGACGACGCAAAGGTTTTTAAAAAGAATTCTTCGAAAAAAGAACTGCGAGAATTGCTCGGCGTCGGCTGTAACACAGGTACACCACGGGAGCCGTGACACAGGTACACCACGACAGTGTCCCTCGGCTCGCCCGTCGCGCATCCAGACCTCCATGGACGACGTTCGGCACGCGCGCTTGTTTCAGAGGACCTTCGAGCGACGCAAGCGGCGGCAGGCGGACGTCAAGGCGTCCCGGCCCGCCGCGGCCAAAGAGAATGTCGCGGCGGCCACTCTGAAGCCGCAAAAGGCACGAAAGCGGGCAAAGAAGACCGCGGGCGCCAGGGCGATCGCGCCGCCGCAGGTCGAGGAGGAGCAGGCCGAGCTGCCGGCACGGATACGCAGCCAGGTGGAGTACTTCGCCCGCCTCGACCGCACCGTCCTCGAGACCGACGCCGACGTGGAGCCTGCGGAGCAGCAGCAGCGAGTCGGCCAGCCAGCCGTCCCCACGCCGCCGCCGCCGGTGGCGGTGGCGCAGGCCCCCGCCGAGGCAGAGCGGGATCCCCTCTCGGACCCCTCGGCTGCCGCAGACGCCGCCGAGGTGAGCAGCCAGGTCTCTGCCACCGAGTCGGTGGCCGGCTCTTCTGTCGCAGGCGGCTTGGCGGATCTCTTGCAGGAGGAGGGCGAGGAGGAGGATGGGGAGGCTGCGAGCTGTGGCGCGGCGGCGGCGGGGAGCGACGCGGAGGGGGAGAAGGAGGGCAAGGAGGACATGGAGGGCGAGGAGAAGATGGAGGCGTCTCTTGCAGAGGCGTCTCTTGTAGAGGCGTCTCCTGCAGAGGGTGCTGTGTCTCTTGCTGTGGCGCGAGGCGACAGCTTCCGCCTGGCGGACGCGGCCTCGGTAGGCAAGAAGAGGGGCGAGGAGGAGGCGGGCGAGGGGGAGGAGGCGGGCGAGGATGGGGGAGGCGCCGCCCGCACGCCTCTCGCCGGCCGCACGCCGGTTGAGCCGACCACGCGCCAGGGCGCGCGAGCGGCGGGTCCGCCGCCGCCTGCCGCCGCCGCAGGCGACGGCGTGCACTCCGATGACACGTCCACGAGACGTCCACGACACGTCCACGAGGTGCCCCTCAGGCGACAGCATCTACGAGCTCCTCCTCTCTCGCGCGCGCGAGGTCGACCGGGCGATGGCGGGCTGCCGGCCGGGTCACGTCGCGGACACGTCCCACGACACGTCCCTAGGTCGACCGGGCGATGGCGCGCGAGTTGCCGGCCGGGTATCGGTTTGAGGAGTGTCGCGAGTGGGGCCACCCGGGCCTCGCGGCGCTGATGGCGCAGTTCGCGGAGGAGGACCCGAACCGGATCGGTCCCTCCTCGGCTGGGGTGCGGACGCGGCCTGATAGCGACCTGATAGCGACCTCCTCCCCCCCGGCAGACGCCCCGCCCTCCTGCCCCCCTCCCCCCTCTTCGCCCCCTCCCTCAGCCGCGTCGCCCCGCCCTCCTCCCAGGCCGAGCCCCTCGGCGGTCAGCAGCACGTCCTCCTCCTCCTGCGCGGCACCGAGGCCGTCGGGTACGCCTACGGCACCCGCCACCACGCAGGCAAGCTGGACAGCCCCGTCGGCGTCAGAGCCTCTCGGACCCCTCTCGGCACCCCCGCCCGGTGGGCCCTCCCCCCCCCCCCCCCCCAGGCTCGCTGCTCGACGGCCCGCGGCTCCACCACCTCTTCCTGCGCCGCGACCTGCGGCGCAAGGGGCTCGGGCTCGGCCGCAAGCTGCTGCTGCGCTGGTGTGAGGGCGTGCCGCCGCAGTACCGCGCCTTCGGCGTCAACTCGCCAAACGAGCTGATGAGGCGCGTGCTCGGCAGGCGAGCCGCCCACCGCCTTAAGCCCACACCCGCCCGTCAGGCGCACGCACACACCACCCCATCCCCCGACTCCGCAGCCCCGCCGCAGCTCACGCCGCGACTGTGCCGCCAGGCTGGGAGGCAAGCACCTCGCAGGCCACGACGAGCGGGACGGCTGCGGGCAGAGCGTGGGCTACTACCTGCTGAAGCAGCCGGAGTAGCCTCTCCTCGCTGCGCCTATAGACACAAGGCTGGTGTGCGCGGGGGTCTCACACGGCGCTCGTGAGCGTGCCGAACCCGTCGACTAGCTTTCCGCTGGCGGCACGATGTCCCATTTTTCGTGTTGAATAAGAATCGGGCGCGGGCATGCGCCATGGAAGCGTGCATGGTCCATGGTCCATGGAAGCGTAAGAGTTTTAGACATTAGAGATAGAAGTTGAAGAAGAACGTGATTTTCCCCCTGAGCCCTCTCCCTCTCCCCCTCTCTCCGTCTCTCTGTGTTTGTTGTTTGTTGCTCTGTTTTTTTTTTGCTCGTCTCAAAAGAAATAAATAAATAATAAAAATACACAAGAGGATGGGAGGACGGCAAAAAGTAAAAGAAAGAAAACAGACAACCCAAGGGAGGGATGTGGGAGTAATACGGCACGCCGCCACCACACAGGGATTTTAAGGAGAGGAGTGTGGTGGTGCTAGCCGTCGCCCACCCTTGGGCGTCTGCCTCTTCCTATGTCTCTTTTCGCAGTCCCTCGCCGCTTCTCGCTGCAACCTTCAAAAGCTTCATGCCACCTTCGCGGTCGTCCCACTCTCGTCGTTCTCCCTCCTGTCGCTTCATCCTCTGTCGCGTCGCTCTCCTCTGCCTCGTTCTGCTGCGCCGCCGCTGTCCGCCGATCCCTTGCTCTCGCGGCTTTTTCTCGGCGCAAAAAAAAGAACGAAAGAAAACAGACAACCCAAGGGAGGGATGGGAGGACGGCACGCCGCCACCACACAGGGATTTTAAGGAGAGGAGTGTGGTGCTAGCCGTCGCCCACCCTCGGGCGTCTACCACTTCCTATCTCTCTTCGCAGTTTCTCACCAATTCTCGCAGCGACCTTCATGTCACCTCTCGTTCTTCTCACTCTCGTCCTCGTTCTCTCTCCCCTGCTGTTTCATCCTCTGACTCATCGCTCTCCTCGGCCTCGTTCTGAGACGCCGCTGCCGTCTGCCTTGCTCTCGCTGCTTCTCTCGCCGCTCTGCGTAACTCCGCCCTCCTCCGCTCGCGGCATAATTTGGCCCCTCGAGTTTATCGAGCTCCCCTCGCGCAAGGACCACATTTCTGACTCCCACTCCGATTGTTTCGCGCCCATGTCTGTATGGCAATCGAAGCTGCCTTCCCCACTACCTGTAGTTCACTCGTCACCTCTCCCGCGAGCTCCCCCCTCTTTCTTTCGGGTATGGAGTCTGTCAGTGCTGGCAGCGTGCAGGCAGGCAATCACGGGCGCTATTTTGTCGTACGCCTCTTCGGTGAGCGCTCCAAATCTAGACCCTATTGCCTTTAAGGAGGTTGCTCTCGCGCGTCTCAAGGATGTCGCCGTGTCTTTTGATTCAGGCGCCTCCCGTTCGACTCTTGCTGTCGCCCTCGCCGTGTGTTTGTCAAGCTTCCGCATGAAGTGACGCGCCTCTTCCTTATTTCCAGCGCAGCTGCCACTCAGTACGTGCGCCAACGACGCCTGTGGCGGCTCACTGTCTTCTTGTGTCCAGTCGTCCCAGTCTCTCCGTTCTCCGATTCTCCTCCTTGCCTCACGCGCCTCTTTTGCGGCCGCATCCCTAGCCGCCTTGCACGCTCTGCATCCCCAAAACGCACTCCTCGTGGCGGGGCCCCTCATTCCCCGTTTCTTTTCCCCCTCCAGAATGCGCCTGTGGTGTGCACCGTGTGGCACCCCTACCTGTTGTCTCACCCTGGCTCCCAAGATCGTTTTGGTCGTCACATTGTGACCCCCGACGTCGTCAAATGTCGCTCGTCTGTCCTTCCCCCCATTCTCATCTGGCAATCTCATCTTATTGTCCCATGGTGTTTGAGGCTGGCTACCGCCACTTCGCTCCACAACCGTCCCGCCACCCCTGCCGTGTGCGATCCCGGCCTCACCTTCTACCCTTATAAGTCTCTCGTGTCGGCGCCGACGCTCTTTTAACGTAGAACGTCCCAGCTGAACACCGCCCGCCACGATCGATCAGTCCACAATCGTCGGCCCGCAGCGACCCGCAGCGATGGATGCCGCCGCCCCCCCGGCCCTACGGCCGACGCGCCGATGCACGACCGGCCTCCGTGGGATTTCGTAATAAATAAATAATAAAGGGCACGCCAAACGAGGGGTGGGAGAAGAATTTTTTTTTGTGCCTCATACGGCGAGGTTTCTTTTGGAGCCCGGCAAAACCTCGTCGTCGTCCACTCCAGCTCGCGTTTCAGGTCCGCGCAGTTATGCCACCCGGCCGCGTTGCGACAGCTGGAGGCGGCGTGGGTGGCGCCGACTTCAGTGGCAGCGACGACAGTGAATCTGAGGAGGGCCGCCACTGGAGCGACGAGAGCGAGGCAGAGGAGGGCGGCGAGGAGGAGAGTGGCGACGAGAGCAGTGGCGAGAGCGGCGATGCGCCGGCTGGGACATCGGAGGCGGCTAAAGCGCGGAAGCGCCAGAAGCAGTGGGAGCGCAAGCACTTTGTGGTCACAACCAAAGGAGCCAAAGGCGGCACAGTCTACAGGACCGAGCTGCTCCCAGACTACTCCTTCCACACGCGGGAGGGGTTTGAGCAGTTTCTTGCCGGCAATAAGTTTCAGAAGCTGCTCGCCGAGTGCCGCAAGGGCATGCGCACCCACAACGACAACGAGCGGCTCAAGGCCAAGGCTCAGGCGCGCAGGGCGCGCGCGTCAAAGCGGAGGACGTTGAAGAAGCGCGAGCACAGGGAGAGGAGGAAAAAGCAGAGCAGTTCCCTCGAGGAGGATGAGATCGCAAGGCGCAAGGAGGCGTTTCAGGCAAAGAAGGCGAGGCGGCTCGCGCGCAAGGAGGCCGCGACGAGGGCCCTGGGCGCCCCGAGCGGAGCGGCATGACATGGCGCCATAAAGCCGTACCACACGGCAGCACGTTTGTGAGGCTTCGTACGTGGATACTGCTACATGTTTATCTCTCTCTCGAATGTCTCATTCAAATATGTAGGTGAATAGATGAATCCGGACCGTGAATCCCGTGAAGAGTCGGACACCAGACACGCTCCTCGCGAGAGAGCCCCCGCGGCGCGCGACTTGCCCCCCGCCGCTCGGAACTATGTCCACTTGGCAAGCGGAAGCGACGTGGCCCACCGCTCGGAACTATGTCCACGCAATGTGGGCTTGCTAGAGCGTCGCTGAGAGAATGACCACCAATACGAAAAGCGTTCCAGAATCTCGGCACACGATCTGCGATGGCCTTTGAGCTGTCGCCTGTCGCCGAGCTAGAGGCAGGGTAGGCAGGGGCAGCACGAATTTGCGCAGATTTCGTAGGGGAGCAGCGCCACGGAGCAGCAGACGCAGAAGGCGCAGGTGAGGCAGAATGTCAGGAGAAAGGCCAGTACACCGACCAGGGTGTATGTTGCATAAATAGCTGGTGAGATCGTCGACACGTACTGTCGGAACCGGTCCACGGTAGGGTCAAGGCTGTCCCGGACGCCCTCGCCGACTGCAGACTCGACCACCGTGTCCTCGGACGCAACACCCCAGAGCCTCCGCACGTGAAACCCCACCCATGCTGGGAGGACCTCAAGCTCAGTCAGCTCTCTGCGGTGCGCGCCCGCCGAGGGGACCAACTGCTCAGGCTCGTCGAGCGAGCCAGCGGCGATGCTGCGTTCCTGCGGAGTTGCCAAGGCTGCACACCCTGTCACTATCAAGCCGACAGCCAACGCTAGCGCCGCTCGACCCATCGTATGTAGCTGTGGCGACGGGCGGCGCCTATTCGGCGCCCTTTTGGCCGGAATACTGAATTTGGATTTGCCGACGGCGCAACTTGTAAACGCGCGCCAATTTGCCCGGCTCCTCCCCATCGCTACTACCATGGTGCGCGTCGCGGCCGTCGTCCTCAGCTTGTTTGTGATCGGAGGCGCTTACCAGGTGCGTGCGCTGGACGTCTCGCGCCACGCTGCTGCGATGGAGCTCGACGAGGCCGAGCCGCACATGCAAATGCCTTCGGCCGGGGCCGCCGGCTCGCCAGACGTGCTGCGCAAGCTGCAAGAGATGGACCCCGAGGTGGAGCGATTTGCCGGGTACATTGCGACCGTTACGCCCGCGATCTTTGCGACGTACACCCTCCTTGGCTCTCTCGGTTGCTTCCTGATGTTCTGCTTCACCTGCGCTTTCACCGCATGCTGCACAATCGCGCTGCTGCCGTACGAGATCTGCACGGGGAACAGCTGCTGCCCGTGCCTCCCCTGCCTCTAGAGCAGGGTGCTAGTGTCGCCTTCCATGCTATTTTGGTCAAGTTCCACGCGAGCTGACGACGGGTGGCATGAGGCGGCTACCTGGCATGAGCAAAGCACACAGGCCGCAACGCAAACCCTCCTATCCTCTCCCTTATATTGCCCAGCCTGCCAGGCAGGATGTACAAAGGGCGAAATATTTGTCAGCCCCCCGTCTGCATTGCTCAATTTGTTTGCGCAGTTTGTCAGTGGGTTGTGGTCGTGTGTGTCTGGGGGCGGGGCACCCTGTGTTTCGTTGTTGCGTCTGTCGCGCCGCCGCGCGGGGGACAGGCGCTGCACCCGCAACCGCTAACCTTTTGCCAGAGCCGCGTGGCACCGTACTCGCAGCGTTTGTCATGCTGTCTGCAAAATGTCCACAGCTGTCTCTGGGCGGCATCTTGAGTGTCGTTCCGCTTAATACACACCACTGACTCAGAGCGAGACTCGCGGCGCGCGCGCCCCCCGCCCATCGAGGGGGGACTCATAGAGCAGAGAGATGCCCGTCGGCGACTAGCCGGCATCACACGAGGCAAAGACGCCAGGAGGGCGAGCGTCGCACGGCGCCCACCTCGCGCGAGTTGAGGTTGGAAGCGCGGCGGTGGACCTGCTGCTGCCGTCCAATAGCCTCGTCACACGGTGCGAGTAGATGTCGGCCGATAGCATTCCTGCAACAGGTTCACCGCAAGCTGGAGGGCGACTTCGCGGCCGGGGCACCTGCGGTCACCCCTGTCGCCGCACGAGTTGAAGCTAAAGAGCTTCGCCTCGGGCCCCCACAGCATCGCCGCGCGCTCATACGGCTTGAACTCCTTCACGTCGTCGCCCCACATGTTCGGGTCCATGTTTGCGTTCACGTACGAGAGAAGCGTCGGGGTGCCCGCGGGAAACTCGCGCAGGCCGCCCGCAGTGGGCAGCTTGGTCGGCTCTGCGAGCTTCATTACCGTCTCATAGACGGCGGGGTTGCGCCGCACGTTCTCGAGCACGACCAGCCGCAGCTTCTCGCGGTCGTCCCAAGGCATCGCAAAGTCGGCGGGCGGCGAGCGGTCCTCGCTGAGCGGGTTGAGCTCGCCGCCGCCGAGAGCGAAATAGGTGACGTGTGAGTTGCCCACGAGGGCGGCGATGATCGTGACCGAGGCGACCTGCCGAATGAACTCGTCCTTGGACGGGCAGTTTGGAAACTCGGTGTCCACCACGTACTCCCTCAGCGCGGGCGACTCAGCCATCGCCGCGTACATCGCCTTCATGTGTGCAGCGCCCATCTTCATCGGGGCCAGATACTGCAGCACCGCGGCTTTGCCCGCCGCCCACGATGCCCATGCCGGGACCGTGTCACCAAAGTCGATCCCGAATAGCACGTAGAAGAGCGCCCGCACGAGAAGCTCCTCGCGCGCCTCGTTGAGCTTCTTCGTCGCGTAGCCTTTCTTGGGGAGGACATTCTCCGCCCAACCCTCCTCGCGCGACCTCCGAAGAGTCTCTAGGAACGCCTCTCGGATGCCGACGTCGTCGTAGATGCGCCGCATCACCTGCAGGGAGCCGCTCGCGCCGACTGAGAATCGGTGGAGGGCACGGGTCCGATCTGCGAAAGCGCGTTGCCGGGTCGTCGAGGCTGCCACGCTTCAGCGCCTCGTCGTTGGCGATGTACTTGGAGAACTGCGCCCGGAATGCGCGGTGGTGGCCGAAGTTCATTGGGCACTTCCCATTCGGCTTGGAGAGTGGGAAGATGACGTCATTGTCGCCCATGAAGCAGGAGGTGCGGGCGAAGCTGCAGACCGAGGCTTCGGACCTGTCCGAGGTGGGCAGGAATCCGTACATCGGCTTCTCTCCGAGGAAGTTGCCTCGGTCCTGCGGTCCGGTGGTGAGCTTCTCCACGTACGCGGCGTCGGCGATGCAGACCTGTCGCGCGGCATCACAAGGAGTCGGAGTGGGGGAGGATAGAGACCGCAGGCCATGGTAAGGGGCGATGGCCGATGGCACGCCAGGAAGCAGGGGGTGCCGCGTTTTGTGGTGGGACAAACCTTGTTGCTCATAAAGAAGCTGTGGCCGCCGTTATAGGCGGGCAGCGTGGCGTACGCTACGCGGGCGTCGCCGAAGAACTTGGTACCCCACGTCATATAACAAAAGCCTGGGACGTAGGCGCACCTGACGGGGGCACAGTGCGTCAGTGGGGCTGTCGAGGCTCCGAGTATGAGAGGCAGTGGTGACGGGGTCCTGGCAGTGGTGTGTGCAGTGGTATGCGCGGTTGGGATGGCGCGTTGCCCAGGGGAGAATGGCAGTGTACCAGCTAAGGTCACCATGTGGCGCAGCAGTCGCAACTGTTGTACGGTGAGCAGTAGGTCACATCGCCGAAAGGGCGGACGCACGGCACGCCCTTGCAGCAAAGAAGGCCGGTCCCGGGCCTCTCGGACAGGTACCACGCGCTGAAGCGGGCGTAGTGCGACTGGTGCGGCTCAACGATGCTGCCCCACCAGTCCGCGTCCTCGTTTTTGCAGCACATCGATGCGCACGAGTAGCGCCACGCACAGCAGCCGGAGTAGAGTCCGTCGTACACGCACTCGTAGGGGACCTTGTACCACGGCGGCGACTCCCAGTCCACGGGATGCGCACGGAAGGCACCGTAGCCCAACTCAGCCCGGGCGGACTTGCCTGCATCGGCGCTGTCATAGCGGTGCATTGCCAACGGCTCGGATGGGGACTGGGATGATGCGCGCGACAGCTCGCGCTGTCGCCGTACGTAGTCCGCGGTCGGTTTTGGTACTTTGGGCGCATACTCTTTGGCCATCTCACCCAACAAGGGCGGGGGGCGCTGCGAATCCGGAACGCGCCTCTTTTGCCCCGCGACCGAGTTTCATTTCACACCCAAATAAAAAACAAACCGTGAAGACGAAATTCCAAATCCCATCCCCCCCTTGGGTGGGATGTTTTCTTTCTTTCCAAATCGGAGCACAACTTCCTAGCTATTTCCAAGGACGCACGGCGAGAAGCAGTTTCAGCAGAGCAGGCAGACGCATGACGAGATGACGATGATGAATTGATGATTCAGCTCGTGACACAGGCCGTGAAGTAGCCGCGCCCGCGGGCCGACGCTCACGCAGCTGCGCGCCAAGCAGGCCGCTCTTGAATAAACCTGGAGTGTAGATTAGAGCGCCCCCCCTCCCGCTCCCCCCCCGGGGGGGGGCAGTGTCGAGAGCTGCAGATAGAGCTGTAGAGCACTGTAGAGGCTAGAGCGCTGTAGAGCACTGTTGATTCACTGCCTCTGCAGCGTGCACCTTGATCCTGTACCGTGTTTGTTATGACCCCCCCCCAATGAACACACCAGTGAGGGGAGGGCGAGACGATCGAGGGGTCCCGTACCATGCGGAATCGACCCTATCCAGTGCTCAAGTGCTCAAGCACTGTAGAGCTCTACATCCGGCGCGGGGGGGCCTGGCGGGGACACGAAGGCTGCCTGCGTTGTAGAGGGCTAGAGCGATGACATGTAGACCGCGCTCTACAACGTGAAATCTCTACAACAAACTCTACCTCATAAGGCGACTCGCCGGCCGTATAGGCGTAGCGCGGGTTCGAGGTCAGGAGAGTTGACACTCGCATCCGGCTCATTAAAAAGCGCCTAAGAGAGGGGTGGGTTTGGATATGAGAGGCAGGGTAACGCCTAACCTGAGCCCTGGCTGTCAGGCTGTCAGGTGCTGTCAGGTGATCTGTCAGGCTGTCAGGCACTGTCAGGCACTGTCAGGTGCCTCTGTCAGACCAGCTGTCAGGTGCTGTCAGTGCTGTCGGGTGCTGCCGGGTGCTTGTCTGACATCAGAGGGGCTCCGTAGCTGTCGGGTGCTGTCGGAGCTGTCGGGTGTTGCTGTCAGACGCTGTCGGAGCTGTCAGAGCTGTCGGGCTGCTGCTGCTGTCAGAGACGCCGGTGCTGTCAGGTGCTGTCGGTTGGTGCTGTCGGGGTGCTGTCAGGGCCTGACACACTATCAACACTTATGACATTATCAAGAGGAGACCAGCAGGACTCTACTACACATACTCTAGTCTCTACTCTGCCTAGAAGGGGTCCGCCTGGGGAGCGCAGATGGCGGCGCAGGCGCAGGCGGCGGCGGCGGCGGCAGCGCGGCACAGACGGCGGCGGCCACCCCCACCCAGACGCCGTAGGCATATGACTGTAGGGCCCCAGAAGGCTAGCTGGTAGCTTCATTTGTAGTAGCACAGCCGCCGGTGCTAGAGAGGGGTCCGCAGAGGTGGGGCGGGAGGGACGGAGGGTTGAGAGAGAGACCCATGACCAGCCCATGACTCATATGTGCATGCACATGTGGATGTGCATGTGCATGCACATGTACATGTGCACATGTGCATGTGCATGGACATGCACATGCGCATGCACCACACTCACATGTGCATGTCTTTGCATGTTTTGTTATACCCTCATGGGGCGCAAGAAAGAGGCTGCACGGCTGTGTACGGTCTGTGCTGCTGTCGGGCTGGTCGGGCTGTCGGGCTGTCAGCGCTGCTGTCAGGCCACTGTGTGCTGTCGGGCTGTCAGGCAGCTGTCAGGCTGTCACGTTAGGGCCTGACAGCGACGGAGCCCCTCTGATGTCAGACTCTGCTGTCAGGCTGTCCGCAGATACGTGCTGTCAGTCTGTCAGAGAAAGTGCTGTCAACGCTGTCAGGCTGTCGCCTGTCGGGCACTGTCCGGCGCTGTCCGGGTTTGCTGTCAGGCTGTCAGACGACAGACCACGCTGGTGCCACGCAGGGCTCAGCGCCTAACGGCGATCGGTCCGATCGCGGCATATGGCTAGTACGTGATACTTGAATAAACCTGAGGGTAATGGCGATCATGTAAAGCCCGCAACACATTCACTACGAGAAACAGAGACTGTCCAAGAGCGGAGGACGTGCGAGCGCGAGGCCCCGGTGCATGCCCCAGTGCCAGTGGCCAGTGCCACTGTGTGCCACAGTGCCAGACCGGAGGAAACGGCACACGAGTCACGACCGCGAAGGGGAGATACTTTGGACAGTATGCGAATGACTGACAAACTGGTTGACGTAGGAATAGACCGGGCTCCCACGCCTCCGCCCCCGGTTCAGCCTCGATGCACAGAGCCATCCATGCACAGACCCATGCCAATGCGATGATCCATACAACTCACGAGCTCACGCAGCGCTGTCGTTGTTCGCGTCTCGTGAAATGATGCGCGGTGTCTGCATATCCTCGTCCTCCGTCACATCGAACTGGACCGAGACGGCCTGCCCAACCTTCAGCGTCACGAAATGGCCCGGTCGGCTTAGCTTGCCCGCGGGCTTGGCCTTCACGACGCGTCCATCGGAAAGCGTCACCTGCATTGTGGCACCCAGCAGCGCGCTAATCTGGCCGCGGTAGACACCATGCTCCTCGCCGAGGTTTGAGGACTCGGCATGAGAGAGCCGCTGCGCGGAATCGCGGTCTGACTTCTTCCGCGTGGTCGAGCGCTTGCCTCTCACCTCCAAGCCCCAGCACCGCTGAGATAATGAGGACCGTGAAAGCTCGGTGGGTAAGCAGCGCGCCTGGACCGTGCTCAAGCGGCCCAATCTTGCGCAGCGGCGCATCATCTGCCCGGGCCACGAGCAATGGCGCAGCACTGGGCTCCGGCTCGCGAGTCCCGCAAGAGAATTCCAGAATTCTTAAGGTAGCTGCAAACCCTTGGCGCACGCATATCTTGGATGGCCGGCATGGGGCCTGACGCGTCGCCCATGCTTGCCATGTGCGAGTAGATGGTAGAATGCACTAATAGGCACGTCGCGCAAGGTCGGGATCGCAAGTTATGCCCGCATCAAGCGCCGGTTCAGAGTCGTCCAGAGTCGTGGCACACACGCCGTGGCAGGCCGTGTAGCCACTGAGATGGCCTTATGACGACCCCATTTCGACATCGTCCCTAAGGCCTCTGCTCATGAGCTCCATGCGGGAATCACTGGCTCAACCAACTGATCACAAATTCCCACGATATCTCACAAAGCGCCAAAATTCTTCATCGTGACAGCATAATTTGATGACTTCGATGTTGCAGAGAGAATTTGTGATCAGTTGGTTGAGCCAGTCATTCCCGCATGGAGCTCATGAGCAGAGGCCTTAGGGACGATGTCGAAATGGGGTCGTCATAAGGCCATCTGAGCAACCGCGCCGTCCGCCGTCCAGCACAATCGCCAGGGTGGCGAGCGCCGCACACAGCACTGCTCGTGCCGGTCAAGAGAGACGCGCCGGTCACAAGCACATCTAGCGCGTCCTTTGATGCTGTCTGTCGGTCCCGGGTAGCCTCGGGCGCCAATGGCGAGCTCAGGCGCGACACACAGCGCGGAACGTCGACCGACGCGAAAGTTTCGCGGCAAGAGATTGCAGCTACCTTAAGATACAAGCCTGTCTCCAGAAAGCGAAGCCCCCTCACAGCAGACTGGCTCGGACGGCAAGAGAAAGCGGGTACAGAACAAGAACACAACGCACTCTCTCACGTTACAAGGGACATTCTGCGAGACGCAAGAAAAGAAGGTGCAACATGTGGCGCGCTCTAACCGAAAGGAGCAAAACAAAAACAAACAAACAGGCCCCAAATGACGTGTGAGTGTTAGAGTTGTTTGGTATTGCTAAAAAGGAGAGAGAAACGAGAGAGAAACGATTCTCCCACTAGCATTAAATCCCTGCCCTGTGTGGTGGCGGCGTGCTGTCCTCCCATCCCTTGGGGGGTCACTCTCTTTCTTTCTTTCTGGTCGAGGAAGGCGCGCGCCTCCGTCTCGCCGCTGAAGGCCAGTCAGTATACCTACACCAACGCAGATGGCCCTCGACGTGCCGACGATGGGGATCTCAGCGCTCGCCGGCGCCAGGCGTGTTCTTGACAGCGCTCGCCGGCGCCAGGCGTGTTCTTTACAAGGAAAGTTGCAAGGAAAGGGAGAAAAGAAACGGCGGACTTTGTGCGGCTGCCGCGGCGGCGGCCATTTTGCTAGAGGGTTGAGGGTGAGAGATTGAAAGTAGAGAGTTGATGAATTCACGCTTTGCTCGACCCGCGTACGTCTGCGGCCTCCCGTCAGCCTCGCGATGCGTCGGTAGCCTCTCGGCGGTGTCGAGGCGGCCTCCACGCCGACTCATCCACGGCATCTCGTCGGCATCGGGCCACCAGCCGCCTCTCGCAGTGCGAGCGAGCCTCGTGGGTGCGTCGACTGCGCTGGCGACGCCGCTCTTTCCTGTGATTGGCTTGAACCAGCTACTTTTCCGCTACGCGAGCCCAGAGCTGCGAGTCGCCCTCACCGGCGGCGCATCTCTGCTGCAATTCTCGCTCATGACGCTTGTGCCGAATGCCTTTTACTACGCGCCCCTCCTCCTGCCCTTTGCGCTCGGCAACGGCCTCACGGCCACAGCCGCGTATTTGGTTGTCGAGGCGGGTGCCGGTGGCCCAGCCGCCCTCTCGCGCTGGGCCGCCGGGCCGATCCCCGTCGCGGGCCCGCTCCTCGGGATAATAGTGGCGCTCGCCGCGCCACTCACCTACCCGAGCGCCTTCTCTGTGGTTTGGCCAGGCGGAGGTGGCGGCGGCATCGGGCTGAGTGACGAGCTATTCGGGCCGGGAAGCCTCTCCTACCTCGACCTCATCTACAACCGCGTCACACTTCCCTGCCTGGCCACCACGGGCGCCATCAGCGGCGCGCTGCTGCACGTCGGTCTGCAGCCAGTCATCCTCGGCCGACCAGGGGTGCCGTGGCCGTACCTTGCGGGCGCAGTGCTGGGCGCTGTCGGCGCCTGTCCGTCCTCTGCCCGACGCGTGAACGATCGTCTCTTCACACTTGGAGGAGGAATAGGCGCCGGCCTGTCCGTCGTCTACTCGACTGGCGTGCGCGTCGACGTGCCGCACGCCCGCGAGGTGCGGCTCGACGAGCTCCCGCCCTCCGGCTTCTGGTCGTCGTGGTCCGCGCCGGGGGTCACTTGCTACGTCGAGGGGTGGGACTCGCTCTGCTGGCTCGCGGCGCTCGACGAGGACGGGAGCGTCGTCTCTGAGCTGAGGCCGACGGCCACCTCGTCGGCTGGCGCGCGGGTGCGTGATGGGGGTGCCCGTGCCGCCGAGGCCGAGTCGCTCCTCGCCGTGGCGGCGGACCCGCGGCTTCGGTGCCACAGCAGCGAGCGGTCCGCCTACTTCGACGGCCTCGGAGGGGCGCCACTCGAGAGGAAAGCCGTCCTCCGCCTCGCGCAGTCGCGGCCGGCGGCAGAGCTGCTCCTCACGGATGCGACCGTGCTGCTCGTGGCGGGCCGGGTGCCGCCAGCCGTTGTCCAGGCGGGGCTCGAGGCTTGCTGCACCACGATCGCGGCGTCGCCCTTTGTGGCCCGCCGTCGCGAGGCGTTCCACCTCGCAAGCTCGTGGGTCGACTCGATGTCGCCCTCCTCGCCCCGGTGGGACTCGGCGGAGGCGGTCGCCTCGTTGATGGCTGACTTGGCGCTGAGGCGTGCGCAGCTGGGGGAGCTGTGGCGGTTGAGGCGCGGCGACGCCGCCGGGCCCGCTTCTGCGGAGGGCCTGGAGGGCCAGCTCAGCGGAGCCGGCATCGACGTGTCTCGCGCGCTGGCGGCACTCGATGAGCTGATGCCCCGCGCCGCAGCATCCGGCGCGCGCGAGGCGGATTGGCGCGTGCTCGAGGCGCACGCTAGGGCCGAGCAGGCTGCGAGTCGGCGGATGGGAGGTGCCGCGGCGTTCGCAGCCGCGCTAGCTCTCGGTGGCATGGCGGCGTATGCTAGCCAATGAACTCTGGGCCCTGCTACGGCTTTAGTCTGGGCCTCGCGCCGCGGGGGGAGCGACGCGGCGCCGGGCCGCGTTTACACTGTATGTATGTGTGTGTGTAGCAAGACCCAAGTCGAGGAGAAAAACACACGAGTTCCGCGCGCGCGCCCTCAGCGCTCAGGCAGCCACCGTGGCCAGCGCCAGCCGCGGGGTGAGCGAAGTGGGGTTACGCACCGCCACTAATACAGCGCCGCCCGCGCGGAGCTCTGGGCGGGCGGAGAGCAAATCGTGGAGCGAGCTGGCCGCACAAAAGCCGACCGCCGCGCCTCGACCCCGCAGCCGGTCGTACGAGCCGTTCGTCACGAAGCCAAGCAGCCGCCCTTCGAGCGAAGCGTCCTCTCCGTTGTTGCCCTCGGCGCTCGACTCCATGGAGGCCGGAGCGTCCACCGCCCCTGTCTGTCGGTTCCTCCCGGCCGCCCACTGCGCGGCCTGCAGCACGGTCGGCTCCCGGATCGCCGCGGGCGCCTTGGGGCAGCCGCGGCCGTGCAACTCAAGGGAGACGCAAACCATCCCGTGGCCGAGGTGGCGGCGCAGCCCCGCCGGCAGCGGCGGCAGCGGCGGCGACGACGCGGCGGCCGCCGCCGCCGCTCCGGCGGGGGCGCCTCGGGCCCCCCCGCCCTGCCGTTGCCTCTGCTGCGGCGCAAAGGCGGCTGCGACCGAAGGGCCGCGCAAGACGCAAAAGGGCAGCGGCGGGTCCCTCACTGCGATGTGCTCCGCCGCGGCGCCGCCCTCCGCGGCTGCCGCGCCGCCCTCGTGCGCAGGAGGCTGCTGCGGCGCCGCGTCAGAGGCGAGGGCAGAGGCCCTCAGGGCAGAGGCCCAGCCTGGACCGAACGGGTGCTCCGCTCGCAAGGCGGCAAAGTTTGGGCGGCGCGAGGCCGGCCGGCGGGCGTGGCGGAGCCGGCGCTCCTCCTCCTCCTCCTCCTCCCACCGCCTCCCCGCGGGCGTGTCCGGCCAGTCGTACGGGAAGAGGGCGGCTCGCTGGTGGAGGGCGATGGCGCGCAGCTCCGCCTGCCCAATGGCCCGACCCCCGCCAGCGACGAGCGCGTGCCAAGCGGCGGCGGCGCAGCTCGTCGGCAGCAGCAGGTCCCACCCCGCCCCGTACCCCGGCGCAAGGTCTACGCCCCCGCCCGGCGCGCACGCCGGCTGCTGCACGAGCACCACTTGCACAAGCCCGGCCGCGGCCGCACTCGCACCCGAGCGGGAGGGGGCCGCGGCGGGCGGTGCGGTGGACGAGGGACATTGCAAGGCATTGAAGGCGCCCCAGCCGGGAGGAGGGTCGGCCAGCGCCGCCTCGAGGAGCGACCTCGTCGCGCCGCTCGAGGAGAGGCTTCCCGCAGCCGAGGAGGCGCCGCGCCCCGCTCCACTCGCTCCACTCGCCCCGCCCGCCCCGCCAGACGCCTGCCCGCCTCGCGGCTGCCGAGACGCCGCCTCCTTTGCCAGCAGCTGCTTCGCGGCGAGCATCGCCTGGCCGCCGCCCCGCTCGCCGCCGTCGCCACCGCCGCCGGGCCCTGCCTCGGCCCCTGTGTCGGCCCCAGGCCCTGCCCAGGCCCCGGCGTCGGCCCCCTCGCCGCTGCGCGGCCCGCGCCTCGCATCGCGGCGCACCACGTGCGCGCGGAGGCTCAGCACGGCCCGCGCCGGCAACGCGGCGGGCGATGCGAGCGGCTGCAGCGCGCTCCACGCCCGCCTCGCCGCCGCCTCTGCGGTCTGCTCCTCCGGTCGCTGCTCGTCCGGTCGCTGCTCGTCCGGCCTCTGCCCAAAGGTGCGGAGGGCCGAGGTGAGCAGGGCGTGGCTCGTTGCCCCGCGGAGCTGCAGCCTCGCGAGCGGGATCGGCGACGTGTGCAGAGTGACCGCGGGCGGTGGCGGTGAGTCCAGGTCGGCCCGTGTGAACTCCCGGCGCACGGCGGAAGGGGGTGGCGACGCGGCGGGCGGCGCGGCGGGCGCGTCGGGCGCGGCGGCGGCAACGGCGCGCCCGATGGCGTCGATCGCCTCGGCGAGCGCCGCCTGGTGGACCGACACCAGGAGCCGGGCGACCCGCACGCCTCCGGCTCCGCCCTCGCCCTCGCCTCCTGCTCCGGCCTCGCCCTCTCCTCCGGCCTCTCCCCCGGCGCACGGCTCTCCTCCTCCTGCCAGGCAGAGCAGGCGGACGGGCGCGATCGCGCCGAGCGGCCACGCGCCCGGCTGGTGCAGCGTGCACGGCAGCTCGCGTGCGGCCCCGCCCTCGCCGAGCAGACGGCGCAGCGCCGCGCGCGGCGCGTCCGTGACCTGGCCCAGGACCGAGAGTAGTCCGTCTCCAGCCCCTTGCAGCAGCAGCATCCGAAGGTAGGAGGCGTCGTGGATGGTGCAGCGCTCGGCGCACGCGCGCACCGCCGAGGAGGGCGCGCGGTCGGACGCACGCCACGGCAGCCGCATCCCGTCGTATCGCCGCGCGATGCGAAAGAGCGTCGCCATCTCGAAGCGCTTGGCGTGCCACGCCTCGGTGGTGATGCCGCCGCGCGCAGCGGTTCGCGCCCGCAGCACGGCGGTGCGACGGCGGTCGCGCCGGCTTCGGTCGCGCACGGCCTCGCGGCGCTCGGCGGAGAGCGGAGGCCGCACCTTCCAGCGGGCCGACGCGCTGCCCGCCCTGCGGCGCGAGAGCCTCTGGTGCAGCCGCGGCGGCGGCTCCGGCAGTGCGGCGCCGGCCGGCTCTAGGAGCGACTCGAGCGCCTTGAGCTCGGCCGCGCGCTCCGCCGCAAAATCGAGCGGGTCGAGGTAGGACATGACAGCGGCGAGGCGGGAGCGGGCCCAGCACGGGGCGGCAGTGCTCCGGAGCGCGCAATGAGCGACGCGAAAGACTTTATTTTTCTTTCTTAGTCGTGGCAATTTTTATTTTTCTTTCTTAGTCGTGGCAATTTCTTAACTGAGGGACGCGAGGTACGACAAGCCCGGCCGTGCTATTCAAACAGCTCTGCTCAAACGGCTGCGGCCCAGAGCCACACGGAGAGCCTGGATACTCTTCGTACTTCGAGTCTTCGTTCACGGCGGAAACCTGTCCGGATCCGAGAGAGAGATTTTTATTAACCAACAAGAAATCACGACTCTCACAGTGATTTGGGCTCGGCAGCTTGTCAGCCCTCAGCCGAAGCTGGGGCCGGTCCCGTAGCCGAGAGAGCCCGAGCCGATGAGTTCGACGCGGTCGGGGGGGCAGCCTGCGGAGAGGCCAGCGAGAAGGCGATCGCTGTACTTCATGGTGTCATCAAGTGACGGGCTGACAAGCCAGAGGTCGATACTCTGGACGACCCATAGGATGCCACGAATGCCTGAAGGAGAGGGAGGCGAGGCCAGAGGCAGGCTCAGCTGCTCTCGGGTGATCCCGCTTTGGTGGCCGAAGGACCCGATGGTCCTGTCACATTCGCGTTCCGAGTCGTGGGGGTAGAAGATTTCGAGGTAGAATCGAGTCAGCACTTCCTTGTCGTACAGCGGACCGCCAGGCTCGCCGGCAGCATCCGCAGGGAGGCAGCATATGAGGCACCAGTCTTCTGGAGAGCTCAACAGCTGCGGCCGCGGTGGCAGAGTCGGCCGCGGTTCGAGCGAGCAGCTTTTGGCTGCGGGTTCGAATCGCGGAAGGCTCATGCCCTCGCGGAGCGACGCGGGTCTCGCGGCGCGCGCGTGTGCGAAATGCGACAACAGACGACAGACGACAGACGACAGACGACAGACGCCTGAGCGCTGTACGCCTGAACTTTTGTCGCCGCAATCGCCACCGCCGCCATCTTGACGAGCAGCGCGAGCGCGCTCGTCGGCGGCCAGCCGTCGCGGGCCGGGCCGAGCCCGGCCTCAACCGGCCGCGCCGCCGCAGCGGGCCCGGAGGCCCACATGGCGGCGGCCGACCAGCTGATAAGGAGTCTCTCTTCTCTCTTCCGGATCCGCCGGAACACAACTTCGTATACCAAGTACCAAAACGGACGTCCAGCAGCTCGGTGGACTTGCTGATGGCCACGCCGCAGGCAGGCGCCGCCGGCATGCCACAACTGACTGCGCCCACGCAGCCGCTGGCTGCGAAGCGCCACAGAGACGACCCGCGCCGCTGCACCTGCGGTGCTGCGCCGCCAGCCCGACACCCGCACGTGCAATGCAGGCTTCTCAGCTCTCGTCATCACATGCAGGCTCCTCGGCGAGGACCAGCCGCTCAAACCTCGAACGAGGGGCACCCCTGCCAGCTGGTGGGCAGCGACGGCCCACGCCAGCTGGATGCGCGAGAATGTCTCAGGTGCATGCGGCCGCACATACCCACAGGCGGATTTGGTAGCAACCCAAAATGGCGGCAATGAGCAGAGCGCCTGCAGGGTCTCAAGTGATTCCCAGCCTGCGCGGTGTCGAGGCGTGTGCTCGGGCACGCGTCTCGAGATGAAGGCAACGGGCAGACAGCACGGCGTCAAGCCCTGCCCTTGCCCATGGTACAAATCCTCGAGGCGTGTGCTCGGGCACGCGTCTCGAGATGAAGGCAACGGGCAGACAGCACGGCGTCATCTCTGCCCTTCTGATTTTATTTTTTTATTTTCCGCACCCCCAAAGCTACGGCGCCGGACCGGATGAGCTCCCCCCCCCCCCGCGCGCGCCCTCCGTCCCGGCCTTACGCACGGGCATTCACAACGCCTTGCACCCGGCCCGCGGCCGGCTCTGCCTCGCCTAACCACTGACCGCCCTGGGCCCCTGCGGCCCCTGCCGCCCTGCGCAGGCGTTCCTTCGACCTCGCTCAAAGCGACGCGTCGGGTGTGGGCTGCCCGGCCCCCCGTCACCCGCCGAATCCATGACTTTTGGGCTTATTTTTCTTTTTCGGCGGACTTCGGGCTGTAAATTCTTTTCATTAACGTGGTGAGGCTGCCCGGGCAGTCACTTGTAGTGAGCGTCGGGCTGGTGGTCTCAGCACAGTTGACGCCTCGCACTTGGAGTCTTTGGCAATTGGTGGAAGAATGCCAGCCCGCCGCGCCATAATGGTGCTCGCAACCAAGCAGCACACTGGCAAGACCTCCGTGTCGCTCGCGCTCATCCAAACCGCTCGCAAGCTGCTCGCGCCGAGCGGCGGGACGGTTGGGTACATGAAGCCGGTCGGCCAGCAGTGGGTCACGGTGGAGGAGGGCGGCGAGCAGATCCGGGTCGACAAGGATGCAGCGGTCGCGCACCACTACTTCAAGCTGCAGGAGCGCCTGCGGCTCTCCGACGTCTCCCCCATCGTGATTGGACGCGGCCACACAAAGGCGTTCCTGGACGGCGAGATGCCGTCGCTCGCGGCCGAGGCGTTCGAGGCGCGGCTGACTTCGGCCTTCGGCGCCATCTCCGCTGCGTCCGACTTTGTGGTGGTCGAGGGCACCGGCCACAGTGGCGTCGGCGCCGTGCTGGGTTGGAACAACGCGCGGGTCGCCGCCGCGCTGGGCGTCGAGGTTGTGCTTGTGGCCAACGGAGGGGTGGGCAGCACCTTCGACGAGCTCTCGCTCAACGTCGCCGCCTGCCGCGCCGAGAAGGCGGCCATCGCAGGCATCATCATCAACAAGTGCGCCCCCTCCAAGGTGGCGGAGGTGACCACCTATCTGCAAAAGGCCCTCTGGACGAGGGCGCGAGGTGCCGGCGTTCGTGCCTTATTGCTCGAGGCTGTGAGCAGGCGGCCGACCGGTTCGGGTGGGGCGTGCCGGTGCTCGCGTGCGTGCCTTACGGCGACATGCCGTCGACTTGCGGCGACATTGAGCTCTGGAGCGGGCCTCAGACCTTCTTGGACCCTTCCTGCAGGCGACGACCTCGACAAGCCGTCGGTGAGCGACTTGGTCCACCTCTTCGAGGGAAGCGGCTCGAGAGAAGTGCACACGTCGAAGCGCGCTTCGTGGCGTAACGCGTGGTTTGTGAGCAGGTGGCTTCTCGAAGGAGAGGTACGTCCCCTCGGAGAGCGCCTCGTCGCTCGCCAGCATGAGCAACCTCGGCAAGCGGAGAGACCTGAAGCACACCGCCGCCGCAGTCTACGCGACGGCCCTGCGGTACGCGGCGGGCTACGGCGGGCTGCGAGCAAGCGGCGGCGGCGGCGGCAGCAGCGGCGGGAGCAGCAGTAGGATCGGCGGTGGCGGCGCGAAGGGCGGCGGCAACAGCTCGGTGCTGCTCGCGGGCGAGTGTCTGCGGCAGCGGAGGTTTGAGCGGTACGAGCTGGTGACCGAGTCGCTGGAGCGCTTCACGGAGAAGCTTGCTGCGGAGGCGGAGGGGGAGGGGGCGCCGGGCGGCGGCGAGGGCGACGCGGCCGGCGGCGTGTGCTACGTCACACACGTGAGCCGCACCGATATCATCCGCGCGGTGCTCGGGCCGCGCCGGGGCGGGCGGCCCGGCCGGGCGCGCCCCTTCGGCCTGATCATCGCGGGGAGCCCGAAGCACCGCATGGCGCCCATCGTCGCCACCGCGGCGCGCGCGCTCGCCAGCGACACGCCCGTGCTGCGCTCGTTCATGCCGATGGCGCAGACGCTCGCTGCCATCAAGGACCTCACCCCGAAGATGCAGGCGGACGACGATGTGAGGGTTCGGCAGGTGATTGACCTGTACGCGCCGCACCTCGAGGGGGCGGTCTCGCACCTCTTGCGGGACGACTAGCAGCATATAAGCTGGCACGTGGCAGGCACACGCATTTTTCGCAATAAATTTATCGGTGAGGGGTGTGCACTTGGAGCACTTTTGGAGTGCAGTCGGCAACCTCAGAGCTCGGACATCCAGGGCCGGCCCGGGGGGAGAGATGGGAGCTAAGAAGCGCACCCAGCGAGCCGGATGATCGGCATCGGGCTACGGGCTAGAGAGCCCTGACCCCTAGCTTGTAGCTAGGGGGGCGCGCATTCGCAGGGAAAGGGCCGTAAAGTAAACACGGGTCTCCGAGGGTTGGCCCCGCGTACCGGGTTTCCCCTTAACTGCAGGACGCCCCCTCTACTCGGAGCTAATGAACACCACACTTTGTAGCTCGATCGGTCACACCGCCATCGCCGTCGGGGAGAGGGGGGACGACACTGCTGCGGCAGCGTGCACCTCGATCCTGTACCGTGTTTGTTATGACCCCCCCCAATGAACATACCAGTGAGGGAGGGCGAGACGATCGTGGGGTCCCGTACCACGCGGAATCGGCCCTATCCAGTGCTCAAGTGCTCAACACCACACTGCACGCGTGTGGACCGTGAGTTGACGGAAATCGGAGGACGCGACCCACTTCGCCACAAACGGTCCCGCGGCTCGCCGCTATGACGGCCACACGACCGCAGCTCGTGTGCGTGTGGCCGTCTTTATCCGGAATACTACAACGCGCTCGTCGGTGACGGTGTCCCTCAACCTGCGCCGCGCTCGGCGAACCTCGAGCTCGACACCTCGACAGCGCCTTCGGTGGCATGCATCTCTTTCCGCGCCTGAAGCCTGGAGAGCAGCTCCTCTGCTGCTCACACGCTCTGCACAGATGGCACAGCCTACTGTGCGGCTGCCACAGCTGTAACAGCGATGGGCTCGCCCTCACTGGCCCTCAGTCACTTGTGCTGCCGCTTGTGTGAGCGACACTGCTCGGCGACTGCGGGCACAAAGCACCGCTCGCGTGTCGGCGGCACTCCCTGGCACCCAGGGAGTGCCGCGAACCGACCAGACCGAATGGGCTCGACGCCGCGCTCGCTGTGGGGCTGCAACAAAGTCGCCGCCGAGCGTGCCACCGACGGCGTCCCGGCGCGGCGGTGATGGAGTGTGAGACCTGAGGCTGCGGAGGTGACGCCTGAGGTACCGGCCCGTGCACAGCGACTCAGCCGGCGACCGCCACGGGCTCAGACGAGACTTGTCGACTCGTTACGGCTCAGCTTCACCGTGGTCATCGGGCGTCTGTCGACGTCAGGACCACCCATACAGCTCGCGGGTTTGAGGTCGCAAGAGCCAAGATGGTGGCGTTTGGACATCCCAACCATCACACAAGACAGCCTGTAGGTGATGGCGGGACGGCGCAGTGTTTGTGGCACTCGGCAGTAGGCACCCGCGGCACGGCCCCGCTGTCGGCTCTCACGGGCTGCGGAACCGGCCCCAGTGCCCAGAGGGAGCCGGTCCGGGCGAGTGTGGCAGCTCCTGCGCTAGTATGGGCACCCTCTATCATAGCACTACTGATCCTGGTCATTAGAGCTGCCAGGGATAGCGTCAGGAGCCGGTAGGAGTCAAAACCTCTCATATTTGAGACATCGTGTCCCATATACTCGCACAACGAGCCCTCTGGTGATGACAAGACTTGTCTACTCGCTGGAGCCGAGCAGGCTCCGGGCCCAGCGCACAACCCCTGTGCAACTCAGCAACTCAGCTCTTTAGGTCCCCACACCCCGTAGAGTAGCGGGGAGAAAGTACGGAGTACCGCGCGCTTAGCGGGGGGTAGCGCGGTCACTTCGTCCGAGAAAGGAGAGATATACACCAGGGTCCGTCTACAACCGAACACACACGGTCCCCGTGTGCCCCTCTGCCTGGTCCGTGACACTAAACAGTGAGAACTACCTGCGCAGCTCTCGCTCGAGGCGTTGCTCAGTCTCTAGGTATGCGCGGAGGCGCCGCAGCTCGCGGTGCGCGAGCGCGGCGCGCGCAGGCGTGGAGCGCAGTCGAAAGGCGGCTAGCCTCGCCTCGCCGCCGAGGCACGCGCAGGCAGCCCACGACTGGAGCTGCGCCTCCGCCTCGATGTCGCAGCTCGTGTGCCAGACCGGCTGGAGCTGCTCCATCAGCATGACCGCGGGAGCCTCGTCGAGGCCGCGCTGCAAGAGGGCGGTGCGCCCAGTTTGCACCTGCTCCCTCAGCGGCACGTCAAAGCGGGCGCAACTCTCGGGCTCGAGGAGCTGGCCCTCCAGCGCGCGGCACGCGTCGAGCTCCTCCTCCACCCGCTCCATGTGCTCGGCGAGGTCGAGAAACTGGGAGAGGGCCGAGCTGTTCGGGTCGCTGCTCAGCAACTCGTCGCCCACAAAGGAGGCGGCCGCCCGCAGGACGCCGTCTGGGCGGCGGACTCGTGCAGGGACGCTCTCGAGAGCGGCCCTTCCGACACCCTTCACCTCAATGGCCAGAGCGCCATCGTGGTTGATGCGTCTCACCTCCATCACCTGGAGCAGAGCCACCCACGGCTCGACCTGCTGCGGCAGCCCCGCAGCTGCAAAGCTCATCCTCATCCGCATTCGCTCCTCAGAGCCTGCACACTGTTCGGCGACCGTTTCTGCTTGGCTTTCCGTGCTGATCATCTGGCCAAACTTGCCGTCATTGTTCGTCACAGAATGACTCAGCATCTCCATCTCGTCAGGCTCGCGAAAGAGCAACCTTCTTCGCTCACCGGGCAGCACGAGCTGCGTGGAAGAGGACGGTAGCAGGAGGAGCTCCGACAGCTCGTCTGAAGCCATGTGAGGCGAGCCGGACCGAGGGGCGACCGGTCTGCGCGTCGGGGCAAGGCCGAGGAACAGCATGTGGGATTGACTGGCCGCCGTGCTTGTTGAAATCTCTGGGAAGTCTTAACCCCCTTCAAAGAAACTTTGGAATGCAGGCTTGACCCCAGTTGGGCCACGGTGACTAGGTGTGAATGGGGGAGTTCGGTATTCACAGTCGTTTACACTGAGGGAGCAATGGCTATTATTATTCGGGTTGCTTTGCCGTCATCATTCAGGGCGGCGTCCTACCATGGCGGCTCAAGTCAATTATTAATATTGCTGGTGTCCGCCGTGCGAGGCGCCGTTCCACTTCGGCGCCGCCGGTCTGGCGCGGTTTCCTATTTGCAATTATTGCACGCCGCGCCGCCGTTGGGCGAACTTATCGGCAGCAACTTATTGGCGCGGTTTTCGCGATGTCTCTCTTAGCTCTGGGTCGCAATGGGCGATCCCAGGCGGGAGCAGAGGCCAGTGGCCTCGATTCTCTGATGGGCTGGGCCTACACTACGATCGAGTTCACGTTATTCCTCTGGTCGATCGCCGTGGGCCTCGCTTATGACGGTCTTGCAGCCCTTCTCACTAGCCGGGTCTACCGTGCCGGGGCTGGGGCAGTCCTCCTCTACCTGCTGGGTACCACCCTGATTGAGCTGGTGACAAGCGGTGACGGGGGACCTGAGCTCCTCTTCTTCCTCAGGATGGGCGTCTTCGTCTACTGTGTCGGCTATCAGGTTCGCGCACTCTGTGACTACACCCCTGTCCGCGTCCTCCTCCTCCTCAGTGGAGGGTACCCCTTGTTCCGCCACGGGGCGGCGGCGATTGCCGAGCCGTTCCGGGACTACGCGGCGATGGGCCCTTATGCAGGTGTGCTCCTCACCTTCTCCGCCATCTACCTCGCCACGCGCTCCATGGGGCGGCACGTTGGCTACTTCATGGACACGTACATCAAGACGTACGTGCTTGAGACCCAGATCGATTCCCTGCTCCGCCGAGTCCGTGGAGGCGGTGCTCATGCTGACGAGCCTTCAGAAGAGTCGGTCTCCCTCCTCCACGCCTATCTCCGAGCCCGCGGTGGCCTGCTTTGCACGCTTTCCGTCGCCGTTTACCAGTACGGCCTTGTCATGATCCCGCTACTAGTCCTCGGGGGGCTCGGGGGAGTCGGCGCTGTTTGCCCTTCGTGTGGCAGCTCGATCGCATCCTGCACCTACGACACAGATCAACGGTGCCCGACCATCACCATTGTCGCGACCAACGCGTCGGCGATGGCAGGCGTCGGAGTCGTGAGTACCGTCACTCTTGCCACCCTCATCCGGCCGCGCTACCTGCGCATCTTTGGGACGAACGCCCTTCAGGCCCTTGTGGCGATGCGCCGCCGCCCAGCCGCGGGCACGCCCTTCTCCATCACTGCCGATACCTCCAAGGGCGATATCGTCCAGGCCATCTCCGCCGGACGCATCTGCCAGATGGAGGCAGTCGAGCAGCTGGCCCAGCAGCTTTCTGGCGTCGAGGCCGAGGAAGAGAGACGTACGGGGGGCGCGAGCAGTTCGATCCCAAGGACCATTGGGGCGTTCGGGACTTTGATGTCTCGTTCGTCGACGGGTTGAGGGGCATGTGGGTGCGCTTCCGGAAGATCAAGCAGGATCAGCTGCAGGAGCGCCCCGAGGCGAGGGAAGGGGCCGACTGGTCGTTTGTTGGCGACGTCCCCGACCCAGAGTACAGCATCGTCACGTGGTTTGTTCGGCTGATGCAGTTCCACATCCGGCGGCCCCACACGCCCGGCCAGCCACGCCCGCCGACCGAGTGTTTCTTCCTCGAGGACCTCGATCGGCGTCGGCCTCTCATCTACAACGTTGCACTCGGGCGTTTCAAGGATCTCCAGCTGCGTGCCGGCGTTCCCGAGGATGATTTGTATGCCTTTCATGGGCTACGCGTCCGCGGCTACAATGGCACTGTCTGGAAGCTCGGCGAGGCGGTCGCTCAGGCCCATGGGCTTTGGAAGAGCGAGGCGCACAAGCGCTACCGGCGTTTCAAGATGTCGCTCGTCGCGCGCATCCCTGCTGCAATCTGGGAGCTTGTCGAGGGCGAGGAGGATGACGCTGACGAGGGCGGCGACGGGGCCGACGACCAGGAGCCGGACCCCCAGCCTCGCGCCGCGCCTGTCGTGCGCGCCACTCGGGCGACGCTTCGGACCACGGGGGACGACGCCGCTCAGCGGGCAGCCAGTGCGCCTCCCGTTCGCCCGCCCCCGCCCCCCGTCGTCGCCGTTGAGGGGATGGCCGAGGGCGAGCCTTTGCGGATGGATGACATTCTACTTCCTCCGGGGTGGTCGTCCAGCAGTGAGGGGGGTTTCGTTGGTCCAGATGGGCAGCAGGCCCCAAGCCGCGATGCGGCGTGGGGGGCCGTCATTGGCAGCGTCGTCGAGTCGTCGGCAGCTGCCATCCAGCGTGCTCTGCGCCAGGATTCTTGACCGCCCTGCTTGTATTTCTTTTTCCGAGTCACCGAGGCACATCTCTTCCGCCTTCGTGCTCGCGCTCTTCGTCGGCTTCGCTTTCCAGTTTGGGTTTTGCCTCAGCTTTGGGAGTGCGAATTCCGCAATGTGTGCCATGTATTGCGTCCTCGCGATTGTAACATGCGGATATAACCAAACGACCCTGTTCACAACCGCAAGTTACTGCAGGCTTGACCCCAGTTGGGCCACGGTGACTAGGTGTGAATGGGGGAGTTCGGTATTCACAGTCGTTTACACTGAGGGAGCAATGGCTATTATTATTCGGGTTGCTTTGCCGTCATCATTCAGGGCGGCGTCCTACCATGGCGGCTCAAGTCAATTATTAATATTGCTGGTGTCCGCCGTGCGAGGCGCCGTTCCACTTCGGCGCCGCCGGTCTGGCGCGGTTTCCTATTTGCAATTATTGCACGCCGCGCCGCCGTTGGGCGAACTTATCGGCAGCAACTTATTGGCGCGGTTTTCGCGATGTCTCTCTTAGCTCTGGGTCGCAATGGGCGATCCCAGGCGGGAGCAGAGGCCAGTGGCCTCGATTCTCTGATCCCACCCTCCTCCCATATCCCCTTCTTAGTTTCACGGAGAGGGTAGAGTGCGAATTCCGCAATGTGTGCCATGTATTGCGTCCTCGCGATTGTAACATGCGGATATAACCAAACGACCCTGTTCACAACCGCAAGTTACCGACAGTTGTAAGTGTCTTGTTGGCAAATCAAGACACAGAGCTCACACAGAATCACAGCGGGAGGAAAGCGGCGAGTTGCAATTCCTTCTTTTTTTCCTGTTTTTTGGAAACTAGAAAAAATTATTTTTCACAAAAAGAAAATGCACAAGTCGCTCCCTGCTGACTCGACCACCACTGTGTGGTGGCGGCGTGCCGTCCTCCCATCCCTCCCGTGGGTTGATGTTCTCCTTCTCTTTCTTTCGACCACCACTGCCGCCGCAGGACTACAAAATATATATGCAGGTTGTCGCCGCCGCCTCGGAGGCTGACGCGCTCGCCACGCTCGGCGCCTATTTCGATGCGCTCAGCCGCGCGCTCGCCGTGCCCGTCGAGGGGCTGCGCAAGCGCTGCCTCGTCCGGTTTGAGCTCGGCGCGCCGGGCGACGCGGCTGGGTGGGTGTGGGAGCTGCGTGCGGCTCCAGACGCGGCGGGTGGCGTGACGAGCCCCGGCGATGCCGGCGGCGCGGCCTCGGAGACGGCGGACGTCACCATCTCCTGCACGCTGCAGCACTTTCTCGAGATAGCGAGCGGCCGTCTCAAGCCGGCGGCGGCGATGCTGCGAGGGCTGATCAGAGTGCGGGGCGACCGTGGCCTCTTCGTGGCGCTGCGCGCGCCGCTCGCCCAGGCGGCCAAGGAGCACCGCGCGGCGACCGAGGCTGCGCGGCCGGCCGCGGCGGTCCGCGTCGAGGTGCTCTCCGTCTCGACGGTGAGCTACTCGGGCCAGCTGTACGCCTGCTACCTGCTGCAAGTGGCCGAGGGCGGGGCGGCGCACTCGGTCACGCGCCGGTGGCGGCAGCTCAAGGCGCTCGACCGAGCGCTGCGGCGAGAGCCGCCCGTCCTCGCGCCCGGCTCCCTCCGCCCGCCGCCACTCCCTCGGCTGCCCTCCTCCACCTTCACCGCGTCGCTGGCGCCCGCCTTCCTCTCGCGGCGCGCCGCCTGCCTCTCCGCGTACCTCAACGCCGCCGTCGCGCGCTTCGCCGTCTCGCTCGCCGCCGGCGTCGGCCCCGCGCCCCTACTCGCCTTCCTCTCGCCCGCAGACGTGCCGCCCGCCACGCCGCCCTCGTCCATCCCCTCGACGCCGGCCGACGGCGAGGAGGAGGAGGAGGTCGAGCCCGGAGAGGGCTTCGCGGCCGAGGACGGGGCGGCAGACGACGGGGACGGGGCCGCGCCGCTCCGTGCGAGCGGACCTCCTCCTCCTCCGCTGCTCTCTCCGACGGCACCCCTCCCCCTGCCGCCTCCCCACCCAGAGAGCCACTCCCCTCTGCCTGCCGCCTCCCCACCTTGAGAGCCACTCGCCCCTACCCTCTTCCCGCCGCCACACACAGGCGCTGCTCGCGGGGCCGCGCGTGGCCGTGCCAGCCTCACCCGCCGCCGGCGACGCCTTCCCGCCTCGCCCTCGGAAGCCCTCCTCCCGCGCCGTCGGCCCCAACGGCGCCGCGCGCCGCGGCCGCCCCCGCCGCCACGCGGAGGAGTTGTACGAGCGGCTGCGGGACGAGGGGGGGGCGGAGGGAGGGGCCGAGGGCGAGCTCGAGCCGCCCGCCGCCTCGCGCCTCCCTCGCGGCGCTCTGATGCGCCGCCTGCTCGAGGCGGTCGGAGACCGGCCCGTCCCCGCGGAGCCAGACGCCGCCTCGCTCGCCCGTCGCAAGAGCGTGTGGGGGCAGCTGCTGCGGCTGGAGGCGGAGGGCCGCACGGCCAAGCACGCCGCCGCCGCCGCGTTCCGGCGCCGCAGGCCGCTGCTCTGCGGCTCGCTCGCGCTGGCGGGCCCGATGGCCGCGCTGCTGGCAGCGGCGGCTTTGGGCGCGGCTCTCGCCGCGGTTGCGATCCGCGACGCTGCCGGGGCGGCCGTCGCGGGGGCGAGGGCAGGCGGCGAGGGCGGCGAGGGTGCTGGCGACAGCGGCTGCCCGGTGGCGGCGGCGGCGTGGCTTCCTCCAGCCTCGAGCGACGAGTGGAGAGCGGTGGCGCCCAAGGCCGCCGCAGCGCTCGTCGCCGCTGCGCCCCTTGCAGCCGAGATGTGCGGCTCAGCCGCGCGCGCCGCTGCGGAGGCGGCGGCGGCCGCAGTGTCTGACGGCGCGGGCTCAGCGCTGGACGTTGCCGCCGCTCGTCCCGTGGCGCTGGCGGCGGCGGGGACGCTGCTGCTCGGGTTCGTAGTGGCGTACCGGATGTTTGGACGCGTGCTTCGCATCTGGCTCGTCGCGCTCGTGACGATCCTCAGCTACTACGTCGCAAACAAGGTGCTCAAGGCTGCGACGCGCCGCGGCCTGTCGGCGGAGCGGGAGGAGGCGCTGCTCTCGTCCCTCCACTTGTTGATGGCGCCGTGGCTGTGTCGGCATCTGGTCGGCCTCCGCTCCGTCTTTGTCAAGTTCGGGCAGTACATTTCTGGCCGCACAGACATGGTTCCGCCCGAGTGGGCCGCCTCGCTGGCCCTGCTGCAGGACGACCTCCCCCCTTCACCGGCGGGGCACCTGCGCGACACCGCGCGGTCGGAGCTCGGCTTCGACGCGAGCGAGATCTTCGAGTCCCTCGACGCGATGCCCGTCGCCTCCGCCTCCATCGGGCAGGTCCACATCGGCCGCCTCGCGGCCTCGGGAGGCCCGCCCGAGACGTGCAGCTGGGTGGCGCGGCAGACCGCTACCTCGGAGGCTCGCGCCGGCGGCCAGGGCGTCGGCGGCGACGCTGGCGAGGACCGCGCCGTGCTCAAGCTGCAACACCGGGGCGTGGACAGCCTGATGCGGCGCGACATGGTGTCGGCGCTGCGCATCGCTCGCCTCATGCAGTGGCTCGACCCGCGCTACAGCGCGTTCCACACCGTGCTCGCCGCTTGGGAGGGCGAGATGTTCGCGGAGCTCGACTTTCGCACCGAGGCGAGGAACCTGCGCCAGGTGCAGCTCAACCTGCGCGCGGCCGGCGTTAGCGTGGCCATCCCCACGCCGCTGCTCGCCTCGCGCCGCTGCCTCGTCATGACCTTCGAGGAGGGCTTCAAGATCACCGACAGCCGCGCCCTCGCGCTGCACGGCGTCGACGCGAACGCGCTCATGTCGCGCGTCATCTCAGCGTACGCGCAGTGCATCTTCGTCGACGGCTTCTTCAACGCCGACCCGCACGCGGGGAACCTCCTCGTCCGCGTCCCGCCCCACGGCGGCGAGGCGATGCCGGTGCGCCGCCATCGTCGCCGAGAGGGGAGGGGGGCGTGCGGGGGAGGGCGAGGTTGAGGGCGTGAGGGGGAGGGCGAGGTTGAGGGCGTGCGGGGGAGGGCGAGGTTGAGGGCGTGAGGGGGAGGGCGAGGTTGAGGGGAGGCGACCACCTCGCGACCGACACGACCACCGCCCCCACCGCAGGTGCTCCTCGACTTTGGCATGACCGTCCGGCTGACCGAGTCGCAGCGGCTCGGCTACGCGCGCCTCGCCGTCGCGGCGCACGAGATGGACGTCGCCGCGCTGCGCTCTGCGGTCACTTCGCTCGGCCTCGTCAACTCGCAGTCGGGCGACATGCCGGACCGAGACCTCGCCTTCTGGCGCTTCTTCATGCGCGACACCGCGCCGCGCGAGCAGGCGCAGGCAGAGACCAAGGGCTTCTTCAAGGAGAGGAGCGCGCAGCGCAAGCAGGACAAGTCGGCGGGCAGGACCGAGCGAGTCAACGTGCAGATCCCGCCCGACCTCATCTTCTTCTGGCGCGTCATCGGCCTCCTGCGCGGGCTCTGCACTTCGCTCGCCGCGACGGTGCCGCTGATGGAGCTGCTCGCTGCCCGGGCAAAGATCGCCCTCGCCGCCACTTTTCCGCAGCCGCAACACGCCCTCCGGCTCTCCCCGCCACCGACCGGCTCGCACAGCCACCTCGCCTCGCGGCTGCACGCCATCGCCTGCCGACTCGCCGCTTCGAACGAGATCGGCGGCGGCGTCTCGGTCGCTGTCGTGCGCGACGGCAAGACCCTCGCCGCCGTCGCCGCCGGCTTCTGCGCGGCGGCCGACCCGCGCCCGGTCACCATGGCGACGCCGATGCCGCTCCTCGAGCTCTCGTCAGCGCTGCCCGCACTGCTGCTCCGGCAGCTGGAGGCGTCGGGCGTGCTGCGGCTCGACAGCCGCGTCGCCGCTGTCTGGCCGCAGTTCAGCGCCGCCGGAAAGGGAGGCGTCACCGTCGCGGAGGTTCTCGGCCGGCGCGTCGAGGGGCGGCTCGAGCTCGAGCCCGGCTGGATGCTTCGTCCGGAGGCGCTGCTCGCTCTGAGCGAGCGCTGCGAGGCGGTCGCCGCCGCCGCCATGCGTGCCGTCCGCTCGGGCGGCGAGAGCGAGGCGCATGCCGAGCCGCTTCTCCACGGCTGGCTGCTGGCCGGCATCGCTGCGGCGGCGTGCGGCGTCGCGCCGCGCTCCAACGGCGGCGCTGGCGGCGCCGGCCGCGGCAGCGGGCGGCTGTACGGCCGGTACGCGGACGAGGTGGTGTCGCGATTGCTGCGGCCCCTCGGGCTCGAGGGGTCCGTGTGGCCGGGGGAGCTGCCGCCCTCGGTGGCGGCGCAGGCTGCGGCCGCGTCGGTCGGGTTCGGGGCGCAGCTCCAGCGCTTTGGCCCGGCTGGCGGCGAGCCCAGCGGCGACAACGGCGAGGCCGGCGGCGAGGGCGGAGGCGAGGGCGGAGGCGAGGCCGGGGGCGGAGGGCTCGGTTTTGGCGGCGGCGGCGGCGCCTCGCGCTTGCTGCGCGAGCTTCCAATCAGCGCGGGTGTGGCCAACCTCTCCGAGGTGCGGGCCGGCCTCCTCCCTGGACTCGGCGCTTTTGCCACCGCCGAGGGAATGGCGCGGCTGCTCGCCGGCGCTGCGAGCGGCTTGCAAGCACCGTCGTGGCATGTAGCTGCGAGCGAGGTTTCGACGCTCTTCGGCGAGCGGCGGTGGGCGGAAGGGCTTCAGCTCTTTGAGCGTCGCGGCGTTGGCAGCGGGGACATGGTCGGCCTCCAGTCTGCAGGAGGCTCGCTGGCCCTCTGCTGCCCGCACACGCGCACAGGGATCGCCATTCTCTTGAACGGCGTGCAGCTCGGATGCGGCCCCACGCGCGAGCTGCTGGGCGCTGCTTGCGAGGAGCTCGGGCTCGGGACGGTGGACGTGGCGGAGGGAGGCCTCTTCTAGTGTTGATGTATAGAGTCTAGATCGTCGGATGCATCGGGGTCTTGACCCTTCTCTCGCACTTGGTTGTGCGTGTGGTCTCATGAGTCTGTGAGGGCGCCTTGAGGCCTTGTGTACGAACTGTGATTCTGTGTTAGCGAGTACAGTTGCTGACCGCCCCAACGTACGCTCTATCCACGAGAGAAGCATTTGGCATGAGAGACACTCAGACTTGCGCAAGACGGTAGACGCTGAGGGCTTGAGGCGGAGCCGCAGCCGGGACCACGACGCGCCGTCGACGCACGACGGTCGAGCGACGCGTCGCGTCGCTGCCTCGACGACGGTCTCGACGCACTCGAGAGTGCGAGAACTGATATGTGTACCTAGGGTATGTATGTATATGTGTGATGTGGTCGACCAAAACTCAGAGGGACGCGTAAGGAACGCAAGTCCGCCCGATCACACAAAGTGACGGGTGTTATGCGCACACGCGGCAGCGCACAGAACCAAATCGGTGGCTGCCAGCCCCCAGATTCAGGGGTGGAACTCGCGACCGCTCGCGACCGTGGCCGGGGCGGCCGCCCGAACGCGATCGTACTCGCCGCGTTGATAGTTGAACGCCTTTTGGATGGCTTCCGCCGTCTGCTTCTCCGCAGGCGGGCCCTTGAGCTGTGGCGGGCTGTAGTAGTCGCGGTACCTGTCTGGCATCTCCTGCTTGAACTGGACGCCGCGCAACTCCCTGCCCGCTCGACCGCGGAAGGACGGCTTGAAGGAGCTGGACGTCGCCCCAGCGGTGGTTCTGGCGGCGGAGAAGGCCTCCTCAAGCCGGGAGGGCACAGCTTTTAGCACCGTTCCGGAAGTCACCGGCGCCTCTGACGCCGCCTCCGCCGCCTCGACGGCGGCTGCCTCCGCCGCCGCCGCCTCCCATCCCTTGGGCACTCGGAGCGTCGCCGTGTCGACGGTAAAGGGCGAGACGCGGCGTGCGTCCCCCGCTGCTGCTGCCTCTGCCGTCGCCCCGGCCTCCCCCGCGATGAGCCTCGCACGCACCATCTCCTCTGCTCGAATCTGACGGGTGCGGGTCACAGCAAGGCGTCGAAGGGTGCGGCGAGGCACGGGGAGTCAGGGGCCAACGTGAGGGGGGTTGAGAGTGTGTGTGTGTGTTGAAAGGCGGTGTTGGGTCGGGAGCGTGCCTCAGCTCTTGCTTTCTGGACAGCGGCCTCCACGGCTACCTCTGCCTGCGCTTGCACCGCCTCGAGCACGCCCAGCGCCTCTGTGCGCGCCGCCTCCACCGCCGCCTGCACCGCCGCCTGCACCGTCACGTCGCGCTCAGCCGCTGCAGCTACAGCGGCAGCCTGCAGAGCAGCCTCGAGCTCTGCGGCCGCCGCCTCAGCCGCAGCCTGCAAGGCTGCCTCGCGCTCAGCCGCTGCTGCGGCAGCGGCAGCCTGCAGGGCCGCCTCGCGCTCCTCCGCTGCCGCGTCGACCGCCTGCCCCACCGCAACCGTGACGGCCGCCTCGTGTTCTGCTAGAGCCGCCTCGCGCTCCTCCGCTGCCGCCTTAAGTGCGGCCGCCATCGCTGCCTCCCCGGCCGCGACGGAGTCCGCTAGCTGCCGCCTGAGGGCCTCGAGCTCGCCCTCGGCACCGCCGACGCCCTCGGCCACGACCGCTGCCTCCTCGGCGTCCGAAACCGTGCCGTTTGCCGGAGCTCGCGCCGCCCTCTGCTTGTGCTCCGTCTCGGCGACATCGGCCTCGACCTGTGCCGCAACGGGCCCCGATGCCTCTTGCCCAGCCTCATCCTTGCTAGTCCAGAAATCAAAGATGGATTGTCGTTGGCGGTCAACAACGCGCGGCGCCTCCTTGCGCCCCGCCTCCTTTGGCGCGCTGTCTGCCTTGGACGGCGTCTCTGCCGCCGCCGTCTCGGCGGCCCCCGTCTGGCGGCCCAGCCGAGTCGCCTCGGTCGATGCGCCCTGCACCGTGTAGATTGATTTGGGGTCGGCCGCTGGCGTTGAGCGCTCCGCCTTCAGACGCTCCTCCTCGATCGCCTTGGCTGCCTCAGCCTTGGCGGCCGCCTCCCGCCTCGCCGCCTCCACCTTTGCCGCCGCCTCCTCCTGCGCCGTCGGTGCCTTCTCCGTCGAGCTGCTTGCGGCCCACACCTTGGAGAGCGAGGCGGCGGCCTCGTCTTGCTCCGCTTTGGCCTTCGCCGTGGCCGCCTTCGCCTTCCTCGTCCCCGCCGCCTTGGCTTGCCCGTCTGTTGCGGCAGGCGAGTCGCCGTCCCGGCGCGTAGAGCTCAGAAAGTCCTTGGTTCGCGCGGACCACTCGTTGGCCTTGGCGGCCTTGGCGGCCTCGTACTCCAGATCGGGCGCCGGCGCCGCCGCCGCCGCGCGCTCCTTGACCCACCCCATGCCCTCGGACGGCCCTCCCGCCTCGGCTGGTACCTTGTCGGGCGCCCCGTTTGGCACCGCGATGTTGCTGCTCGGCCAGACTCGCTTGCCGTCCCACTCCGCCTGCGCCCCCCACTGCGACCCTCGCCACCACCCCCTGCGCTGCCCCGGGCCGCCGGGAGGTCGGCCAGGGCGAGGCGGCTGTCCGCTGGACATCCAGTCCTCCTCCGAGTACGCCGCTCTCGCCGCCGCTGCTCGCGCCGCCGCCGCCGCTCTCGGGGATGGGGACGCCTTGGGGTTGGTCAGCCGCTCGAAGGCCTAGAGCGCAAGACGCGGTGTGCTGTGAGCCGGTGCACGTCGGAAGGCAGGGCGGCAGTGGAGTGGGAGGCTCGCCTCTGTCAGCAGTCGGAACTTTTGCGCGGCGTATTTTGTCGGGTTGAGATCCGGATGCCACTGCTTGGCCCGCTCGCGATACGCGGCCTTGAGCTCCGCGGGCGAGGCACCCGGACGCACTCCCAGCACCTCCGCAGGGTCGTCTCCCTCAGCCATAATCATGGTGGACGAGCGTGAACGCAAGGTGGCGCCTGGGCCGGCGGGCGCCGCGGAGGCCTGCCCTGAGCATGCGGCGCCTCTTGCCCCCACTGCCCGGCCGGTGACCTCGAGGGGTGGGAAGGCGTGGGAGAAGGCCGCGGCCGCCGCGCAGCAGAGGTGCAGCATCGAGCAACGGCACTGCCACCAACGGGAAAGCCGCGGGGGCGCGAAGTCTGGGCGTGCTTCGATTTCTTTCGATCGGAAGCCCCAAAAGGGAAAGAAAAGAGGTAAGGTCACGGCTTTGAAGGACCGAGGGAGGCTCGACAGTTTGCTTTTCATCGGAAAGCGACAGACTGGCAGATTTGTTTGTCGGTCGGGGAGTGACTGACTGACGGCTGCCAGAGTGCAGAGAGAGAGAGCCAGCCAGCCTCAGGGAGGCATGCCGAAGGCGAAGGTATAGATAATTATAGAGATACGTCGTGCGAAAAGCGTCACTGGCCGCGAAAACTGTCAAAGAATTTACTGTCAGTTCGGGGCAAAAACCGTCACTTGGATCTTGGTAGGCCGGGAAGTGATCTGTGATCTGTGAGGGTCCGCCCGCAGGGGCAGGCGCATTTTGTAGGCCGGGAAGTTTCGCAGTGACTGTTCCGTTATCGTTCGTAGCTCCAAGTGCTGTCCCAGTGCTGTCCAAGGAGGTGCGCTGGCTGGATGGAGAACCTTGCGCACGATATCCTAAGAAGAGCGTGCCGCGCAGCGTCCTGCCTGGCCAACTCTGAACTCTCGCTCTCCGCGTCATCGTTGCGCGCTTCTCATCCTTCAAGCTCGAGGCTGAAAAACTGGCACCGACGACAACATGCCGACTGTGTCTGCCGATCAACACACGACAACTCTTCTACCTCTTAACACCGTACGCGGGGCCGGCGCCGTCTGAGGCGCGGTGGCGCGCACTAGGCGACGGTTACTGCTGCCAAGAAGAATCTGCAATGAATCTGCAATCACCCACAAGGTCAAGGATGTCCATCGCGTAAGGAAAAGCGCGAGTGGCGAGACGGCGAGGCCATCGACCGCGGTTGTGTGCTCTCGTCGCCGCCGTTTTGCCACGTTCCTGTCCACGCTGATCGCTGTCCGTTTTCACTCGGAAATTTCCTAGGAAATTTTCCGGCTTCGTCCAAGGACCACCCAGCAAGTGACAGCTTCGTCGGAAAGCGACAGTTTCGTCGGGACAGGATCCCGCCCCCCCCCCCCCCCCGCGAATTCCTGAAAGAAAGAAAGAAAACAAAAAGGGCGAGGGGAGGGATGGGGAGGACGGCACGCCGCCACCACACAGGTCACACAGGGATTTTAAGGAGAGGAGTGTGGTTCTAGCCGTCGCCCACCCTTGGGAGTCTGCCTCTTCCTATGTCAGTCCCTCGCCGATTCTCGCTGCATCCTGCAAGCACCAAGCTGCATGCAACCTTCATGCCTGCTTGCTTCATTCATGCCACCTCGCGGTCGTCCCACTCTCGTCGCTCTCTCTCCTGTCGCTTCATCCTCTGTCCCGTCGCTCTCCTCTGCCTCGTTCTGCGACGACGCCGCCGCCTGCCGATCCCCACGAATTCCTCCGCGGCCCAACTCCCGATTTCTTCAATCCATTTTGCGTTCCCGCGTTGCAACGCGCCCCGGAGCCGCCCGCCGACGGCCCCTTCGCGAACGGTCCGGAACTCCACCGCGCCGTCTTGTTGCAACTGCACTGCACGTCTCCACGCGCTCCGCGTACAGAATGGGAGAACACGTCTCCGTCGTCGTGCTCGTCGGCCCCAGCGGCGCCGGCAAATCCACGCTCCAGGACGCCGTGGCGGCGCGGCATCCCGACCGCGTGCTGCGCGCTGTGAGCCACACCACCCGTGCGCCGCGGGAGGGCGAGGTTGACGGGCGCGAGTACAACTTTGTCGACCGTGCCGCGTTCGAGGCGCTGGCCAACGCCGGCGCCTTTGTCGAGACGGCCGAGTACAGCGGCAACCAGTACGGATCCGGAGCCACCGCGCGCCAGGCGGCGCAGCAGGGGAAGGTTTGTCTGCAGGTGCTCGAGCCAAAGGGGGCCGAGTCCTTCCGGCGCCTGCGTGACGAGCTGGGGTGTCGCTTCGTCTTTGTCACGGCGCCGCGCGAGGAGCTGGTGAAGCGGATCCGCGCCGAGCGGCCCGACGCCGACGTCCGAGTCGACGACCTCGACGTGATGCTGCGCTACGGAGACGAGGCGGAGTTCGACCTGGTGCTGTCCAACAGCAACCTCGCGGCGGCGGTGGATGAGCTTTCGCGCTTTGTGCTCGGAATGCCCGCTCGCTCGGACCAAGCCTAGCGTGAGGCGGTTTCCTGAAGGAGGTACGAGTACGCTGCGGACGTGGAGGTTAGTTTCCCCCGATCTTAAACACGAACCCCGCTTGCGGGCCTTAAGCGCACGTATGTAAAAAAACTGTTCAGTTTTCAAAGGCAAAACACAACGCTCTGGCCTTTCGTTCGCGGAGCACTCGACCCTCCCCTCGCCGGCACCAACTTGATTCGTAGATGCGCGTCTCACGGCCGGACCGCGGGACGGGGAGGGAGGGGGGTGGATCCGTAAATCCGTAAGTCCGTAAATCGTGTAACAAAAAACCACGAGAGACTCCCCCGCCGCACCCAGCTACAAGGCAGGCAGAGACACAGCACTCGCGACACGCTGAGAAGCCGGAGGCTGGCCTCTCCAATGCTCGCGCAACGCTGTCTGAGTGTCTGTGCACGCGCAGCAGCTCTCCGGGGTCCGCGCGGGCGGCGCACACAGTGGGAGGGCGACGACCGTGCGACTGTAACGCTACGTATATCTCTTAACAATCACTATATTCGCGCTTGCGCTGCGCCCCTGCGAGTGCGACTATCAACCTCTGTCGCGTGCGCATATAATCCCCTCCATCTTGTCGTACAGCCTTGACCTCTCCGCCTCTGCGGCATCAGCGCGCCTCGCCTCTGCCTCCATCGAAATCTGCAGCGCGTCGAGCTGCTCGCGCAGCTCGGCCTGGATCTTGGCCCGCATCTCGCCGATACGCCACTCAAAATCAGCTCGAGCTGCGTGTGATACCTCGTCGGCCATCCGCTCGGCCGCTTTGATGTCGCGTTTAGCAGCTGCTGCGCTGTCCTCAGGTTGTCGCGGTCGGAACGCCTACGCTCTTGTGCCGCAGCAAGCTCAGCCCGCGCCGATGCGAGCGCCTTCTTCACAGCGCTCGCAGAGCGCTGCTCAGAAGCGAGCTCCTTGGTCTGTGACCGCAACTTCTCTTCCAACTCCTGCCGGAGCAGCACCTCAGCACTCGCACTACTCGCGGCTGCATGGATGTCCGAGCCCTTTAGTGTGGTTTGCGCGTCTGTGCTGACGAGAGTGCGGGAGATGCTGCCGTTGTGCTGACCAGAGATTACGCCAGCGGTGGCAGTGCTGCTTGGGCACACAACAACATTGCTCGTGGCCGAGCTGGCATAAACCGCCGCACCAGCCTCTGCGGCTGCAGTGGTGCTTCGGATCGCGTCGAGCACTGCGCCTGTATCGTGCTTGAGCATGGCCTCGAGCGTACTGAGGTCGGCTGTCCCGAGCTCGTTGAGCAGACCCTCCAGCACAATGCTGAGCTGCGTCGGTGCCATGTGTCGACGTGTCCAAGGGAACGGACGTCGCCGAAGGCCTTAGTTCACGCCGAAAAGTACGTCTAACGCCTCCTGCTAGCTGGGGCACGCTCCCACGCGGCTGGGGGCCGCTCTCCAGCTCGATTAGGGCGCTTTTCGCGCGATTTTACGGAATTACGGATTGGAGGGGGGTGGCGGCACATAGGGGGAGGGGGAGACGCGCATCTACGAATCAAGTTGGTGCCGGTCGGCCTCGCGCACACACTTCGCCTCGCCTCACAACTCGGACACAACGCCCTTTCATTGTTCCCAATCTGTCCTTGAGCATTTCTCCCTGCGAGCTAGAACGTATGTGCACTGGCTGAGGAGAGCCCAACGCAATGGCCGCGCTCGCGTCGGGCTTCTAGTCGGGCTTGAGCGGTTGAGGGGTCGGATGATGAGGCTTGAGGGCGGGGCAGCTGTGGCAGCTTACTGCTTACGACTAGGCTTTCGAGCGGTTAGCGCCTCGCCGCTAACCGGCAAGCGCGGATCCGATCCAGAAGGGGAAAGCCTGCTGCGGCTGCGTTGCCCTTTGTGCGGAGCGCCCTTTGCAACGAGCCGGTGTCCTTGTAGCCACTTCGCCGGTAGTTGGCGACGACGCGCTCGAAGGTCTCCATGCCCTCAACGACGTGCCCGAGGGTCGACTCGTGTGGAGTCCCCCGGCCAAGCCGCATGCCATTCGGAGATAGCGCCACGAAAAGGTGCGACGTTCGAGAGTTGACGCCCGCGCCGGCAAAGGAGAGAGTTCCGTGGAGGAAGGGCATTTTGTTGGGCTCGTCCGCAATGCGCCTCGCCCTGCCCTGCCAGCGAGCGGTGACCGCCGGGTCGGCAGCCACTCCGAACTGGACAAGGAGGCCAGGGATCACCCGGTAGAGCAACTGGCCTTCCATGAAGCCAGACTTTACGAGGTCGGTGACACGCATCACGCCGAGCGGAGAGAGCGACTCGTTGAGCAGCACGGTGAAGGGACCCGCAGTGGTGTCGCATGCAACGCGCTGCTGGCCCAAGGGAGCGAGCGGCGTGAGCAGCATGTACGTGCAGACGCTGGGAGCACTTCAACAGGAGAGAGACATAGACTTCAAAAGGTCCCACGCTCCCACCAAAGAGGCCAACGCTTTAAGAGCAATCAATGAATGGACGTCCCTCCCAAACTAGGTGCGATGCCCCGGCGGGCGTCTGTGCGTGTGTGGGACAGACGTTCCTACAGTGGGTTGCGGGCATTAAGAAAACAGGATTCCGCGGCACGCCGCCGTTTCTAAGCCTTTCCACAGCCCTCATCCACCCCACGCCGTGGTTTCTTAGCTCCGGGCGGGGCACTCAATCAAGCCAGAGCGCCGGCCCGAAGGATTTTTAGGTAAGAAGAGTGTTAAAGCTCGGTCCGCGAGGGCGATGCCAAGAGTCTGCCGCCGAGTCGGCTCTCTGGATGAGGGGAAGACGCACACACGCCTCCATCCACTGACCACTCCACTCAGAACACCGCAGACTTGAACAGTGACAAGTGCGCTGCCGCAGGCCCAGGCGAAGAGAAATTTTGAGCTGCAGCTGGGGCTCCGGACCCGTTCACACTCGTGTCTGGCCTTTTCTCGGGGCCGCGCCTGCGGCGCCCCGTGGTTTCTTAGATTTTTGCGGAAATCGCTTGGTAGGGTTTCTTAATGCGACGTTTTCTTAATGCCCGCAACCCACTGTATGCGCGGGGCTTCCCGCGGGGACGACGTATACCGCCGCCGCCGCAAACCCCCAATCCCCCATATGTTTGTATGCACATGGCGTGAAGAATTCCGCCGCCGCCGCAAACCCCCATATGTTTGTAAGTACATGGAGTGAAGAATTCTTAAAATACAAGCCTCTCTCACAGCACACTGGCACGACAAGGGGATCCACAAGGGCGCGGACTGGCTCGAGCTGATTTCCGGCTCACCGGTATCAACAACAAACAAATACGCCCTAAGCCGAGTGGGTGAAAACCTTGTCGCAGGTCGGCGCGCCGTGCAAGGTGCGCAGCCAGGGATCCTCCTGCGCCCATTTCCCGCTGCCCGTCTCCGCTCTGCCGATCCTGCCCCTCTCAGCGCATCTGTGCCGCACCGGCGCTGCCACGCGGGTAAAGTGACCCGGGGTGATCGGCTCCGCCGCCCTCCTTAGGTGGCGACGGCTGCATCCACACCGCGGGATGGCTGGCCCAGGGAAGCGGCAGTACGTGGTCAAGGGCACCACGTTTGAGGTGGACGTGCGTTACGAGGTGCGGAAGGGGGTCGGGCAAGGCGCGTACGGATTGATATGTGCCGCAAAGGACACAAAGGACGGGGACCAGGTCGCGATTAAGAAGATCACAAACGCCTTCGAGGACGCGGTCGACTGCAAGCGGATGCTGCGGGAGATGCGGCTGCTGCAGCACTTTAAGCACGAGAACGTTCTCTGCCTCCGCGACATCATGAACCCCGACAAGTCAATCGACGAGTGGAAGGACGTCTACCTCGTCACCGAGCTGATGGACACCGACCTCCATTACATCATCCACTCGAAGCAAGCGCTCTCGGACGACCACATCCAGTACTTCATGTACCAGGCGCACGTCCCGCCACCGCGCCGCGACCGCCCGCACCGCCGCCTCTCCCCATTCCCCCCCCCCTCTCCCCATTCCCCCCCCTCTCACGCCCCCCCCCCCCCTTGCCCCTGTCTTGCGTTCCACAGATCCTCCGCGGCCTCAAGGCGGTGCACGCCGCAAAGGTGAACCGTCGCCGCCCCCTCGCGCCCACCGCCCTCCTCCCCTCCCCTGGGCGCCCTGGCGCCTCGGCCGTCCCATCTTTTGCCCTTCTTCCTCGCCCCCCCCCCTCCCCTCCCCCCTTCCCCGGTGCCGGCAGCGCTGCGTGCCTCTCACCGCAGCGCGACTCCCCGCGTCGTGTCCACGTCGCTCCACCCTCCACTACGGCCTCCCGCGTCGGTCCAGGTGCTCCACCGCGACCTCAAGCCCGGCAACCTCCTCGTCAACAAGAACTGCGACCTCAAGATTTGCGACTTTGGGCTCGCGCGCGGCGTCGACCCCTCCCAAAAGGGCGTCCAGCAGGCGGCCCTCACTGAGTACGTGGTGACGCGCTGGTACCGCGCGCCCGAGCTGCTCGTCGAGAACGAGACGTACGGCCCGGGCATCGACATCTGGTCCGTCGGCTGCATCCTCGCCGAGTTCCTGGGCCGAAAGGCGCACCACCTAATGCCTCCGCACCACCTCCCGCCTCCGCACCACACGCCTCGCGCTGCGGCCTGACGGCGCCGCCGCCCGGACCGACCCCGCCGCGCGTGCCGCAGGCGCTCTTCCCCGGCCGCGACTATCTGCAGCAGCTCCGCCTCATCATCGAGGCGCTCGGACCGCCCTCGGACGAGGACCTCAACACCATCAACAACCCGCAGGCGCGCGCCCGCCTCGCCCGCCGCCGCGGCCGCTGCGGCGGCCGCCGCCGCCGCAGCCCGTAACTCGCGCGGACCGCCCGCCGCAGGCGGTGGAGTACATCAAGGCGTTGCCAAAGCGCAAGGCCGTCAACTTTGCGAGCCTCTACCCGAACGCGAACAAGGCGCCATTCCCCTCGCCTTTGGGCTCGGCCTGCGTCTGCTCGCCGCGCCCGAGAGTGCGTCTCACCACCGCCGTCTGCACCCCTCCCGCAGGCGGCCATCGACCTTCTGCAGCGGATGCTGGCGTTCGACGCCCGAAAACGCATCTCGGCGGCGGAGTCGCTCGAGCACGAGTACTTGGTGGCGCTGCACAACGTCAACGACGAGCCGGACGCGCCCCCGTTCGACTTTCACTTCGAGAAGGACGACATCACGGAGCGGCAGCTGCGGGGCCTCATCTGGGACCAGCTGCGCAACTTCCACCCCGAGGTGCGGAGCGCGGCGGAGCTACAATCAGTCTGAAGCGCCCCACAGCCCGCCCCCAGGGCTTGGAGCTTGCGCTCAAGCCACCGAGGTGTGACCCGTGTTTTTTTAGTCTCTTCTCTCCCACGTCCCTTCCACCCAGCCACATACACACATATTAACCTCAACAGCAACCCCCTCTCAGTCGTCGGAACATAGTGTCTCGGAGATCCTGTGCATTTGCATTTGTTTTGTCTAAAAACGCCGAAGAAAAGGTCGCCGCGCACGTCGCACTCGCTCTCAGACTCGCAGCTCGCACAGACCACACAGTCGTCAGTCGCACCCGAGTGTCCACGCCGAGGCAAGGAGACGCACAGGCGCGCACATATACGTAAACGCGATTGTTTGGAGCCGTCGGGGACGGGGTGCGCGCCGCTGCGCACACCACACACACTCTCACAGCTCCGGCGTCTCTCCCGCCTCGCGCGCGAGCGAGAGGAGCGAAGTGGTCAGGCCGTCGGGCGCCAAAGGCGCGCCGCTCTGCTGCCGTACACCGAGCGCATCGGGCGGCGTCCACTGCGGCAGCAGGGCGTCGAGGCAGGCGGCGAGGTGCGGCGCAAGCTCGCCCTGGAGGGCGGCTCGCATCTGCGCGTGGTGGTCCGCGCCGTGCTCCCCCGCGGCGGCGGCGCGCGGCGCGCAGCGCGCCAAGCCGCGCGCGCACTCGGCGAGCGCCTCGGCGAGCGCCGTCGCCACCGGCGCGCGCAACTCGTGCGCGGCGCAAGGGCGGAGCTGGTTGAAGGCCGCCATCAGCTGGTTGCACAGGACCGCCAAGGGCACGAAGCGGAGGAGCGAGGCGGGCGGAGGAGGGGCCGCCGCCGCCGCCGCCGCCTCGTCGGCCGGCTCCGCGGCCGGCTGCCCGTTGCCGGCGTCGACTGCGCGCGCCCCGCTGCCCGCGGAGAGCGCGCTGACGGCGGCGGCGGAGGCGGGTGGCGCCGCCCAGTGGACGGAGGTGATGGCGCGCGCCCAGTGGTCGGTGGCGGAGCGGAGCGCGGCGCCGAAGATGCGGAGCGCCGCCTCGACGAAGAGAGGCCGCAGCAGCGCAGAGGCGTCGAGGCCTGGCCGGCGGGGTTCGGAGGGGGGGGGAGCGGCGCCTCAGCGAAAGGAGCGACGCGCCGCGAGCAGCCGCGGGGGAGGGAGCAGCGGGGGAGGGAGCGTGCGTGCGTGCGTGCGTGCGTGCGTGCGTGCGTGCGTGCGTGCGTGCGAAGGGAGGGCGCAGCAGCAGCAGTGTGTGCGCGGACCGACGCGGCCGAGGGAAGCGCAAGCGTAGGCGGCATGCTCCGAGAGCGAGGCCAGATAGGCGCCTGCACGACGCCGCGGGGAGGCGCGTCGGTGCGCGGGCGAGGGGCGCGGGCGTGCGGGAGAGGCGACTGCCGTCGTGCACGCGCGGCAGCACACGGCGCACGAGGAGCAGCAGCGCCTCGACACACGCCACGCCCCACCCGCTGAGCATCGCCCCGGAGAGGCGGTCCCCGTGCGCCAGCTCGAGCGGCGAGAGCTCCGCCTAGCCGCGAGCGAGCAACTCACCCGCACACAGCAGCTGAGTCGCGCAAGCGGCGAGAGCCAGTGCCTGAGGAGAGCCCTAGGAAGTGTCTAGGAAGTGTCTAGGAAGTGTCGCCTGAGGAGAGCCCCAGCTGCCGCCCACGCACGCACGCCTCTGCCGCTCCCCCGCCGCCGCAGCACGCGCGTCCAAGAGGGCGGCGCTGCCGTCAGAGGCGGAGAGGGCGAGCCAGCCGCCGTCGCCACTGCGGGCGGCGGCGGCGGCGGCTTCTTCGGAGGCGGTGGCGAGCGCCGGCGGGGCTGGCGGCCAGTCGGCTGGCAGCGGCGGGCCGCATAGCAGGCGCTCCACGGCCGCGTCGGTGGCGGCGGGAGAGTCGAGCTGCGCTGGGGCGGCGGCGGCTGAGGAGAAGAAGAGGGCGCGGAACTGGACGCAGGTATCGTGCCTGCGCCCGCGGGGGGAGTGGCGAGGCGGGGTGGCGGGCGAAGGAGGAGAGAGGAGAGGGGAGAGGGGAGACGGGAGACGGGAGACGGGAGACGGGAGACGGGAGAGGGGGAGAGGGAGAGGAGAGAGGGAGAGGGAGAGGGGAGAGAGGGAGAGGGAGACGGGAGAGGGGGAGGGGGGCGTGGCGGGCGCGTGGGCCAAACCGCGCCAATGGACGCGGCAGAGCTCGAGGCGGCGCAGCAAATAGTCGACCGGCTCCGTGTCCTCGGGCGGGAGGGCAGCCACCGCCTACTGCCAAAGGCGCAGCGCTCGCCTCCAGCTCCACCCGGCCGCCTGCAACCGGCGGCAGCGGCGGGAGGGGAATGAGCGAGGGGCGGCCGCCTTGTCCAGGTAGGCGGCGCGGCCGCGGAGGAAGGCGGAGCGCTGCTGCGGCTCGGAGAGCGCGTGCGGGGGCGGAAGGCGCCGCAGCAGGCCGACGATGTGCAGCGCCTGCACGCGGCGTCCGGGGGCCGGCGGCTGGGGCGAGGCGAGAGGGTGAGAGGGCGAGCTCGGGCGCTGCGGCGGTCGCCTCTGGCAGCGTGAGCGGCTCCGAGAGGCGAAGGAGGAGGCGGTGGCGCAGCTCGCCGAGTGAGGCGCGCACGCCGGCGGCGACGCGCTGCAGCGCCGGGATCGCCGGGTGCATCGCCGCGCGCGCGGCGGCGGCGGCGTCGAGCTCGAGCGCCTCGCTGTACAGGCCATTCCGCACGGCAGACGCGGCGAGCTGCGGCTGCTCGAGGAGCTCGACCAGGTCGTCGTGGCAGTCGGAGAGGACGCCCAGCTTGGCGCGCGCGCCGGAGCCCTCGCGCGCGTCGCGGAACAGCGCGCTGCTCGCCCGGCCGACGGCGGGCAGAGCCGCACCGAGGGCGACGGCGGCGTCGAGCATCGCGGCCGTCCGCTCGCGCACCTCGGCGGCGCACTCGGCCGCCTCGACGAAGCCAGACGTGCCCGGGCCGCTCGCGAGGCCCAGCAGCTGCGCCTCGAGCCCGACCTGCATCGCACGAAGCTGCGCCGGCCGCCGGCGGACGGCGTCGAGGCTCAGCCCCTGGAGAGACTCGAGGTCCTCGGTGCCATCGAGCAGGTCGGTGCAAACCTGGTCGTCGAGGCTCAGCGCGGAGCGGACCTGGGAGAGGAGGCTCTCGGCCGGAGCAGGCGCCTGCGACAACCGCATGGGTGACCGATGGGCTGCAAGAAGCTGGAGCCGCGGCCAAAGAAGGCTCGGAGGGGAGGTCGGGCCCCACAATCATCGCATAACCATCGGAAGGCGAACAGGAGGGAGGGCCGAGGGGAGGGAGGGCCCCCCTCGGAAGGGGGGTGAGGAGACCGTGTGCGGAGCGGGGGGGCTCCGAGCGGTGCAGTCAGTGAGGAGTGGGTGTGTTGTCGTGCTAGTGCCTGGTGTCTACTAGCCCCGAGTAGAGGGGGCGTTCCGCTGCTAGGGGAAACCCGGAGCGCAGAGCTAACCCTCGGGGACCCGTGTTTACTTTAAGGCCCTTTCCCTGCGAACGCGAACCCCCGGGGCTAGGGCTCTCTTGCCCGTAACCCGATCCCGATCATCCGGCCCGCTGGGTGCGCTTCTGAGCTCCCCGGCCCTGGATGTGAGGCTGCCAACTGCACTCCAAGTGCTCCAAGTGCTCCACGACAGGGAAATCGCGCATTTTTTTTTCTCACTACACTGCCCTGCAAAACATCGCAAAGAGAGAACAAGACCTGGTCCTATAGTTTCTTTTGAGCTCGCCTTCGATGTTATATGAAACAAACGCGAGGCGGGCACACACCGCACGCATACGTATGATATGACACATCGCAAAAACAACACTTGCAAATCCACGTACCCGCGGCCGCGGGCGCTCGCTGCCATCAAGAATCACAAGGACTGGTACGCGCACCAGGAGCTCGTCAATCAAGGCGCGGGATGTGCACGTCAAGAACAACCCGTCCCTCGGAGACAGCGCCGTCAACAACCGCGAAGCCGCGCGCTTCGTCTCCGCCTCAACGCCTTTCGCCAACAAGGCCTTCGATGTCCGTGTCGACGGTACGTACGCCACCGCCCTCTCCTCCGACACCCTCCAGGACGAGCTCCAGCGGAAGCTCGGCCTTTGGCTCTCCGCGGCGCTTCCCACCCTTCGGGTCGCGCTCGAGCGGGGCATGCCAGTCGATTTCTTCGGCGACTACCTTTACAACAAGGCCCACCACCGGCGGCCCCACGACGGCGTCCTCGCCGCCTGGGCGGACGCGATGCGCGCCCCGGCCAACGCGCCGGTCGTGCACGGTGACAAGGAGAAACCAGAGCTCACCCGGCAGTACAACGAGGGGTACAAGGTCGACCTCGCAGAACCCCATGCGGGACGGGGGGGTGCGATGAAGTGAATGAAATCAAGCTCTGGACGCCCCTCCTCAAGACCTCCTCGCCGGGCGTTGGCAACGCCTCGAGTGGCGGCACTCCCTCCTCCGTTGGCCACTCCTACGCCTTCGGCAACACCGAAGAGAAGGCCCGCCGCCTAAACATGGGCTGCATCCAAGGCGCGCGGGCAGCCCGGCCCCTTCTCCCACAAGACCGGCCAAGCGAAGGCTACGTCAAGGCGCATCGCGGTTTCTACCACGACGCGATCTTTGTCAAGCGCAACAACTTCAACCTGCTGCTCCACGAGACGTTCGGCGGCGGCTTCTCGCCCACCGCCGTTCTCAAGCTGCGCCGCCTCGCGCGCAAAGTCGCGCGCGGCAGCGTTGACCGCACAGCCTACTCGCCCAAGTACTCGCTCTCTTTTATGTCCCACCATGCAGAGCGCATCTCTCTCTTTGTTGTGCGAGGCGTGAACCGCGCCATTCGCTCTCACCTGGCAACCCTGTCTGCACGTCTCGCGCGCGCGTGAACAGGGCTCCAGGCCCCAAATGACGTGTGAGTGTTAGAGTTGTTTGGTATTGCTAAAAATCTCTCTCTCACACATCGCTCGCTCTCGGTCGGGCCCCCACAGACATCCTCCCGCACACCGCCGCCAACGTCAGAAATATTTCTTTTTCTCCGCTCTATTTCGCGAACCCACAGCCCTGGCAACTGAGGGCGAGGGCCAGCATCTCACACCCCGCGCTGGCCAGCGCCATCAGCCCCTCACGGCCCGGCCCAACCTCCCTTCGCCTCGCCTCCAGTGCCTCCAATCAAGTCGGACCTCTCTTCTTCAGCGAATGCTGGAATGCAGCGGCAGCACCACGTGCACGTCAGAGGCCGGCCGGGCCGACTGCCCGACTGGTGGACCTGCATGCATGCCCAGCCATCCATGCCCCCCACTCCCCACCCGCTTGGATCGATCAGCTGACAGCTCCACCAGCTCCCACCACCGCGTGTCGTGCCTCATGAAGCATGACGTAGAGATAGACGTAGAAAGCACATCAAGGGTCTGGTTTCCAAAAAGAACTCTCGGCGCGCGCGTCCTCGAGCGTGTTACGCTGAAGCCCCTGCGTTCGCCATCATGCCCAAGCAGCCTCGCGACCTCGTGATTGAGCGCCTCAACCGGCCGCGCTGTCCCTGGAGGTGGTGGTTCGGTGGCGCTCTCGTCTCCTTCTCCTTTGTGCTGCTCTCACACTCACACAGCAGCGGCGGCGTCGGCACGCCCAGCAGCGGGTCCAACGATGTGCCGCTCGCGGTCACGCCGCTGCAGAGCCTGCGCCGCTCCTTCAGCTTGTCCACGCCGATCGACGTCGCCTTCACCGACCCGGCTTCGCTGCGTCGGGTGGCGCGCGCCCGTGCCGTCGACCGCGGCCGCGGCCCGGAGCTCTTTTTGCTCGCCACGGATGACGATGGCGGTGCGCTCGCGCTCAATGCGCTCCTCAACCTGCACGCCGTCGGCTACTCGTCCATGGTCCTCGTCGTGGCCTACCTGCGGGAGGCGTGCCCGAGGCTCGGCGCCGCCGCCGAGGGCCTCAGCTCCACCGCCGCGCGCGCCGCGCTACAGGGCACGCCGTGCGTGCACGACAGCTGGTGGGAGGCGCACCTGAGGCGGCACGGGGCCGGGCTGCGCCGCAGCGCGGGCGAGAAGGAGGTGTACGGCATCCAGATCGACGTCGGCGGGCCCGGCCGCTGGCTGATCCGCTGGGCTGCGGTGGCGCGGCTCACGCGGCTTGGGTACAACGTGCTCTGCGTCGACACGGACGCAGCGAGCCCTGGCCGCCGCGCTTCGCTGCCCAGCAGCGACCGCCGGCAGGGACGTCGGCCGACGCCGTGAACAGGTGATCCTCGGCGACGTGCTGCGCCACCTCCACTCGAAGGCGCTCTGCGGCAGGTTCGCGCTCATGTTCGGCAGCGAGGGCCCGGGCGGTGGGCTCCAGAACGGGGTCGCCTACTCGTGCGGAGCGATGCGCGACGGCGGCGGCGCGTGGGTGCTGCAAGAGGCGCCGCGTCGGCTGCACACGCCGCTGCACTCCACGCCTCACACCTCGCACACCTCTTCCTCTCCACACCTCGCCCTCTCTCCACACCTCTCCCTCTCCACACCTCTCCCTATCCGCACCTCACCTCTTCGCACCTCACCTCTTCGCACCTCACCTCTTCGCACCTCTTCCTCTCCACACCTCTTCCTCTCCACACCTCTGCCTCTCCGCACCTCGGTCGCACTCCACCCTTCCACACGCCCGGGAGGTGGTCGACCGGTACCTCCGCCTCGCCGACGCGTGCGGTGGCGCCGACGGCACCGACAGCGAGTCGGACCGGGCGTGCCCCGCCGGCTCGTGGCTACGCGCGGCGCGCCTCTTCAGCGCCTTCGCCTTCGACCAGCGCGCGCAGATTGGCGCGGTGCACTCGGCGATCACGCACAGCGGGAGGCACTACTGGCTCCAGGTTGCCGACCTCATCGACCGCTTTTGGGTGTTCGACTTCCGAAACGGCGAGCGGTGGAAGGCGCGCCACTCGCGCCCCGCGCAAGAGAGAGAGGGAGGGGGGCGGAGGGAGGGAGGGGGGGGGAGGGGGAGAGAAAGAGAGGGAGAGAGAGGGCGAGGGAGAGAGGAGTCGCGGGGCGCGGGATGTCACGCGCCTGGGGGTGAACGGTGCTCCTCCAGGCGCTGCACCGGCTGCTCGACGAGGCGCAGCGCCCGAAGGACAACACGCTGCACACGGCGCGCGTCGACGCGCCGCCGCGCGTGGGGAGCGCCGGCCCGCGCCTCGGGTGGACGCACAGGGGAGGGTCGAGGCGTGAGGCCGCTGCGGGCGCGGGACGGAGATCGTGGCTGTCGGCGCCGCTGGTGGACGAGGAGGCAAAGGCGGGCGGCGACGTCTCCGCCTCGTGGGAGCGCCGGTTCGCGCTCGCCGAGCCGCCGCGCGTCACGTGGGCTGCGGTCCGCCCCGCGCCGCCGCTCGGGACCCGAGGAGAGGACCCGAGATCACCCGAGATCACCCGAGAGTAGGTCCGGCCCGCGCCGCCGCTCGAGGGCAGGCTGCCCGAGAAGCTCGCGGCGGGGCTTGAGGAGGCGTGGCAGCGCGTGTGCGGCTCAACGCGCGAGGAGGCGGAGAAGGAGCGCTTCGGCCGGGGGCGGAAGGAGGTCGAGAGGCGCGCCTTCGAGGCGTGCCGCGCCGAGTGGCGCCGCAGCGAGGAGGCGCGCTCCGCAGCAGCCGACGCGTGGCCGCGGAGGTGGGCGCTCGGCAACCGGTCCGGCTTGCTGCCGCACGCGCGCGGCGCGCTCTCCTCGCCCTCGCGGCGTCGGCGGGGAGGACCGCGCAGAGTGGTGGGCGGAGTGCTGACGCGTGTAGGCCCTCTCTTGTAGGCCCTCTCTCCCTCGCGTGGCAGAGGACCCTCGACTCGGACCTGCTGGCGGCGGGCGGCGCGCCTCGCCGCGCCGCAGCAGAGGGGGGGATCCCTCCCCGGCGGGACGGACCCGGCGGGGCGGCGTGGGCGGCGGGCGACGCAGGCGACGAGGGGCTCGGCCTGCTGCCGATGCACATCGCTTGCCACTGGAGCATCGCCAAGTCGGGCTCCGTGGGGGGGCCGCTGCCGCACACGCTCATTTTCCACGCCACGGCGCGCCGGCGCGCACGGCAGTCCCGCGCCCGCTCGCTTGGCACGCTCACGCCCCGCCTCCGCTCCACTGCGCGCAGAACTCGTGGGACAAGGAGCACGCTCTCAAGTCGCTCGGGCTGTGGCACTTCGAGGCGAGCCTCGCACGCCCGCCGGCCACGTGCGGGAGAGGAGGAGGCGGCGGCGGCTGCTCCGGCCCCGAGCAGCTCATCTGGGCGAGGGGCGGCCGGCCACGCGTACTCGCCTTCGCGCCTTCGCTCAGCGAGCGGCGAGACACACGGGGGCTCGCCACGCCGAACTCGTCGGTGCACGCCACCGAGGTGGTTGCGCCACTGCTGCTCGGCGCTCTCGCGAGCGGGCGGCTACCCGCGCTCCCCCGCCTGCCGTGCGGCACCGGGGGTCCCTCGCCGTGGCTCGTGTGGCACGGTGGCTTCAAGACGCGCTCCGCCGATCAGCGGTACGTGCAGGGCCTCTGCCGGCACGGCTCGTGCGGCATCTACTGGGTGGCCACCGGCAGCACCGACGCCGCCGAGCTCGAGGCCGCCGACGCGGCCGCCCGCGAGTTCGGGGGCGGCGCGAGCCCCTTCCCGCGCGCTCGCTCGCTCGGGCGAGGCCCAGTGCGGTGCGCGCCCTTCTCCGCGCTGTACGGCCGGCACCCACTCTCGCACGAAGAGTGCAAGGATGGTAAGAAGGCTTGGCTGCTGCAGCCGCCGGCATGGGAAGCCTACCAGGAGCTGCTCGGCGCCGCCGCCACGCCGCGTGCCACTTGTGCGCCGGCGGAGGGGCGCGCGTGCGCAGCCACTCTCCATATCGACGGCGTCGGCGGCGGCGGTAGCGGAGCGGCGAAAGAGGCGCCGCTGGTCGAGTATGCGGCGCTGGCAGACGCGCTCGCTCGCACTGACAGCGCGGGCGTCGTGTACCTTCCCTCTCGGCTCAGGGTGCGGGAGGCGAGCATCCCGCGCGACGTGCGCATGAAGCTGGAGCGGTACTGCAGCCAGATCTTCGACGAGGGCGACGCTGCGGCGCCCGCAGCAGCGCCACAGGCGCCCACCCCAGCGGCGCGCGAGCGAGCGCAAGGCGGCGGAGTGTGCCCGAGCTCACCGCCGCAGCGGTGCAGAATGGGATGCCGAACCACACCAGTCTGCCCGCAAGGACAGTGCGCAATGCGCCAGGGGGGCTGCTGCGAGATGAAGTGCGTCTCTGCAGTGGCATAGCCGTCTTGCACTTGTGTGCGTCCGCTGCGTCCACCTGTTTCTGCACACAGTCCTGCTGCTGTCACACTTCTCCCACTGTTGGAGCCGCCTGCTCGCCGCGCGATTTGATAAGCCGCATTATTAAATATTTCTTTTTTAGAGCAATACGAGAGGCCGCCGCAAGTCCCGCGGGTGTCACAATGTGACGGCGCGGGGCGCGCCTCACCACTCTTTTCTTCTCTCTCTCGACGCGACATGTCGTGAGAGACGGGATGATACATGACGCGTTCGTGCGACGACCAGGGAAGCTCCTTCTCCATCGTGCATCGATCCCGTGATAGCCACTGATACAGTAGGTCCAAATTTCCTGGAGCCTGGTGTCGGCTCTCGGGCTGCGCAGCGCCGCGCCTGCAGGTGCGCCGGGAAAACTCCCTCAGAGGCCGTGACTCCGCGGAATTGGCGGTGCTGATCCGACGTGGATTGTAGTGGGGCGGACGCCAGGCTCCCGGTCGGCCCGCACTTCGTTGAGCATGCAGAGCAGCTGCTTCTCGAGCCACTGCCGGTGGCAAGCCAAATCCGCCTCGATCCGCGCTAAGTCGGATTTCAGCTCGTCGCGCAGCGCGAACACCTCATCCTTGACGGAGCCCTTTGGTCGGGGCGTGGGCATGCTAACGAGCCGATCGAGGTCAGCGAACGGGATCTCGCCGGTGATTGAGATCGAGGTGAAAAGCCTGTCCAAGACCTTACTCGGTCCGTTGTAGCCCATCGAGAAGAGCGCGTCCCGAAACTCGCTCTTGGAGAGAGACCCCGTGTCGTTCGTGTCCCACCCGCGAAACATGTCCTCCAGCGACCCGTGCCTCTCGTTCAGGAGCTCGCGAATCTTGTCGGCCATGGTTTGTGCCTTGTCGGGCGTGCCGTCATCCTCTACCATCTTGTCGAGCAGCACCGCAACGACAACATTGATGAGCACGATTTGGCAGATGAGGATGAACGAGACGTAGAAGAGCGCTGGTCCGATCGCCTGCGTTGTACCCATCACCGCCGGACGCGCAATGGCCTCCGCCCACGACTCGCCTGTCAGCACTTGGAAGAGCGTGTACAAAGCGCGGAAGAAGGTGCCGAAGTACTCCTCGCCATAAGTGAAGCCTCTCGCAGTGACGGAGGAGACGGAGATGTTGAGCGAGCAGAGGCCGTCGTCCACCTCCTCCTCGGTGCAGACTCCACGCAAAACGTTCTCGTTGTAGGTGGTGTACTCGCCGTCAGCGCCCTTCATGTGAAACAAGTCGACTCCGATTATCGCGTAGATGCACATCACGATGATCTGGATGAGGAAGGCGTGAAAGACGCCAGGGATGGCGCGAACCAGCGACTTTATGATCTTGTTGAGGCTCTTGACTCGCTTAAACAGTCGGAAGATGCGGAAGGCTCTAAGGTTGCGGATCAGCGAGAGAGACCCGGGGAGGAAGGCGGGTGCGAAGGCCTCGGCCATCGTCAAGCAGCCGATTGATACGACGACGAGGTCAAAGAGGTTCCAGGCGGCATTATACCGCCAGAAGGCGAACCCGAGCCCGTAAAAGTTGACGAGCAGCTCGATCAGGAAGAAGAGGTTGAAGGCGAACTCGCCCCAGCGCCACAGCTGCGGGCGCAACTGGTTGGTGTACGGGTCTGCAAGCGATCGCGGTCGAGGGCAGTGAGAGGGCAGTGAGAGGGCAGGGGTCGATGCAAGCGATTGCGGGCGAGGGCAGTGAGAGGGCAGGGGTCGAGGGCGTGGAACCAGAGGAGTGAGCGGGAGCAGTGCGTGAGCAGTGAGCGTGAGCAGTGAATGGGAGCAGTGAGCGAGCGCGCGCGAGGAGACGCGCACCCCACTCCTTCTCAGCACAATTGAAGATGAAGTTGGAGCAGATGAGCACCGCTACTGCAACTTGCACCCAAGGTTTGCGGTAGAAGTCAAAGATCTCCCGCTGGTGCGGCAGGCAGAATGTTATTCTGGTTGGCGGCTGAACCGCAAAGCCGTCCCACTTCAGCTTGAGGTTGGACGCCTCGGTCGTCACGCTGGCTCCATCGTCACCGTGGTGTGGTGTGGCGGGGGAAGAGCCGAATTCGGTCGAGGGCACATCCTCCGACGTCTCCATGCCCTCCACGTCCTCCTTCCGTTTCCTTCGCCGCGCCATGATGGCGGGGATCATCACGACAGGCATGCGCCGCACAGGTGCCCGTCGCCAGCGGCGGTTAGGTCGGGAGAATCGCGGGAGGAATTGGGGCGGCGGGAAATCCCTCATGCTCCTGCCGCCCAGTCTTGAGCCAGATGCCGCGCTCGTCTCGTAAAATTCTCGTGCGACGCACTTGCAAGAGAATTCTTCTGAGACGCCGTGTCTGTCGCGCGAGCTGCTCGGCTCTCGCTCACGGCTCGGCTGATGCCAAGCCTCCCGAGTTCGGCCCCGCCTCTCACGCTCGAGGAAGCGGAGGCACGGATTGTCGAGCTCGAACGCGAGGTCTGCGCTCTCCGAGCTGCCGCGGGTGACGGCAACTGCGTCGTGACGGCTCCAGCCAGCGAGGTGTCCGCACCGTGGCAGATGGTGCCGATCGGCTTTGTTGAGTCCGCCTTTGTGTCCAAAAACGGAACGCCGCGGCAGTCCGGCATCGTGCCGGCAGCACCGGCGCGCCTTCGCGTGCTGTGGGGCACCAACCCCTCGCACTCTCTCGAGGGTCTCGGCGGCTTCTCTCACGCGTGGCTGCTCTGGGTCTTCGACCGCAACGGCGGAGCCGCCGTCAAGGCCAAGGTCCGGCCGCCGCGGCTGGGCGGCGCTCCGACGGGCGTCTTTGGCTGCCGGACGCCGCACCGTCCAAACCCGGTCGGCCTGTCGCTCGTGTCGATCTCGCGGGTCGACGGATCGACGCTCTATTTTGACGGCGCAGATTTGTGCGACGGCACGCCGGTGCTCGATATCAAGCCGTTCGTCCCTTCAGCCGACGCGCCGCCTCCTTTCACCCCGGTCCGTGCCGCGCCTTGGGTCACCCCGTGGGGCGGAGCAGAGCCGGCCGGCGAGGACGGCGGCGGTGGGGGCGGCGAGGGCGAGGGCGGCGAGGGCGAGGGCGGCGGGGGCGGCAGGGGCGGCGGAAGATCCGCTGCGTGGGGTTGCCGCGTCGCCTTCTCAGAGCTCGCCCGGCAGGAGCTGCGGGCGCTCTGCGCGGCCGAGCCGCCTCGCGGCCAGCCGCAGACTCTGCGCTTCTTCCGCTGCCAGCCAGAGCAGGCCGAGGCCGCCTTTGTGCAGGCGCTCGCGGCGGACCCGCGCTCAATCTACCGCAAGGAGAAGTGCGCGGGCAAAACGCACTCCCTTCCTCCGGCCTTCCACTCTCGCGCCGCCCACCGCTGCCGCTCCCCACGACCCCACCTCCTAGGTGCGCGGATGCTCCCTACTATCTCAACCTCGACGGGATCGACGCGGTTTGCCGCTTCACGGGAAAGGTGGTCACGGTGGAGCGTGTGCGCCTGAGGGAAGGAGGAGAGGATGTGGATAGTTAATGATTTTGGTCTCTTTAATTATTCGTGGCACAATCACACAAGCCTCAAGCGTCAAAGCCTCAACGCGCTCGAGCCCCCCCGCCCGGTGTGCGCGCGGCGACGAGGCGACCCTTCTACGCCGGCCGCCGCCGCCCCCGCGCGCCATACACCGCACGCGCCCACCCAAAAGCCATAACAAGCTGCCGAGCCCAAATCACTGTGAGAGTCGTGATTTCTTGTTGGTTAATAAAAATCTCTCTCTCTCCCAACCACACAGCTCACAGCGTCACAGGTGGAGGTACGGTAGGTGCCACCTAGGTGCCACACACACAGCACACCCGCTCCAGCTCACGAGTCAAACCCCCCTTTTTTGAAAGGTAGCTAGATACGCCCTGGTCGTGTTTGTTTGTTCAAGGGGCTGCTCTCGCGCATAAAAATAACGGCGCAAAACAGAAACGGCTCACGAAACGCGATGGATGCGTTGCAGCACTCAATCGCTGGCGCCCTCGAGGCGGAGCAGAGGAAGACGCAGGTCAACGACGCAAAGCTGCGTGCAGTGGCGCAGCGTGTTGACTACGACGAGTTTTGCAAGATGGTTGCCGGCGCCCACCTGAAGCCTGTCAAGCCGTGCTCCGCCGAGTCACGAGACATCTCACGGCCCTTTGACCAGTTTGTGTTGCCAAAGTACGAGCCAGCAACGGACAGCGTCGACAGACATAGCACTCGCAAGGTAGAACACGACGCCGAGCCACCTGCCTTCTCTCAGCCATCCAGCTCGCACGAGTTTCTGCGCACGTGGAGGCGCTCCTGCAGGGCGCAGGCTGAGCGGCTGAGGTACCTCCGGGTGCTTGACATCGACACCCTGCCGATGCTCTTCCGCACTGAGATGGACCCGCTCCTGTTGGATGCCTTTGTCGACACCCTTCACGTCGCAGTCTGCGAGAGGGAGCCCAGCGGTGACGGCTCGGCCGAGGCGGCGGCTATAGCGCAACAAGCTCCGCTCGCGCTCTGGGCAGTGAGGCTGCTTGCCGGCCTCGCGCGCGTCAACCGCTTCGATGCGACGCTGAACTTTGCGGCAGGTCCAACTACGGACAAGCTGAAGCGCATCTTTGCTGCCGCCGCATCCCACGCTCCCGCAGAGGGAGTGGCAGGTAATGGCGAGCTCGACGCTGCGGCCGTGGCCGCGTTGGCGTCGAAATTTGGCATTCGTGATGTGGTGGAGGGCAGAGGAGTGGTGTAATGGGCCAGCCGATGTGCGGGCGGGGCCCTTGATGATGCACGAGGGGGATTCTCGAAGTAGAGAGAGAGAGAGAGAGAGAGAGAGAGAGAGAGAGAGAGAGAGAGAGAGAGAGAGAGAGAGAGAGAGAGGTATATGAGGGCTAATGGCACCACAGGCAAAGTCGGTGCGGGGGATCGGGGGTGTCGGGTCGTGGCACGCGCGGGCCAAAGCCGCATGAGCCGAGATACGATATGTGCGGGCAGCTGTGCTGTGGCAGAGAGTGGTGCAGCAAGCCCATCGGGGGCCATCTTGTGCGAAATCCAATAGTGGTAAATACCCCACTCTCTCTCGGACACAACATGTGCATGTGCATGTGCGCATGTGCACAGACGAGGCCGCACGGCAGAGCGGAAAGTAAACCGGCGCGACGAAGCGCCGTATACCTCAGTACTGTAGGCTATACAGTGCGGTGCAGCAGATGAGTTTTCGTCACGTCTGGAGGTGCCGCATCACCAGTATGGAATGGCACGCGCCGGCTCATGACCGCTTGCAGGTCACCTGCATCTCGTCCGTGCGTGAACTTCAACTGAGTATTTCATCTCGTGGCGGCTCGCCCAGATTATCGTTATGAGGACTGCTCTCCACCGTGGCGTAGTCACTCTCGGCCGGAGAAGGTGTGGTCGCGGTCACTGCATACGCTGATAAAGCCATGCTGTGGATTGAGGGTGAGTCACCACCGTGCTTGGAGATATCCATCTCGTCCATCGCAAACCGCTTCGCTGACGCTGTGCTCGGCGAGCAGCCCATTGCTGTGCAAACGGGGACTCCTCCTGTCGGTCCGAGCCTCGGCGTCCTCAGTCGGTAACGTCATATTCTCGAATATCAGGTGATATGGCCCCCAAAAGGGGGAACGAACACGTACAAACCGGGGAATGCGTGTGGTGCGCAAAATCAGTCCGACGTGAGAGCGGGCACGCCGTCGGAGTTTTTCAGTACGGAGACCGACCGCAGTGTACGAAGTCGAAGATCGAAGTACGAACGACTACTTTTATAGAACTTACTAAATAAATAAATAAATAAAACGGACACCTCTACTGTGAGATGGGTAAAAAGGAACAGGTCCCCGCCCGTGCGATCTTTGTGCAGGGTTCTTTGTGGGTGTGGTCGGCGACTAGCCGGGGTCGTCCTCGCTCCTCCCGATGGGGGACTAACTAGTACTAGCCGTCTTCCACATGGTCCCTCGGGTCCCTGCTGCTCCTAATCTCTTCGTACATCCTCCTGCTGATCTCCGCAAAGTCCTGCTCCCTCAGGGGCGCCCTGGACCACTCAGACCGTCAGACGTACGTGCATGTCTATTGGCATGCGCATGGCGCAATGAACTTTTACACACTGGACACGAGTTCCAGAGTATGCATCGTGGAGCGAACACGGTGCTGAGCTCTGTCGATATGCACCTGTTCGGCAAACACCCGCCTCGCCCAGAGGTTGAATTCGCCGAAGCTGCCAAAACTCTCCTCGATGACGGAGAGCAGCGCCTGGCGGTCCTCTGGCTTGGCGCATCGCGCCTGCGCCGCGTCAAACGAGGCGAAGGACGCGGCGACGTCGGAGAGGGTCGCACCGGCCGGCGCGTCGGTCGACGCGGCGCGCGACGCGTTGAAGGAGATCGCGCGCGAGGGCTGTCGCGCGGACGGCTCGGCGAAGGGCAGCACGGTGATGCGCTCGAGCGGCGCGCCCATCTTGAGAAAGGTGAAGAGCTCCATGACGCACCAGAGCCTGCTGCTGTACGTCGGGCCCGCAAGGACGAGCAGCCGGTCGCAGCCCGCCAGGAAGATGGGCAGGCACGCGAGCGCCTCCTGCACGTTTCGCTGGTCGATGCAGAGCTTGTCGAGCCAGACGGAGGGCGGCCGGCCGTGCTCAGCCTCGAAGGCCTCGGCCCACGCGCTCAGTGCGGCCCACTTTGGCTCGGGCGGGTCCTGCCAGCTGTGAGAGATGAAGGCGTCGCACTGGCCCATGGCCCGCGGCTCGCTGCGCCAATTGTCCGCGCCGCGCTCTCCGCCGTGCTCGCCGCCGCCGTCGCCGTCGCTCGAGAGAAGGCTGCCGCGGCGGCTCGATGCGCGCGTCGAGTGCTCGCTCGCGCGCGCGTCGCCGTCGGGGACAAAGTCCGCCCTCGACAGCAGGTCGAAGGAGATGGTCCGAAAGTGTGACTCGGCCCACTGCAGCAGCGTGTCCACCGAGCCAGCCACCGAGCCGCCCCGCCCCGCGACGAGCCCGGCCAGCACCGCCGCCTCCCGCTCCTCGGCGGTGGAGCCCGTCTTGCAGAGGGCGGCGAGAGCGGCGGCGCGCACGCGGGGAGCGAGAATGAAGACGAAGTTGAAGAGGATCGAGAGGCCGCACAGCAGGACCGGCGCAAACAGGTCCGACTGCGGGAAGAGCGGGTCGTCGTCCCACATCTTGAGCGGGATGTAGGCGAGGATGAGGGTGGCGCCGCTCGCGCCGATCGCGCGGCAAAACTCGTTGTGCAGCAGCAGCAGCCGGCGCGGCGAGGGCTGCCTCCGCCGCGCCGCGTCGACGAGGATGCCGCCGAGGAAGACGAAGCCGCCCAGCGTGAGCGCCGAGAGGCAGACGCACAGCCACGGCGATACGCGGTCGATGTGGCGCACCTTGTACGCGAGTAGGCCCATCGCGACGCTCACGGCGCCGAAGATGACCGCGTCGGCGAGCACGAACCCAAAGACCATCCCGCCGTCCGAGGGGCGGATCGAGAGGATGGCGAGGCACGTGGCGGGCGGCCACAGCACGATGGTGAGCAGCGGGTTGCCTGCGAGCTCGACCGGCCAGATGCGGTACGCGAGGGAGAGGTAGAGCGGCGTGAAGGCCCACCAGCAAGAGGCGAGGCCGAGCACCTGGAGCAGAAGAGAGAGCAAGGCTGTGACGAAAGACAAAGGAAGCCGTGCGGAGGCGAGTGGTCCACCTGCAGCAGCATCTGCACGCGCACCCGGATCCGCCGCCGCGCCGCACCCGCCCGCGAGAGCTGCCTCACGAGCGCTTGCCGATTGGTCGCGCCTCCACCCCTGGCGCCGTTTTGCACGGCCGCCGCCCCCGCGCGGCCCCGCCACGTCTTTGCCAGCAGCGACGCGGCAGAGAAGGCGCCGGCGCCGGCGCCGGCGCCGGCGCCGCCGCCGCCGCCGCCGCCGCCAACGCCGCCAACGCCGCCAACGCCAACGCCAACGCCGCCAACGCCAACGCCAACGCCGCTGCCAACGCTTCCATGGCCAGAAGCCTCATCGGTGGCGGTTGGGCAGCCGCCATTAAAGCGGGAGCGGCGGCCGCCGCCGCCGCCTCTCGCCCTGCTATGCGCTGTCCTGCTATGCGCTGTCCTCCTGCGGCTGCTGCTGCGGCGGTCGTCTCGCATGCGGAAGGCGCCCCAGCCGCACAGGAGCACGATCGTCATGCCGCCGCAACTAACAAAGTAAGCGAGCAGGCCAAACAGGCCCCGCCGCGCGCTCGCGCTGCCGCTGCCTGCCAGGTGTGATAGCTCCTCTTCGACGGCGTCGTCGCCCGGCAGCACACCCCGCTCGCAGAGGCAGCGATACCTGCGGTGGCAGAACTCGTCCCTCCACCCGCCGTTCGGGTCGATGGCGGCGCAGTCTTGCATCGCAAACAGGTCGTCCGGCTCGCCAGGAAGCCATTTGGAGTAGCTGCCGTCGCAGCCTGCGGTCGACGGCTTCCATCCGACCGCCGCGCCGCGGTCGTTGGGCCACTGGTAGTGACCAATCCAGAGGTAGGGCCCTGAGTACCCATAGTCTCGGCGTGTGAAATCGGCCATTACGGTGTTGGCGACAAAGGTGGCTGCTGCGTCCGAGCCAATGCACGCGGGCGCCGACTGAAAAGAGAGGGCGGCACAGGCCTCGTAGCACTGGCCGTGCTCATGGCGATCCTCGGTGACGTAAAAAGAGCGCTCGCCCTCCGGCCAGGGGAGCCAGCCCTCTGCTATTCGGTGGCCTGGCCGCTTGGCGAGAACCACGATCGCGGAAACGCTGCCCACCACAACTGCACCCGCGAAGAGCATCAGCGGCGAAGACCCATGCCTCCGTCTTCGGCTAGGGCCAGCATCGCCGTGAATTGTGCGCATGGCGCTGAACACCTTCGAGGTGCCGTGCAGTGGGCCGTGCAGTGGGCCGTGCAGTGGGCCGTGGATGTGGGGCGTGCAGTGGGGCGTGCAGGGGTGGCCGCAAAGCAAGAAGGAGGCTGGCTCTCCCGGTTTGAAAAAGAATTCAAAATTATGCCAGCACACTGGCACGAGCGACTCGTGCCGCCGCCCCTGCCACCCCTGTGTCAGTGTGCCTGTGGTAGGAGAGACTGCCAGCGACAAGCTGGAGGCAGGTCGCTAGACTGAGATGAGACCGCCAGTGGATGTGGGAGTCCACCGCGCACCGCGCTGCGAGCCTGTCGTGTCCCTTGTCAGGAGCAGGAGAGCCCCACCTGTCCCCCTGATCGTTCTTCCAAAATCCTGCTCGTGCAGGTGGGGACCCTGTCCTCCTCCCCTATCCCTCGTTTGGGCGGTCTGTTTTCTTTCTTTCTTTCTGAGCCCTGGCCTCGACACCTCGACACCAAACCTCGACACTGACTCGACACCTCGACACCCCATGCCAACTCGACCAACTCGACACCCCTCGACACCCCTCGACACCATCTAGGCTGGGACCAAGCTCGTCCGTGTCAAGGTGCCAAACTCGACACCTCGACACCCCTCGACACCCCTCGACACCCCTCGACACCGCTCGACACCGCTCGACACCGCTCGACACCGCTCGACACCGCTCGACACCTCTGATGATCCTAACACAGCAGAGATGTAGACCCATTGGAGTCAGAGTTAGAAATCAGGGTCGCAGCAGCAATCAAACTTGGCTGGCAGTACTTTCATCCCTGAGTTGCAGCCTCTCAAGTCCTTAGACGCAAAACCCCTTGACAACACTCGACACCTGCTCGACACCCTCGACACCCTCGACACCCCTCGACACCCCTCGACACGGACAAGCTTGGTCCCAGCCTCGACAGGCCTCGACAGGCCTCGACAGGCCTCGACAGGCCTCGACACCTCTATCCCTCGACAGCAGCTCGACACCCTCGACACCGGGCCTCGACACCTCGACACCAGGGCTCAGCTTTCTTTCTGGCACGAGCGAGCGAGCAAGCGCGTTCGAGCGAGCGAGCACACACACACACACATACACACACACACACACTCTCTCTCTCCTACCTCCCCAGAAATCCCGAGGAGGCGCACAGCGCCTAGATATGTCTTGTGTTGCTGTGTGCTGCACGCCCTGCGAGCGGGGCGGGGTGCGCACTGTCCCTCTGTGTTCGTGCGTCGCCCATCTCTCCTGGAGATGTCTGCTCTATTTATTTATTTATACTGGCACGACAATGTCTGTTTTATTTATTTCTTTCTTTCACGCGGACTGGCGCGGAAAAGCAAAAGGAACTCTTCAAGCCTCTCGAAAAAGAAAAAAGGAGGGCGGTTCGAAAAGGAATTATCCGGTTATATGTAATATGAAGAAGCAGACGTCGTGCGTCCGTTTTATTTATTAGACGTCAGAGAGATTTTTAGAAGCCAACAAGAAATGTGTGAAGAGAGTGATTTGGGCTCGGCCTTGTCGACTACCGGCCGGAGCCGAGATGGGTCGTCGAGGGTGTCTTCTTGACGTCAGAGGGCCGCTCTCTTTCCTCCCCAAATCCCTGTGTGGCGGCCTGTGCCGTTCTCCCTCCCTCCCTCCCTAGAACTTTCCGCGTTTTCTTTCTTGAGAGAGAAAACATCCTCGACGCTCGAGATTCCTCGAGAAGAAATGATGGCCGCCCATTTAACTCTTATTTTGGCGCATCGCCTCAGCTCCCGAGCCAATCCGGGCGTGGAATACCCAGCGCAGCATAGTCGTCACCGTATATCTCCATCGCCTCGCGCAGCACGTTCGAATCGTTGAAAAAGTAGCTACGTCTCAAGTTCCAGACCGCGGCGCTGGTGCGGTGGCGCGATGTCGCCGAGCCTGCACGCGCTTTTGCGAAGAAGTACTCGCAGATCGCCACCGGCCGTCGGAGGAGTGTACACAGCGCGCGGCCCTGCTTCTGCAGCGAGCGCGAGCCGTTCACGCCATGCGACTGCCAGCGCAAGACAGCGCTGTGGTTGCGGAAGCCGCCGCACGCGCTGCTCTGGAGGCAAAAGTGGCCGTTGGATTTCGGATGGCGGAGGCTGTGCGGGTGTGCTTTGGGAAGGGCCCAGAGAGAGCGCAGGCCATGTACAAACTCGGCAAATTCCGGGGTCGCGGACGGGTCGGTGCAGCGAAGCGATCCGCGCATCAGGCAGTTCTTCCTGTGCTCAGACGTCCCGGGGCGGTTCGCGACGCACTTGTCGAGATAGCCGGAGTACAAGCGCTCGAGGGGATCGCGCACCGCAAGCACATGGTGCCACTCGGGCGTGGACGCGTAAAACTCTGCCCAGCCGTTGTGTAGGTGGTCGCCCATGAAGCCTCCTGAGCCGACCCGCTTTTTAAGTCGCGGCTCAAAGCCGCCGCTGTACTCCATGTGCTGCCGGAATGGTCTGCCCCTGGCATCGACCACGACATCTCCCCGGAGGCTTACCGAAGGGTGCGCAAGTGCGTGAACCAGCCCTCGCCACTCCGAGTACGCTGCCTTGAAGCCGACGCAGACGCTCAGCTTGGCTGGCCAGGCGAGGTAGTACTCCATGCCTCCGTCGACTGGGACGGGTCCGCGCAAGGCGGATTGGCACACGGTACAGTGGAGACCACATGAGGCGCGGCAATCAGGCAGCAGGGCAAGCAGCAGGGCAAGCACCAATGCTAGCGGGGCCGAGCTCAAGCCGCCGGCACATGCGAGAGCGCTGCGACTCGCTTGATGGTGGTGAGATGGCATTTGATGCACGAAAAATGCCAACGACGTCTGCCTACCTCGCGCGCGTTTTGCCGCGCGCTTGCAAAGGGCGAATGTCGACGCCTAAATAGACAAGTCGGCCGAGGAGAGCAGCGAAGAGCGGAACCGAAGCGGAACGCGAATCGGGATCGCATTCTCCTCGAATGGTTTTACGAGCGTCATCTTGTAGTGAACAGGCCGACATCGTGGTTTGAGCGCCCAGCGCAGACCGACCGACCGCAGGGGGGGGTCCGGTCGACGGCCGCGGAAGACCGCAGACCGGGGGGGGGGTCCGGTCGGTCGGAGCGCAGACCGAGGGGGGGGGGGTCCCGTCGGTCAGGTTGGCTCGTGGGTCACACCGCACACGCTCGCCGCAGCTGTGAATAAATTAGTCTCTCGAAATACTAGAGACACAAGCGCCCTCTCCCCCCGTGTAATCACTCCTCGTCCGGAGCGGCTGCGCTCTAGAGAAGCTCAGGGTTGGGTCGGAACACAAGCTCGTCAATGTCCCCGCCCACGTCGAGCCGATGAGCCCGGTGTGCGGTGAGGGCGGAGGCGATGTGTCTCGATCACAATTCTGCGTGTAGTCATCGGAAGGGACGATGCGCGCGTACTGTGTAGAACTGGAGCGCTGCCACAGAGATTGTACAGAGCGACGGCAAGCACAATCAGGCCTGCCTACGCCGCGTGGATGCTCCACATACACGTATGTGAGTCGGGCTGGCTCGAGCCTCCTTCGTTGCGTAACTAGTTTGCATAGCGAAACCGGCGATTTCGAAGCCTGTGCGCTGTGGCGGTTGGGTTCGCTAAGAAGGAGGGGGAGAGAGCGTTGAGGGGGCTCACGGCAAGGACACGGACCGAGGGAGGGGTCAGTCGTCACACACCTCCCGCCGCCGAGAGAGCGACCGACCGGAGGGGGGGTCCGGTCCACCTCGGGGGCAGACCACCGACCGGCGGGGGGGTCCCCACGAAGTAGGGGGGGTGGGTTCAAAGTGACGCTCGTATTTGTAAACCATCCGGCCCGCTGGGTGCCCCTTCGCCGTCCCTGGGTGTGAGGTTACCGACTGCACGCCAAGTGCTCCAAGTAAGTAAACCTCTGCAGCTGGATCCTGCTTCGTCTCGCTCGTTCGGCTCACCGGCTCTCTACAAGTTGCAACGTCGGCCCTCGGCCCCACTCCCCACACACAATCACAGGCTCCAGGGTGGCCAATCTGAATTCTGATATATCTGATGATATTATTTTTCTCAGATTTCACGCCCGCGAATGTGAAGAGAGACGCGCGACCCGCGTCGCTCCGCCCGCGAGGGCATGAGCCTTCCGCGATTCGATCCCGCAGCCAAAAGCTGCTCGCTCGAACCGCGGCCGACTCCGCCATCGCTGCCGCAGCTGTTGAGCTCTCCAGAAGACTGGTGCCTCATATGCTGCCTCCCTGCGGATGCTGCCGGCGAGCCTGGCGGTCCGCTGTACTACAAGGATGTGCTGACTCGATTCTACCTCGAATTCTACCCCCACGACCTCGGAACGCGAATGTGACAGGACCATCGGGTCCTTCAGCCACCAAAGCGAGATCACCCGAGAGCAGCTGAGCCTGCCTCTGGCCTCGCCTCCCTCTCCTCCAGGCATTCGTGGCATCCTATGGGTCGTCCAGAGTATCGACCTCTGGCTTGTCAGCGCCGCCCCACCGAGGGCACCATGAAGTACAGCGATCGCCACCTCGCTGGCCTCTCCGCAAGGCCCCCCGACCGCGTCGAACTCATCGGCGCGGGCTCTCTCGGCTACGGGACCGGCCCCAGCTTCGGCTGAGCCTGAGGGCTGACAAGCTGCCGAGAGCCCAAATCACTGTGAGAGGCGTGATTTCTTGTTGGTTTCCTAAAATCTCTCGAAATGTGTAATGTGAAGAACTCATCGGCGCGGGCTCTCTCGGCTACGGGACCGGCCCCAGCTTCGGCTGAGGGCTAACAAGCTGCCGAGCCCAAATCAGAAAGATCACTGTGAGAGTCGCGTGATTTCTTGTTGGTTTCCTAAAATCTCTCGAATGTGTGAAGAACTCATCGGCGCGGGCTCTCTCGGCTACGGGACCGGCCCCAGCTTCGGCTGAGGGCTGACAAGCTGCCCCGAGCCCAAATCACTGTGAGAGCTCGAGTGTGGGAGTCGTGATTTCTTGTGTTGGTTTTCTAAAATCTCTCTCTCGAATGTGCAACGTCGGCGTGGTGGACACAGGTTAGGCTCCTCCCTCCATCGGTTGCTCTCTCGTACCGCCGTCTCCGCTCCCGGGCTGTGATGAGCGTACATCATCGCGCTCCCCGTCCTCGTCCCTCCGCCCCCTCCACAGCCTCGGCGGCTGCCACTGGTCCGACCTGTAGCTGTCCTGCATGTCCTGGTACTCGCTGGCGTCGTCCTCGTCCTGGAACGGTATGGCCGGCGAGAAGAAGGTGCCGGTGATTAGAGCCGTCATGGGAGCGAGCGCCGCGACGATGGCGAGCATCAGGGCCAGCAGCGGCAGCCTCGCGAACGACGGCGCGAGGCTCAGGGTAGTCGAGCCCAGCGTAACGGCTGCCGAAGCGAGAAAGCCCAGCAGCGCTATGGATATCGCGGCGACGGCGACGCTCGTTCGCAGCATGGGCGGCCTCGCGCCGTTTCGCAGGCCCGTCGCGGTCGCCGCGCTCGCTGAGATGGCCGGGCCCGCTGCAGCGCCGGCCAGGTAGCCGGCGACGACAGCGCCGGCGCCGTTTGCTGCAATGTCGACAACGCTCATGGCCGGCTGCGGCGCAGCCGGCGGGCGCACGCCGCCAGTGAGTGAGTGCAGGGCGAGCATCGAGCAGAGATGTGGCGTCGAACTCTGTGGCATTCGAACTCACCGCTTTCCCACGCCCAGAAATAAAAGAAACTTCGCCGATACCTCCTTGGGCCGCGGATTCTTATTTCTTTTTTGTGGCACCCAAAAACTCCATGCCGCTCACCGACGCCTCCGTGGGGCGGCCGGCACAGTACGAGCCACCTCCACTCTACCGCATCCGCGCCACATCGCTCTTTGACGCCGGGCTGCAGCAGGGGCGCATGGCCGGCACTCGTATCCGCGGCTGGCTCAGCACGCCCGAGATGAAGGGCCTGAGAAACTACACGGACAGAGACGGTGCGGCCGGCTTCGCGCAGCTCAAGCGCGACAACGCTGCCACCTTCCCACAGCTGGTCCGGGAGCTGGAGGGCGTGGCTTCGGGCGCTGGCGTGCCGCCCGACGACATCTGGCGAGCGACGATGATCAACGAGCTGGAGAGCCTCCGCTCGACTGCGCCGGGCGCCTGGCACGCGGGGCACTGCTCGGACGTGTACGCAGTCCCTCCCGGCGGGTACAGCGCGGGCTTTGCGCACGGGCACAACGAGGACTGGCCGGGTCCAATCTGGCAGTACTGGTACTTTGTCGCCTATTCCGCCGCACCCGGCGCCGACTTTGCCTCGTGCGCCGGCGCAGTCTACCCGGGTGGGCTGCTCGGCTGGGCCGCGTCTTGGAATGCGCGGGGGCTCTACCTGACGCAAAACTCGCTCTTCCCGAAGCGCAACCTGCCGGGCGGCCTCTCATCTGCCTTCGTGCAGCGCGCGGCGCTCTGCGGCGCGGGCGGCGGCGAAGCGGCGGCGGGCAGCTTGGACGAGCTCGTCGGCGCGCTGTCCACGCCTCGGGGCGGGCTTGGTTGGTCTTCGGCCGCGTCGCTCAACTTGGTCAGCCTGGTGGAGCGGCGGATGGCGAACCTGGAGGCGCAGCTGCAGTAGCACGCGAGGCGCCAGCCAGCCCTCTCGGAGCCTGCTCGGAACCGTCTCGGAGCCTTCTCGCAGGTGCACCTCGACAAGCACGCGAGGCGAGAGGTGAGGGAGGAGGAGGTGGCGGGCGAGGGGCGCAGCGGCGGCGGAGGAGCGGCAGGGGCCGCTAACTACTCCCACTTCAACGCCTTCAAGAGCCTCGAGGTCGGAGTCGCCGACGACCCGGAGCCCTCCTCGCGGCACAGGCAGGCGCGCGTCGACGCACTGCCGCCCGTCCGCAGCGCGGCTGACATCAGGTCGAGGCTGAGCGACGCGCGGGACGAGGCCTTCCCCATCTACCGCAACATGACGCTGCACACCCTCGTCCTCGACGGGCCGACCGGCCGGCTCGACGTGTGGTGCTGCGGCAGGAGCGCGGCACACGGCCCGCCCGTCTACCAATGGGAGCTGCTCCCCTCCTCGCCCTTCTTCGGCTTCGCCGAGCGTCTCCCGGCGCGAGCCCGAGCCGCGAGCGCCGAGCCGCGAGCGGCGGTTACGGCTTACGCGGTTTGACAACTTTGAGGGGGACCACGACCAGTGAGCGCCGCAAGTCCTAGCGGCGCCCAGCCCCCGCCCTAGATCGTGAGTTTGCAGTTTCCCGTTGCGGGGTCTACATCGCACATTTTTACACCGTGACCGAAAAAGCCGCCATGGAACATGCGCACATGCGAGGGCTCTCGAGAGGGGCCGCAGAGTACTGAGTTTAGAGAGGCAGAGGGTTGGAGTACGCGGGTCTATACCGTAGGCGTAGCAGCGTCGACCGGCATGGCATCGAGTGCCGACTAGTCGCCGCCGCAAGGCGTAGGCGCCGGCGGGTACTTGACGAACTTGTTGCCGTCTGCGTCCTCGGTGGTGAGGCCGACCACGTTGCCCTCCCCGTCCTTGCTGAAGCCAGCCACAGATCCAAAGGTCTGCGACGTCACGAGGCCCATGCCGGGCTTGTACACGGAGACATAGGCCAGCGGCATTGACTGCGGGCCGACCGAGACCTCGACCAGGCCATTGTTAGGGCCGCAGGCCTGCGCCGACGGGGCACGGTTAGCAAATAAGCGCGCACGCACAGTGGGCGGCGGCGGCGAAGGGCAGGCACCCCGAAGAGCTTGAGCGAGCCGACGGACTTGGCGGCCGTGTTGCAGATCTTGCCAACCTTGTTCGGGTCGGTGTCGCCCTTCCACGGGCCCGCGGCGTCCTTGAAGAAGGCGCACTTGAGCAGGCCCTCCTTGAAGTCGCCGCCCATGTTCATCACCGACTCGTACAGAAACGAGGTGCCGCCCGGGCTGACGTTCAAGGCGATGAGGCCGTAGTTCTTGCCCGTGCCGATCCAGCCGAGGTTCTCCGAGACCCACGCCCAGCAATTCTGGATGGGGTTGGAGGAGCTCTTCTCCTCGGTCGCTCCGCCCTTCTCCTCTGCGCGGCGCTCCTCAACGAATTTTGGGTCCGGCTTCGGCGCCTACACGGCGCACACGACAGGTAGGTGATCCAGAGCGTTGGCGAGTGTCACCGGCGTGAGGCCGGTCCCACGGTGGGCTTCGGGCGAGATGACATGTTCAAGGAGCCGCTGCAAATGGGTCTCGTTAACGGGGGGGGCCGGGCCCCCCCGGCGCTTCCGGCGTTTTGTTTTTTCTTCGTTGTCTTCTACGCCATCGTCGCGCCATCCAAGATCTACTTCAACTGCCAGGATGGAGAGCTGGCTGTGCCATGCGGGGCACTCGACGTGCTCGAGCGTGACATGACGGTCATCGGCGGCGACGAGCGGGGGACGACAGCACCGATCGATCCTGTACCGTGTTTGTTATAGCCCCCCCGAAAGAACACACCAGTGAGGGAGGGTGAGACGATCGAGGGGTCCCGTACCATGCGGAATCGGCCCTATCAAGTGCTCAAGTGCTCAACTAGTTAACTGGTTGAGCCCCGCCCTAGCCTTGGAGTTGCAGTTGGACACAAATGTTGGGTCAACAAACACACACTTTCATACCCCAACGGACTCAAAAAGACAAGCCTCAAGTTAGTCGACGACACGTGACGCTCGGGGACCCGCCTTCTTACCCATCTCTCTGGAATCTGTCCGTTTTTATGTAATAACGAGAGACACCCGAGCACGACCACGAGAGACACCTACAACGTGCGCGGTGCGGCCCTGCGGGTGCGGCCTGGCGCCTGCGCGCGCGCGGCGGCACCGCTGCTCTCTAGCGGCATGTGGCAGTGGGCGCTGTCCACTGACCGGCTCTTCTTTCCGCCTCGTGCCCCGCGCGCGCGCGAGCGCGCCAATATCTCATACCCCATGGGGAAAAGACGAGACCGAGCTCCGAGGGACGCTTACGGCTGAGCTTAGTTACTCTCGCTCAAAATCCACTCGCTCCCGCTGCCTGCCTGCCTCACATTTCGAGCGCGAGCCTCCCGCGCTGCTGCGATCGGTGAGGCGAGGGCGCCGCTGCTCTCTGCGCCTTCAGGTCGTCGAGGTCTTTGCTGGAGATCTCCGCCGCCGGCTCCATCGGCCCGCCGCCCGGCTCGCCCTCCTCCTGCAGCTCCACCATCCCGTTCCCCGGCAGCACGCTCGGGATGACCGACCGCGCCGTCCCGTACGCCACCGCGACAAAGATGAAGAGGAAGACGATCAACGGGAAGATGACGTCGGCGTTCACGTCGGTGTAACCATCCGGCGAGAGCGGCGGCAAGTGCGGGTGCGGAGGCATGGCGGGCGGCAGCCCGCCGGAGCGAGCCGAATCGGACGGTCGCAGCGCCACCATCACCTGTATCGAAGAGTGAACTATATGGCGCTGGCGCTCAGACCAACTGAGCAACCGTGCAGTGCCCCCTAGAGTGCCCCGCCGCCTTGAGGTGCTGCATTCGCGTATCTCCGTCCCTGATCCCACCCAGCCCTCCCTCTGCTCACCCCTCCCCTTCTCTCCCCTCGTTCCCTCCGCCCCCCCACGCCTCACCTCGATATCTGCGCCCAGCTCGACCTGGTGGTCCGCCTCGCGCCGCAGCTCGCACCAGTGAAGCGGCGTCGGGATTGGGCGCAGCTTGCAGGCGCCAATCTCCTTATGGTGCGAGAACTCGTCGTAGTCGAAGATCTGAATCCGCAGCAGGCCGGCCTCGGGGCTCTCCATGTCGCAGCAGAGGTCGTAGACGGGGTTGGCCGTATTTGGCTCCGCAGGCGAGCGGCACTCCTGTCGGCCTCCTCGTCCGCCAACCAAGGTGAGGAGCACGTAACTGCGTCGGTAAGAGCCGGCGGGTGAGGGAGAAGAGCGACGGCGTGGCAGCTACCGCCCGGGCGCGGCGACGCCTGTCTGGCAGCGTGTTCTTGGGCCACGTGTCCGTGGGAGGGAGGTCTCGCGCTCGTCGGACACACACCCTAATCGGCTGTCCGCAGTGCACCTGGCAGGGCGGGAGCAGTCGCACCGGCGCAGTGTGCAGACGCAGGAGGAGTCGCATCGAGCTCAGAGGCACAGGCGGGCGGGGCGGGGCACTCACGTTGTCGTGCGGGTCGTTGTCGTGCCGGCACGGCTGGTTGATCTCGCGCGAGTCGTGGAAGCTGGCGAACTTGCCCCACAGGCTAAGCGAGCCCATTATCGTTTCCTCGTGCACAGGCGTTCTGCAGCGCGATTCTGCAGGCGCCATTCAAAAAAAATCACAGCACACTGTCACACAAAGGGTGGGCGACGGCTAGTGCACCTCACCCCTCTCCTTAAAATCCCTGTGTGGTGGCGGCGTGCCGTCCTCCCATCCCTCCCTTGGGTTGTCTGTTTTCTTTCTTTCTTTTACACACCGGCACACCACCGGAGCCGAGTCTCTCTCTCTCCGGAGCCGCCTAAGCGACTCCGTTTAAGAAACGTCAATGCACTGCACCATGCACCCTTCTCGGCGCAGTGGGTGCCGAGGCGCCGTTCGTTTTTTCTTTTAACCTTTTATGAGCACGTCCCGTCGGCAAGCTGCTCTGGCTATCACGACACACGAGGGGACGCGCCCCCCTTGCGCTGGTTTCCCCGGCGGTGCGAGGCGTTATTTTTCGCTAAATTACAAAGTTTAAGTTAGCCACGTCTCTGGGCAAAACGTGACGTCTCTTGGCTAAGTTGCTCTTCCTCTTGACGTCTCTTGCTGGCCTGTCTCTGATTTGAGCGTTGTGGTTCCGTGTGTGCGCACGAGAGAGATGGACAGAGATCAGAGCGAGACGTCTCTGGACTCTGCGAGCTTTCTCTGTGACTCTCACTCTCTCTCTCTTCTTGTGAGTTTTATGTCATAAATAATAAATAAATAAAACGGGCAAACTCTGAGACGAGATGGGATTTAGGGACATGTGTCCCCGCCCTGCACGATCTTGGTGTAGGGATCTTCAATCCGTGTCCCCTCACCCCTCGTCACAACCCGACACGGAAGAGCGGCAAGAGTTGGGGCTGCGGCTACGGCTGCGGCTATGAGAGGGGCCGGGGTCGCGGGAGAGCCGCTGCGCCGCGTGGACGCGCCTACACCGCTCTTGCTCCGCTCGCCACCTCTCGCAAAGGTCCAAAGCCATAGCCACCACCTCCTCCGGCAAGTCCTTTCGCCGTATCTCGCCGTCCCTCCACGCCTGGAAGAGCTCGTCGTCATAGCCGTATTGCATCACAGCCTGCTGAACTGCGTCGTGTACGACCCCTGCCGTCCTATCCTGCGCCTCAGCGTCGGAAAAGTCGAACTCGGAGTCATACTCGGAAGCAGGCACAGACGGCCGCGGTGATTTGGCAGGCGGCGAGGAGGGGGAGGGGGAGCGCGGCGGTGCGCGCTCGTGGCTCCCGCTGGTGCCAGAAGGGCCAGCGCCCAGCGCGCTCAGCCTGTTCTTGTTCACCTTGGGAGAGGGGGGTGGGGGTCCACCTCCCTTGGGTGCGGGCTGGCGGTCAGGCTTGCGCTTGACCGCCTTGCCCGGCGGCTTGCGGCCAGGGTTCCTCATGGTGAACCTGTCCGGCATGCCGCCCTTCCCAACCCTGGTCCACCCCTCGGGCGACTCGTTGGGCTGGGGCTGCTGCACCTGTTGGTGCTGCGGGTGTGCCTGCGGTGCTGCGGCCGGAGCTGCAGCGGCGGCAGGCGGTGCTGCGGGCGGTGCCGCGGCGGTGGTGGCAGCAGGCACAGGCTGCGGTGGGGCACTGCCCTCCTTGGCCTGCTGCCGCTCCCTGTCCCTCTCCCACTGGGACTGGGGCTGGACAATGAACTGCTTGCCCATGGGCGTCGGGTTGACGCTGAAGCTCCACCAGTTGCGCTCCACGGCGAGCTGCGAGAGGAGTTTTATGTCTCATGCTTGTGTCCGGTCGCCCACCAATATGCGCGGCGCTATACGTAGGTGTGTGAGGACACGGCACGTGTCTCTCGCTCCATGACCAACACTACAAAACAAGTAGTCTCCCAACTCTTACGGAAATGCAAACGTCTCACAACCCCTACCCGCTACCCGTCTTGTGTGCGCATGCAGCTCCACGTGTGCGTGTGTAAGCGAGCCCGCCGACCAGGCCCGCGGAGATCGTCACGCCGTCTTGCGCACAAGGACAAACGGCGCAGCGTTGCGCACGCCTCCCGACGCTCGCATCCCGCCCAGGCCGAGCAGCACGCCGGGCGCCACCTCTCGCAGCTCGTCGCGCATGCCGAGGACTGTGCCCCACAGCGGCTCCCCCGCCGCGGCGTAGTCGAGGCTCAGCACGGGCCTCCCGTCGAGCGTGGACGGCGCGACGGATGCGCGGAAGGCGCGCCTCGGAGGTCCGCGCTCAAAGAGGTTGGCCCCGCTGCCGCCGTCCGCGCTGAAGGCTTTGCCAGACCACCGCGAGGCGGGCCCGAATAGGTTGTGCGTTATGAGTGCAGACACGGGCGCCAGCACACCGAGCGGGAGCAGCCTCCCCTCCCACTCGCCGCTCCACCCGCCGATCGTGGGAGCGGGCGAGGCCCGCCACAGCGCCACGGCATCCGCCTTGGACGTCAGCGCAAGCAGGCCGGCGGCATCAGAGCAGGAAGGCGGAGGATGGGAGGTGCCGCCGTTTTGCGCAATGTTGAGCGCTATTAGTGCGCCCAGCGAGGCGACAAGCGCCGCCACGGTCGTGCCTGCTGTGCTGAGACCGCCGCCGCGGAGCCGAGCAGCAGCGAGGCAGGTTGCAGTATGTGACGAGCGCTCGTACGCACCAGTGCCAGCACCGGGGCCAGTGGCGATCTGTGACGCCTCGGTGAGCGATTCGGCGGCAACGATGAGGACGGTCGGCACGAGCAGCCGCCTCATGTATGTACCGCTTGTTGGTGGTGTGTCGTGCGCGACCTCTGAGTCCTGCACCGATGGTAGGATCCTACAACTGTAGTGCTGGGCCGCGCGGTCCCTGCAATTTTTCTCTTTCCCCAATTTTATTTATTCAGAAGGAAATTTGGACGGCGGCGGCTACGTGGCGTACAAGAAGGCGGACTACGCGCACGCCCTCTCGCGCTCGGACACGGACGTACAGATGTACCTGTTCGAAACCTTCGTTCGGCGGGTCCGGGTGTCTGCGTGTCTCTTCTTCGGGTGGTTGGGAGAGTTTGTTTGAGATTTTTAGCAATACCTTAACAATACCAAACAACTCTAACACTCACACTGCAACGCGGTCAAGCGGCTGTTCTACCAGATGAAGGACAAGGTCAAGGACAAGCTCTCGAAGCGGCAGCACGAGGACGAGGCGAGCTGGTCGACGCGGTCGTGGCTGTCGCTGCAGGCCCAGCGCTGCCCGTTTGTCAGCGCTGTCAGTCGCGCTGCAGGCCTGCAGCTTCTCGCGGCGGCGGATGAGAGACTATGGAAAGTTCACGTCATGACGGTTAGCCGCTGTCACGACGGTTAGCCGCTGTCATGACAGCTGCCAGCTGTCATACAGCAAACGACAGCGACAGTGACACCTACACCTGTCACCAGCTGTCACCAGCTGTCACCAGCTGTCACCAGCTGTCACCAGCTGTCGTTGCTGCTGTCGTTGCTGCTGTCGTTGCTGCTGTCGTAACCATCCCCGACTGGTCCAACTGTCACTGCTGCTGTAATTGCGCAGCTGTCATTCCTGCTGTCATTGCTGCTGTCATCGCTGTCGTTGCTGCTGCTGTGCTGTCATTGCTGCTGTCATTGCTGCTGTCATTGCTGCTGTCATTGCTGCTGTCATTGCTGCTGTCATGAGCACCCCCGCAGGACAGTGTGTGGTGCCACTAACGAGAGAGACAGGACACTCAAGATATAGATGCATGCGCGCGAGACCGCTCACTCGCACGCCCGACGCCACATGAGAAACCCTCTCAACAGTAGCCACGCACGGTCAGCAGCAGCGGGCGTGAGTCGGAGAATCTGCAAAACCCTTGCCCTCCTTCCTCCAGCATGTGCCGTGATGGGCTCCAGCGCTGGTTCATCTGCCGCTCAAAAATCTCACGCGAGCGAACGGTGTCAATCCTCAGCCGCGAGGATTGGGACCTTGAAATCCACGATCACAAGCAAACGCGCAGAGCATTGAGCAACACACCTCGGGTTGAACCTCTCAAGGTGCATGCTGTCACCGGCAGTCTGCATGTGGATCGTAGACGATGACTATGGCTGGAATAAGCTCAGGTTCGTCACGAGAAGAGCTCCAATGCCAGCCAGCTGGCTATCCCACACGCTCGGCCGTCGGCGGATCAGCCCACTTTCTTCGTGTCAAAAGAGCGGCGACATGAAAGCTCCGAGCACACGCATGGTGCGCATGAGGCAAGCAGGTCAGGGCCTCTCGCCGGCTCCAATTGGCACCAAGTGGCACCAAGTTCCAAGTTCCAGCACACCAAGTGGGGCCGACGCAGGCGGAAAGATCACAAGCGCCCGTCGACTCTCTGAAAAAATTTTCTCAGGTCTAGCGCTATTCAAGGTAGACATATCCTCGAGACGTTTGCACGCCGCTATTCTTTGTCAAGACCTACACCGGCCAGCGCCGCTGGCTCCCCCTGGCTCACAACCCCATTCATTCACAGTGAATGAGACGAGGATCAAGGTGAGGCTCTATCGGGTCTTTTTGTGGCAGCACTCGCACCAGCACACCACACGCACCACCACCAGCACACCACACACCACACACCACACACAACGCACCCGTCCACAAGTGCACGTCCACGTGAGAGCACACACACGTCACACGCAAGAAGTGCCTTCTTACGGAGGCCGCTTGGTTGGCTCTGACCTCATGGCCTGCAGTCTTCACAGAAAGGCAACCTGCCATTGCTGATAGTTTGAGGTGAGCAATGGCATGCACATGCGCGCGTGTGGGCTGGAGGAAGGCACGGCGCGCGTGGCTGGCGTTCACTGTGCGAGTCAAAGCGCACCGGCCACGGTGGCCATTGCCGAGCCACAAGTGGCGTTGATCAGGAACTCTCATGTAGAGAGCTCTGCTCTGCTACAAGAAAGCAGGCTCACCCTACACAGAGAAATTCTGAGGCAGAGGAGCAGGAGTTTTGCAAAATGTGTGAGACGTACAAACGCTGCTGTGCATCAGGCGTTGAGAGCTACATCCACGCGCACCGGTGTCTTATTTTAGTCCATGGGGTGTACTGCACAGATGGGTGGGTGGGCGGTTGGGCCCATTCACGAGGGCTATGGCTGCCTCACGGCTGTGCCTGTGGCGCTGCCTCGCTGTCGCTGTCGCTGTCGCTGTCACTCGCGGGGCCCCGCGCTGACATTGTCACCGCCTGTCGTTGGCATTCACTGGCTTCACTGTCACTGTCACTATGGCTGTCACTGTTCCTGGTGCCTTTCACTCCTCCTTGGCAGCTGGCTGTCACCAGCTGTCACCAGCTGTCACCAGCTGTCACCAGCTGTCACCAGCTGTCGTTGCTGCCGTCGTTGCTGCTGTCGTTTCGCAGCCGCTGTCATGACATATTGACCACGTCATGACGGTTAACAGCCGTTTTAACCGTCATGACGTGAACTTTCCATAGTCTCTGAGATTGCGACCGCCACCGTCGCCTAGACTCCCTTGCGTCACTACGTGCCTCCCCGTGTTCCTGGTGTTTGTGCCCCGTTTGTGCCGCGTCCCGGGCCCCGAAAAACAAAAAAAATTAACAACGAAGGCTCTCAAAAAAAAAATTTGGCGTGCTCACGCCGAGCTCGCTGAGCCGACCGTACACGCTTGCCAGTCTCAGAGCGGTCGGGCGCACACATGAGGCTAGGCATCCCTCTCTTCCTCGCGACAGCCGCGCACGGTGTTGCGCCAGCACCAGCTTGCCACCGCGGCGCCTCTCTCATTCGCGACGCCGCCGCCATCCCGCGAAAGGCCGTCATCGCCACCGCCGTCGGCCTCGCTGTCGGCAGAGTGACCCGCCTCGCCGACCCTTTCCAGCCTCGTCGGCTGCTGGTCGTTGGCGGCGGGCTCACAAGCGCGGCCATTCTCCGCCGCCTGGGCTACGTCACCGTCCACACCAGCACCATTGGCAGGCACCTCGGGCGCCTCCAGCGGCTGTGGACGACCAGCGGCACCCGGGCTGGGTCTCGCATCGATGCGAGCGCCTCCGAGACACCCGCTGAGCGCCGCACTGCAGCGAGCTTGTGGGCGATCGCGAGCCGCTTGGGAGGTCGAGGCCGCCTCCGCGGCTCTCCGCCGGCGCCAACCAAGCCTTCCGACCCACCGGCAGCAGCAGCGCCGCACTCCGCCCGCCGGAAGCGGACACCGCTCGGCTTCCGCCGCCTAGGTCGTGCAGCTGTGGCCGGACTCACCGCGGCGTGCTCCAGCGGCGGCCTGGCCTTTGGCGTCCGCCGAGGCTACCGCGCCTCGCTCGCCATCCCGCGCATGTACTGGGCGAGGCCGGGGCGGCTTCGGCCCGTGTGAGCTGTGAGCAGTGAGGTGGCGCCGACTCCGTGACTTAGCTTTTCTTCTCCACACTGGGCAGCCTTCTTGTGTGAAAATTCCTCGCCTTCGGGAGGACGTCGCTCGTCGGCCTACAGTGCTCAGTGGGTATACGGGGTGTGGAGGGCCAGGGCGTGAGTTGACCAGGGGGTTGTGCGCCGGGCCCTCCTGCTCGGCTCCAGCCGATAGACAAGTCTTGTCATCACAGAATAGATGGATCTGACCTCGGGGCCGATGTGACCAAGCGCTGGTAGCGTGGTTTGACCTCACACCCATGGTCTCACAGTGTGCCGGCAGTCGCCGAGCACAGTGTCGCTCTCACACAAGCCGCAGCACAAGTGACTGAGGGCCAGTGAGGGCGAGCCCATCGCTGTGACAGCTGTGGCAGCCGCACAGTAGGCTGTGTCAACTGTGCAGAGTGTGTGAGCAGCAGAGGAGCTGCTCTCCAGGCTTCTGTCGCAAAGAGCTGCATGCCACCGAAAGCGCTGTCGAGGTTCGCCAAGCGCGGCAAAAATCAGGGGACACCGTCACCGACGAGTGCGTTGGACTTTTCACTCCGGACAAAGACGGCGGCACGCACACGAGCTGCGGTCGTGTGGCCGTCATAGCGGCGAGGCGCGGGACCGTCTGTGGCGAGGTGGGTCGCGTCCCCGATTTCCGTCAACCCTACTCGAGTAGTTGCGGGCATATTAGCCATTAAGGTCATTCACGGGTGTCCGCGGCCCACTGTGTCCGCTGGTAGGACAGTGACCGCCGCAAACCCTGTGGTAAGCTCCATATGATCTCGGATATTTTTTGTAGGCACCGGAACGCCAAAAAACTAGTATGTCTTGGAGTGAAAAGTAATCCGAGCAAACCCGCTCGAGGGGGAATCTGGAGAATCTGGGAATCTGCTCACCACGGACCCCCACCTCATCGAAAAACTTTTCACTCCAAGACATACTAGTTTTTTAAGGTGCTCTACAAGCTAGGCACAAAAGATATGGAATTGCAGCCAGTTAGCGCCCCTTAGACGGTCACTGAGTAGGCCAAAATCCCCACTGGGCCGGGAGCAACCTTAAGAATTTTACAACCAAAGGCGGTCGCCCATTAAGAAACCCGCGCTTACCATTACGTTAAGAAACCACGCCGCGCGATTTTATCAAAAATCTAAGAAACCACGGCGCGCAGGCGCGGCCCCGAGAAAAAGCCAGACACGAGTGTGAACGGGAGCCCCACGGCTCAAAATTTCTCTTCGCCTGCGGCGCGCGCACTTGTCACTTTCCAAGTCTGCGGTGTTCTGAGTGGAGTGAATGGAGGCGTGTGTGCGTCTTCCCGTCATCCAGAGAGCCGACTCGCGCACTCGGCGGCAGACTCTGGCATCGCCCTCGGCCTCGCGGACCGGAGCTTACCCCTCTTACCTAAAAATCCTTCGGGCCGGCTCTGGCTTGACCTTGAGTGCCGGCCGGAGCTAAGAAACCACGGCGTAGAGTGTAGAGCGCTGTAGAGCTGTAGAGCTGTAGAGAGCTCTGGAGCGCTGTAGAGCTGTAGAGGAGCTCTACATCCGCCGCGTGACGAGGCGCGTGCGTTGTAGAGCGATGTAGAGGCGCTCTACAACGTGAAATCTCTACAACAAACTCTACACCATAACCCGCGAAGGAGGCACGGTCGCGGCTCTCCGACATGAGGCGCGTTGCACTTGTCAGTGCTGCCCTGGCCTTCTGTCTGCCCGCCCAATGGGTGGCAGGTGCCTCTGCTGCTGTGGCATGCCTCACGGCTGCGATTGGCCAGCGCCTCGGCGCGTCAGCTCGGCTTGGCGTAGCGATCGTGGCCAGCGCAACTCGCCTGGACTCAACGCTCAGCCAGGAGCTTCCGCACGCGCTGGCGCGAGTCATGGCGCATGCAGCGCGTCTGAATGCTCGCCTCGCCTCGCGCAAATGTGCGACCGTCCTCGCAGCCGACAGTCCACCGCCTGCTAAAGAAGCACTGCGATGAATGCGGCACCGGCGACGCATGGCAGGCTGGTCATGACGCAGTTATAGGGTGTTGTGTGCCGTCAGAGGGACTCTCTGTGTGTCAGTGATAGTCAGGGCTGTCCATCAGAGCTCCAGTAAGCTCTCGGAGACACCCCATTAGTGCGACTCGACCTCTTTACTTTGAGTCACTGCCTTCCCGGCGGTTATGGCTGTCGTAGAGCCTCTACAACAAACTCGACAGCAAAAATCGCGCTCTACATCGCTCTACAACGCACTCACAGCGCTCTACAGCTCTACAGCTCTACAGCTCTACAGCGCTCTACACTCTACATCCTCTACACCCTCCCTCAGGCTTAGTCGCTTAGAAACGGCGGCGTGCCGCGTAATCCTGTTTTCTTAATGCCCGCAACCCACTGTATGTTGTTGGTACGTCAAGCAACGTGTGTGGTCGGTCTTTGGCGAATCATGACTCATGTCTCACACAAAGAATAATTGTCTTTTTTCTTTTCAGAAGGGAGATTTTTTTCTCACGATGTGTATGCACACACATGTGTGATATGTTGCCAGCCCTCGTCGCGCCGCTGCCGCTCCTGTTCCGCCCCGTCTCCCTCAGCCTGCTAGACGCTGCGCACGCGATCGAGGCGGCCTCGTACCCTGCCGACGAGGCGGCCTCGAGGGACAATCTCGAGAAGCGGCTTCGAGACGCGGCTCCCTACTTTTACGGTGCCTTCGACGATAGCAGCGGGGCGCTGCGTGGCTTCGTGTGCGGCACTTGCACATCCTCCGAGGCGCTCACAGAGGAGGCGATGTCGACGCACGAGCCCGACGGCGCCGTGCTGTGCATACACTCCGTGGTGGTCGATGAGGCATACCGGAGGCGCGGCGTCGGCGCCTGGATGCTGCGCTCCTACCTCGCCGAGGTGGCGGCTGCGGGCCGTGTGCGAACTGTGCTCCTGCTTTGCAAGCCTCACCTCGAGGCTTACTACGCGGCAGCGGGCTTTGCATCGCTCGGAGACTCTGGCGTCTCGCACGGCGCGACACCATGGACGTTGATGCGGCTCGGGCTGAGGACCTCGTAGGCGTGCAATAGCGTCCATCCGGCGGCGGCTTGTTTGCTCCGTTCATTTTGGCCAGCATACACGCAGGGTTGATGTGGGCTTGTCCGCTGTGCTAGCGCCGCGTTTCCGTCGTGTCACGACGGAACCCTCAGCAGCCTCACACTCACCGACCGCACCCCCGGAGCCCGGTGTGTAGCTCCGACCTAGAGTACGGTAGTGCAGGTAGCACGTAGGACTCTAGGACTTAGGTGCGGCATTTGGCGCTGGTGTTGGCTGTTGCGCGCGTAAAGATCGTCTGCAATGATGCGAGCGGGGAGCACAGACTGTGTTCCACACACTGATTTAGGATTTACGTTGTCCGAGTTCCCCGTCACAGATGTACACAACCCCTCGGGGCCGCGAGCGCACAGAGAGAGTGCCGCCGAGGGATTCCGCGCCGTGCGGGTCGCATGCAGAGCCGCCCCGCATAAGCGCCTAGTAGACCTCGACGTGCCACTGGCCCGCCTTTTTCCACTCGCTGAGCTTGTCCTCCCACACGAGCCCCTTGTCCTTGCACACGCCCTCGAGCATCTCGGTGATGCCGGGCATCATGCCCTTGAGGCCGCAAAAGTACATGTGCGCGCCGTTGTCCATCTTGGAGAAGATCTCGTCCGAGTACTCCGCGACCTTGTCCTGGATGTACATCTTGCCGCCGTCCTTGTTCTTCTGCTCGCGCGAGAGGGCGTAGTCCAGCCGGAAGTTGTCGGGGTACTTCTTGAGGACCTCCTGCCACTCGTCGTCGTACAGCAGCGCGTCGCTGTTGGCGACGCCGAGGAAGAGCCAGGCCTGGCCGGTCCCCTTGGTGTACGCCTCGCCGAAGGGCGTCTTCTCGACGAAGAGGCGGCGGATGAAGGAGCGGTACGGCGCGATGCCGGTGCCGGTGGCGACCATGATGAGGTCGACGTTCGGGTCCTTCTCCGGGATGAGCATCACCTTGCCCGACGGGCCGGTCAGCTTGACGTCGTCGCCTGGCTTGGAGTCGCACAAATAGTTGGAGCACACGCCCTTCTTGGCGGGGTCGTCCGCCTGCGCACGGGCCGGAGCGTGAGCCTCCACTGCCGCCCTGCCGGCGCCTCGCAGCCACCTCTCCCGCCCAGTGCCGCCGACTGCCCCTCCCCCCGCAAACGCGGCCAACCGCAACTCCGGCTCGAGCAGCCACCGCGTGCCTCGGCGCCGATCTCACCCCCACGCTTTCTCTCTCCCCGCGCCTTGAGCTCGGGGCACCAGTAGGTGGCGCGGCGCACGCAGAGGGTCGTCGTCGTGCCCGTCATGTCGTCGCCTAGCGAGCGACGCATCGCGAACCTCACGCTCCCCGAACTCACGCTCCCCGGCGAGCCCGCAACCAGCGGCGGCGGCGTGGCGCGCGCCGTAGCGCGACGAGGCGATCGAGTAGAGGCGGACCGAGTTTGGCTTGCCGTTCTTCGGGTTGGTGCCCGGCGGGATGACGCCGTACGACTGGCCCTCCCAGTACGGCATCTTGCCTGGGGGAGCGGCGAGTCTGCGCGTGAGCTGCGCCGCCGCCGCCACCCTCGCGGCGCCTCGCCCCGGCCCACCCCTCTCTCTCTCTCTCTCTCTCTCTCTCTCTCTCTCTCTCTCTCTCTCTCTCTCTCTCTCTCTCTCTCTCTCTCTCTCTCTCTCTCTCTCTCTCTCTCGGGGCGGGCGGTGCGCGCGCGGACCGCACGGTCCCACGAACCAGAGACCGCTGCTGCGCCGCCGCGGCTCTCTCGTCTCTCGCTGCGGGCACGCTCACCCTCGTGGCCGATGACGATGTCGCAAGTCTCGCCGGTGGCCTCCGGGCCGACAATGCGCTTGGTCGAGACGATCTTGCCGGTGAAGGGCGCCTTGTTCTTGTACGTGTTGACCGGGATGGTCGACTGGTCCCAGTACGGCTCCGCCTCGAGGAAGTCCTGCTTCTTGCCGAGCAGGTTCTTCACACCGTCAATGATGCCCATCTGCACCGACGCGCGGCTGCGAGGCAAGGCAGGGACTCCGGGTCAGAGCTCGGCCACGAGCGGTAAGCGGAGACGGCGACGGACGGCGGAGAGGCGTGTGCGCCACGCAGAGAGAGGATGCTCAGGGGCGGCAGGGAAGACGCTGGCGTTCCAGGCGGCGGCGAGGCAAGTGTGGTGGCGGAGCGAGCCGAGGCTGCGCCAGGATGGCAGAGGGCGAGCGGACAATCGGCGTGCTCGAGGTGTGTGGTGAAATTCTGGCATCAGGAGCTGAGCTGACCTGGCATGCGCTGTGGGCGCGACGAGCGCCGCCCTGCGTGAGCGGGCGGGAGCGGCGAGTCAGCACGCAACGCCGTTGGAGCGGCCGCAGGCAGGGGGGCGCGGGGCTGTGCGAGCTGTGCGTCGCTGCTCAGGCGTAGTCGCGCACCCAGAGGTGAAGGCAGAGGTCACCGCGAGCATAGCTGTGTGGGAGAATCCCCGAAGCTGAGAATCCCGAAGAAGAAAACGCGGCTGCTGACATCAAGGTCGCTGCGTCCTGCGAGAATTGAAAGAGGAAGAGGCAGACGCTCAAGGGTGGGCGACAGCTAGCACCATACTCCTCCCCTTAAAATCCCTGTGGCGGCGTGCACACACACACACACACACACACACACACACACACACACACACACACACACACACACACACACACACACACACACACACACACACACACACACACACACACACACACACACACACACACACACACACACACACACACACACACACACACACCAAGTACATTGCCGGCATCACGCCGCCCAATGTCGCGTGCGATGCGCTCTCGAGTTTGCGCACAACCGCATCCGCAAGTCCTTTGAGGGCATTGCTCGTCGCGCCGACGCCTCGCCCCAGGCGCTCCGCGACCTCGCGTGGCTCCAGGCGCAGCTGCCGACCGAGATGGGCGGGTGCAACATCGACACCGCCTTCACGCGAGCCGACAGCGACTTCTTCATGTCGCTCCTCAAGAATTTTACAACAAAAGGCGGTCGCACGACACGATTCACGCGCTCCTCAAGAACTGGCGCACCCTCGTCGCCCACAACCCCGACTTCGCCCTCGGCGAGGGAGGTGCGTCCAAGTACCCCACCATCGCCGCAGCCATCGCCACCTACGAGTCCGCCCTCTCGGACTGGATGGAAGGAGGTGTGCGAGAAGCGCGCCGCCCGCGACAAACCAAGTACTACACCGTCCGCGGCGGCTACCTGACTGAGTTTTACCCCAAGAGCGTCCCGCTCCCCGAGCCCGAGTCCCTTCCAGCTACCGACGCGATTCTCAATGGCATTTGCAAATCCACGTACCCGCGGCCGCGGGCGCTCGCTGCCATCAAGAATCACAAGGACTGGTTCGCGCTCCAGGAGCTCGTCAAGGCGCGGGATGTGCACGTCAAGAACAACCCGTCCCTCGGAGACAGCGCCGTCAACAACCGCGAAGCCGCGCGCCTCATCTCCGCCTCAACGCCTTTCGCCGGCAAGGCCTTCGATGTCCGTGTCGACGGTACGTACGCCACCGCCCTCTCCTCCGACACCCTCCAGGACGAGCTCCAGCGGAAGCTCGGCCTTTGGCTCTCCGCGGCGCTTCCCACCCTTCGGGTCGCGCTCGAGCGGGGCATGCCAGTTGATTTCTTCGGCGACTACCTTTACAACAAAAAATATAATATTCTTACCTTCAAGCCCCCCTCCGAGACTAGAGACAGAACCCAGAGATACATACGTCAAAGGGACTGCCCCCCGCCCCCACTTGCCCTGACTGCACAGGATAGCGTGCCCCGAAGACGGCGACACATAGTGCGGCGCGTCAGCTCGGCTCGGCGTAGCGATCGTGGCCAGCGCAACTCGCCTGGACTCAACACTCAGCCACGGAGCTTCCGCACGCGCTGGCGCGAGTCATAGCGCATGCAGCGCGCAGCAACTGGCGGGAGCGGCGAGTCAGCACGCAACGCCGTTGGAGCGGCCGCAGGCAGGGGGACGCGGGGCTGTGCGAGCTGTGCGTCGCTGCTCAGGCGTAGTCGCGCACCCAGAGGTGAAGGCAGAGGTCACCGCGAGCATAGCTGTGGGAGAATCCCCGAAGCTGAGAATCCCGAAGAAGAAAACGCAGCTCGCTGACATCAAGGTCGCTGCGAGAATTGAAAGAGGAAGAGGCAGACGCTCAAGGGTGGGCGACAGCTAGCACCACACACTCCTCCCCTTACTGACGTAAAATCCCTGTGGCGGCGTGCACACACACACACACACACACACACACACACACACACACACACACACACACACACACACACACACACACACACACACACACACACACACACACACACACACACCGTCCTCCCATCCCTCCCCCCTTGGCCTGGCGAGGTACTTGAGATCCCTTGCGTTTCTAAGTCTTAAGCGCCAGATGGCGCGGTGGCAGCTCTGTTCGGCTCCACTCGCTTCGCTCGGCTCCACTCGCTCCGCTCCGGCTCCGCTCCGGCTCCGCTCGGCTCCTTGGGCTCCACTACACTCTCGCCTCCACTCGCTCCCCTCAGCTCAGCGCCCAGGAGGATGTGCATGACCTAGCTGAGCGCCACAAGCCCAGCTCGGGTCAGACCTGGCGCTTAAGACTTAATGCTAAGGGATCTCCTTCCATCCTCTGAGAGAGAGAGAGAGAGAGAGTTTGTGTTTGTTGTTTCTTTGTTGCAGCCTCTGTGGGAACAGCTGACGCAGTCTCGCCGAGACTCTCCCCAGCATCTCGGGTTCCCTCCCAGGCAAGGCCAGGGGGGGGGGGGGGCGTGAGGCGTAAAAAGAAAGAAAGAAAAAAGCAACCAAATGGAGGATGGAGGATGGGAGGGGGACGGCACGCCTAGCGGCACGCCGAGGCGTGGGAGTGCCTCGCCGACTTGGAGCAGGAAAGAAAGAAAGAAAACACTACGACCAAACGAGGGACAGACGAGGGATGGACGAGCACAGGCGACAGGGTCACCACCTGCACGAGCAGGATTTTGGAAGCACGCCGCGCAATTTTCTTTCTTCACCGGCACCAGGGTTCCGGCTCCTAGCCAGATAGGGGGTCTGTTCACCACGGTGGCACCCTACCTACGCAATAGGATAAGCTCCTCTTGTAGCTCGATCGGTCACACCGCCATCGCCGTCGGGGAGAGGGGGGACGACACTGCTTCGGCAGCGTGCACCCCGATCCTGTACCGTGTTTGTCATGACCCCCCCCAATGAACACACCAGTGAGGGTGGGCGAGACGATCGAGGGGTCCCGTACCATGCGGAATCGACCCTATCAAGTGCTCAAGTGCTCAAGGTAGGATGGTAGGTCCGTCCGGTTTTGACCGCCCCAGAGGGCCCTGCAACAGGTAGGTGCCCCCTATTTTCGTCCTTTTCATGTTTTCGCTTCGCTGCGCGGCCTGGCGCCTGGGGATAGGTAGGTAGGTAGGGCGGGAGTCCCCGTATCTGGCTACCTCAAGAATCGTAGTTATGGCACACTTCAGAGCTGTGAATTCCCAGGGCCTCCAGGGCTCGCACCTCCAGGGCTCGCTTGTGTGAAGCTCGCACCTCAACCTCTCACAGACCAGCGCACAGCGCCATAGGACGTATTTTCTTAAGGCTGTGAACAGAGTGAAGGTACTCGAGTCTCGTACGAGCAGCTGGGAGTCGCTGCAGACAGGTACTCGCGTAGGTGCACCAACAGAGTGCTGGAGCCGGAACCAGCATGGAGGCCGTTATTGAATCTCTCCTCGCGTTCGCTCGCTCGGCCATCCCCACCGGCGCCGAGTCCGCCGTCCAGGCCGTCCAGGCCGTGCTCTCCTCCGTCACCACCGACGCTCGCGGTGCCTACCCGTTGCCGCTGTGCTGGGGCAACGCCCTCTGGGCCGTCCTTGCTTGCCGCAAGCACTTTCGTGCGCAGCCCGCGCACCGGAGGCCCGGCGTGATCTTCTCGCTGCTGGCCACGTTTGTGCTCTTCACGATGCCCGCGAACCTCGCCGCCAACTGGCTGATCTTCGGCCGGACGCCCTCGGCGCTCACGCACCCAACCATCCTGCCGACGCACCTCGCCTGCTACGCCGCGGTGCTCTTCTTCCCCTTCTCCTTGCTCGAGAGAGTGCTGGGATCTGCGCTGCCCTATGCGCTTCTCGACACACTCGGCGTGCTGGACAACGCGACCACCGCCTTCAACTACCTCGAAGAGGCGTACGTCGTCAGCGGCGGCTCGGCGGTGCTCGCCATCGCCGCCGCCATGGCCGTCAACTTGGGCGGCGGCATGGCGCGCCACTTCGCATTCAACGGCTTCTCCGACGGAGCCGCCTCCTTCGACTCTGCGCTGGGCGTTGCCGTCCTCTATTCGGCAGCCGCCTCGTTTGCGTACTTCCACTATGCGGTGGAGCCGTGCGCCGCCCTGCTGGCCGAGGGCGCCGCGCCGCGGCTGATTTCGTGCGTCGGCGAGAGCGGCCTCTACGAGCGCCTCGCATGGCTGGCCGCCGCGCGCAACCTGTACTCGCACCTGCCCTCCAACCAGTACGCACACGGCACCTCCTTCGTGCGCGCAGAGATGGAGGGCAAGGCCAAGGCGAAGGCGCTCTGAGTCGCGGCTTGCGAGGCAGTGGCGGCTCGCGCCCAGCACCCGCCTCGCGGCTCCACGCAGCTAGAGCAGCAGCCTCTCGCGCTGCCGGGGCCGGGAGAGTGCTCCACATCGCACACGTATAACACGTACACGCGCCGCCGCCGGCCCGCGCGTGTCGCTTCTCAGCGCGTACTCGGTAGATGCGTGGCCGGTGTGCGGTCTGTTTCAGCCAGTGACCGTACTCTAGGGGGGGGCATACCGTACATGCATGCTATGCATGGACTTCGAGAACGAGGTAGTCGTGGAGTCCCCGAGGGGAGAATCTCAAAATCTGGTCGTGTGCGCGCGGGACCACACGCGACGAGTGACGAGACCGTCTCTCTCTCTCTCTCTCTCTCTCTCTCTCTCTCTCTCTCTCTCTCTCTCTCTCTCTCTCTCTTTCTGCGCATCCAGGGGAGGACCGGGACCTGCCACCCCGTGGCGCACCGCGGGCCGCCCGCCCCCACGACCTCTCTCGACTCTCCCCATGACCACTCCCCGCTGCGCTGTGAGACGCTGCGGCTGGAGGCCACGGGTGCAGTGCTGGCGCGGAGAGGGGGGTGGCGGCGGCACGGCTTCACGAGAGCGCCGCCTGGTCACGAGCTGGTCGGCTCTCCCACCGACTTTGGGTTGAGCTCCTTGGCGAGCTCGAAGGCCTCGAGCGACGAGACCAGCTGGATCTTCTTGGCCAGCGGCATGCCGCTCTGCAGCTGGTCGCAAAAGACGCGCACGTCCATCACCATCACGGGGTTGGGCGGCTTCTCCTTGTCGCCGCCCGCCCGCTCCCACCCGCGCAGCAGGTCCTCGCGCGAGAGGAAGACGGGGATCATGCTCTCGGTCTGGAACGAGTTGGACAGAAAAAGAGGCAGCCGCCAGCTCGAGGCGGCGCGGTCAGTCGCCTCGAGCTGCTTCTGCAGGTGCTCGCCGAACTCGGCGTCGCCCTGCGGCGAGCCCACCAGCCGACTCAGCCGCGTCTCCTCGCTGCCGCCTCCCTTGGCCCAGCCGCCGCAGGCCTCGAGCGCCCGGCCGAGCGGCAGCACCGACAGCTGCGCGCCCTCCACCTTGCCGCTCTCCTTCACGCTGGCCAGCACGGCGCGCGCGTGGGCCGCGTCGGTGAAGAAGCTGAGCACCGCCTCGCCCTCCTCGTTCCGAGAGCCGAGCAGCTGCCCGTTCGCGATCAGCACAAACGCCGGCACAGCGTTGAGCTTCTCGGTCACCTCGGCCGCAGTGAGACCGTCGGCGGGCGGGGCTTCCGCTTCGGCGGAGGCTGCTGGCGCTGCGGCGGGCGAGGACGGCGGCGGTCCCAGGCCGAGGTCGTCCACGTCGTCGTCGTCGGCCTCGTCCTCGAGCCCATCAAGCAGGGAGCCACCGCGAAGCCGGCGCTCTCCGCCGCTTCCGCCGATGCGGACGGGAGCGACGGCGCGCTGGACCCGGCACGAGGCCTCGAGCGGCAGCAGGCAGAGGAGAGAGAAGAGCACGATCGCGTGCATTGGTTCGATACGAAAGCCTGGTGGCGCCTCTCGTGTAGAGCGGAGAGTGGAGCTCGTCGTGGGTGTCGAATAGAGAAAAAGAATTGGTGGGTCGGAGCCCTGGTGGTTTCCGCAGGCGAAAGGACAAGACGTATTTTTAAAGCATCAAGCCGAGTTCGGACTTGTATTTCTTCTTTTCCGGCGGAGCTATGGATGGCAGGTTGTGCCGCCACGCAAAGCGCTGCTCCGATGCATCTCGGTGCGAGAGTCCGTCGCCTCGCCAGCCGGATGGCAGTGGCCGCCGCCGCTGGCTGCACGGTCGCTCTCGCGTGCTCAGCTCCGTCCGCGCTGGCGGACTCGGGCAAGCGCGTGCGCTTCCGCAAGTCGGACACAGAGACTATCGAGGCGGCCGGTGGTGAGGGTGGGATCGAGATCCTGGTGCACAACCTCTCTCACGCGGACATGGCTGTGCTACTGACGGCGAGAGAGTCTGCAGATGGCTCGCAGCCGATGACGAGCAAGGCGCGTCCTCTCTTCAACCAGTACCACTTCGTCTCTGCCGCCATCTTGAGGCACATCGACCACCTCACGCAGCTCGGCAAGACGCTGCGGCCGGTCCAGGCACGCGCCGCGCCAGCCGCCCCTCCGCCCGGTGCGCCTGATTGCCGGTCCCTCTCGCGCTCTCCGCAGGCGCGTTGCGTGCCGTCCGGGACCACGGAGCCCATCGGCATAAGCCTCGTCGCCGACGGCGGCCGAGACGAGCCGATCGGAGCCACGCTCGACGGGCCGAAGATCGCTCACCGCAACCCTGCTAAGCGAGCGGCCCGTGCGGCGAGCTCCCTGGGCGCGCCCGCCACGCCTCCGCCGCCTCCCGTCCGCCGCCCCGCCGTGCGGCGGCGGCGGCGGCGGCGTCCTGAGACCCCACCCGCCCTGCCCACCCACTCTGGCGTGGCCGTCAGGCGCCGGCCTCGACGCGATCGACTGCAGCGGAGGGATGGAGGGGGCGCCGGTCGAGACGCCATGGGAGCGGTTCCACCTCAAGGGGACTGCGAGGCACGACCGGCGACCCAACTCGTTCCGGCGGCTCGACAGCGGCAGCAGCAGCGCCACGCACGCCTCCGACGCGCCGCCGGGTCCGCGCCCGCCCGTCGAGCCAGCTGCCTCCTTCTCGGACCCTTCTCGGACCCTTCTCGGACCCTTCCTGGTAGGCGCGTGCCAGTGCGGCGAGGATCACCCGCCCGCGGCGGTCCTCCGGCCCGGCCTCTCCGAGGCTGCGCCCCGCGACGACGAGGCGCCGCCGCAGCCGCTGCAGGAGCCAAGCATCGCCGAGAGACCACCGAGAGATCACCGAGAGATCACCGAGAGAGAGCCGCTTCAGGAGCCGAGCATCACCGCGGTCGTCCTGCCCATCGTCGGCGCGCTGCTGCTGCGCTGGACCCGCACCCTCGACCAGCAGCGCGCGGCGGAGGCACGTCGCCGCCGGATCGCCCTCGAGGCTTGCGCCCCTCCCCTTGCCCGGGGACCCTTCCAGGAACTCTCTCTCCGCTAGGCGGCCGCCACCGGCTCGGCCGTGCGCCGTCCGAAGAAAGTGCTCCTGCTCGTGAGCGGTTCGGGCCAGCCGCGCGACACCAACGCCGACCCCGACGCAAACTCGACCCACTGCACATCGTACCTCGTCGAGCGGTTTGTGCAGCTGTGCTATGCAGGCGCGGCGGGTGGCGGCTCCCTTCTCCTCCCAGCGGCTCCTCTTCTGATGCCTGAGGGCTTCTCTTCTTGTAGCAGCGTTGCCGGGCGGGACCGTAGTAGCAGCACACTGGTCCAGCCCGAAGAGGGCCAGGGTGGGCGATGGGCGCGTCATGGCCATCACCCACTGCTCACGTGGCCCTCTGCAGACATCCGCGTGGTGCACGTCTCGTCGACGGGCGGCATGTTCCGGCACGAGCGACGCCCTCGGCGTTGACAGCGGGAGGTGCTGTCGGCAGCGCCCCGTCACGCCTCCGCCCGTGAGCAGGTACGACGACAACCTCGGCTTCGTGCAGCGGGAGGTGCTTCCGGTCATCGAGCGCGAGCGCGCCGCCGTCGTCGCCGCGCACGGCGGGCAGTGTCCGCGCTGCGTCCAGCCGTGGGCAGCGCCTCGTCACAGCTCTAGCTGCGAACAGGCGAGGAGTGGCCGCGCTACCTCAACATCACTCTCTCGCTCGCCGATGGAGCGCCGGCACCGAGCTCTCTGGCGGCGGCGTCTCGACCTCGGGCAATCTCGGCCAAACTCGGCTGGCTGGGCATCAGGCTCGCATCGCCGCGCTCAACGCGTCGCTGCGGCCGTACCGGCGAACCGTACGCGTCGGCGGCCCAAGGCTGTTGAGAGGGGGCCGGAGTCCGGATCCTTGGTTGCAGGCCGAACTACCTGCACGTCTGGCGGCTCAAGACGTGGTGGGACAGCGACCAGCTCGTCGAGACGGACGTCGACTTCCACGCAACCCCGAAGTCTAGATGCGGGAGGAGATGCGGAAGGCGGGGCCCGTGACCCGACTCGAGACGGCACGCGCGTTCGGCCGTACTCCGCTGTGCTGCAGTCGTCTTCGCGGTATGCACTGCAAGGCACCGCTTTCACGCCCTCTCAACTTGCTTGCGTCAGGCTTTCAACAAGCTCGAGATGCGGCCTGCGGTGCCGACGCAGCTGCTGGCCGAGGAGGACAGGCCCGTCGCACATCCTGTCACATCCCATCGCATCATCTCACGTTGCTGCTGGCCGAGGAGACGGTGCGGCTGCACACCGCAGGCTTGTCGTCGAGGAGATGCGCTCGTACCGACGCCAGTTCGAGGCGGTGCGAGACGGGGCGCCGCAGGAGCAGGCGGGGGCTGCACCCGTGCTCCTGAGAGCGCTAGACACCACCCAATGCCCCGTGTGCTCCGCGGCGAGCGCGAGTGCCCCGCCGCCCGTGTTGGCGTGTGAGGTGGAGGGCGGAGCAGACGCTGTTCACAGCAGGCGGCAACGTACGCGGCGCCGAACGAGCTCTCCTCCTTTTGGCTGCGCAAGTCGCACAAGGCGGTGCTGGCGGTGCTGCTCTGCCGCAAGCCGACGCCGGGCGCACCCAACCAGTTCTACCGCGGCATGAACCTCGAGGTCTCCATGCCGACCGGCACGCTCTGCGCCGAGCGGAACGCCATCGGCGAGTTCGTCCGCTCCGACCGGCTGCTGCGAAAAGCGTCTCTTCACACCTGTCCCTGTGCCCTGATCAGGCAACGCGCTCGCGTCCGACCAGACGCTCCGGCGCGAGGACATCCGCTCTGTGGCGGTGCTCTCCGCCCCGCTGGCCGAGAGCCGCCGCACGAGCCGTGAGTGCACAACAGAAACTTGCGAGCAGGTGCTCTCGGTCTCGCTCGCCGAGAGACCGCCCGACGAGCTGGTGGACGGCAGAGACGTGGCGCGCAGTGCACACGCCTCTATTCCACTAGCGCTTCAAGAGACACGTATTCAGCTGCGTGCTCAACCGAGTTGCGGCCGTGTTCACTGTGCCATTGGCTTCACGTGAGATGCAGTGCTCTCACCCTCACTCGCCTGTGTTCGCTCACCAAGGCGCTCAATCCGCTCGACCCGTGCGGCGCGTGCATGGAGTGGCTGCGCAAGATCGCAGAGGTGAACCCCGACTTCAAGGTCATCACGTTCAGCGACACGACGTGCGACTCCGCAATCATCACGCCCATTGACTACCTCACCGTCTAGCGCGCAGTCGACGGGCTCTCGCGGCGACGATTCCATGATTTTGTTGTTTATGGCCACCGAGGCGGCGAGGTGGCGGCAGTCGATAGGGAGAGGGCGCGTGCTGCGCCGCCGAGGTTGAAGCGCGCAGTACTCGCAGTCTATGCGCGCGTGTTAGGCCAACGTCTTGGCGCGCACACACGTGAGGTAGGGCACATTGTGTGCGCTAACGAGTGTGCGGGGGCGGTTGCGCGCGGCGCACACGAGAGTCGTTTTGTAGTGTCGACTCTCTCTCTCGCTCGCGCGTTCATCTACATGTACTCGGTCCGACGCGTGAGCTCTCACCTCTCGGCGTAGACAGCGCGCGGCGCCCGACACTTGTTGGTCGCTTCACGCGCTTCTCTCGCGCGCTCTGTGTCTGTCGCTCGCTTTTCTCTCGCCGTCGCTCTCGTACTCGTGTTAGTCGTTTTCGTCTCACGTCTGAGGGGTTGGATGCCTGCGGCTAGTGCCATTTCACTGTGGCACAGCTCGCGTTACAAAACCTTGATTTGACCATTTGCGCCATTTTGTCCCTCTCGGTGCCTTCCAGAGGCAGCTGCGACCCCGCCAAGTGGACGGGGGCACTCGGCAGGTGGCGCGGAGTGCCCCCGTCCACTCGGCGGGGTCGCAGCTGCTTCTGTGCGTCCTGGGGAGGGACAAAATTGTCGCCGCCGGAGACGACTCGACGCCGCTGAGATTGGAGATCAAGCTCTGACAGGTCGCACGTCGCTCCTTTGACGCCGACGTGACTCACCCGTGCAGATCACATCAGGACACGGTCTCGACGCGCTCGGTACGACGCCTGCGACCCGTCTCGGGTCAGGTGGCACGACGCTCATCGCGCCTACCAGCGCTGCCGTACAGGTTGCCACGACGAGGTCGAGCACGCTTCTATACGCTCGCCGAGCCTTCCTTTTCATCCAATTAGGCAGCCTGGGAACGGTGGCGGTCAGAGGCAAAGCCTACGAGGGGTGGTGGAACCACATGTCACGGCTACTGCCGGCTCGGCGACCCCACGATAGCCTCCGAAGGCTGACTTTGCGGCACCATCATCGGACGATGTCGACGAGTTGGGTCGCTCTCGCGGTAGCCAGATGACCTCTCTTTCTAGGAGCATCGGCCATGGCCGCAGGGAGCGCGGGGGAGGGCGCTGGAAGCAACACGGAGCTCCGTTGGAGACGTTTTCAAGATTAGCGTGTCAGAGTGAAATGGCACTAGCCTGCACTCCATTAGTGCTCCAAGTCGCAAGTGCCCCTAAGTGCGCTGTGAGCTCAGCTCGAATAAGAGGAATTTTCGGAACCGCAAAATACAACGCCCGGACATCTCAGGAGTAGATGCTGGCGCTGCTCTGCATCGCGGAGTCCGAGCCCTGCCCGCCGAGGCGGATGTCCTTGACCGCCTCCGCCAGCGTGCTCTTCCGGTGCTGCACAAAGTGTTCCTGCAGCTGCGCCATCGTCACGCGCGACCCGCCCGCCTTGGCGCGCACGTTTGCGACGAACCGGTCGGTGTCGGCGGCCGTCGCCGAATGGTAGAAGCGGGAGAAGCACTTTGCGAGCTGCTCGTCCACCGCAAACGTCAGCTCCACCTAGCGATTACGTCGTGGCAACTGAGCCCGCAGAGGAGGGCGCACACAGGGCTGGTCTCGCAGGCCCCCGCTCCGCCTGCACGTCGCACCGGCCCTGCCGGATCAGCGCGGGGTCGAGGCGGTCCTTGTGGTTTGTGGTGAGGAAAATGATCGTTCCGCTCGGGTCGGACACGCCGTCGAGCGCGTTGAGCAGGCCGGAGAAGGTGACGTTGTTGGCCGCCTCGCCGCGCTCGCGGTGGTGGCCGAATAACGCGTCGACGTCCTCAAAGGCAATCAGCGCCTTGGCCGGCGCCGTGGCCATCGCAGTACGCAGGCCGGTGTCCTGCAGGCCGCGGTCGGCGAGGGAGACCATGCAGACCGAGCAGTCGAACTCGGAGGCGACCGCGCGGATGAGGGACGACTTGCCGCAGCCGGGAGGGCCGTACAGGAGGAAGGTGCGCTTGTACGGGATGCCGTGCTCCAGATACCTGCGGGCGGTGGGGAGGGTGGGTGAGAGAGACGCAGGCGGCGGGAGGCGGTCTCTGAGAGGCGGTCGGGTCGGGAGGAGGCGCGAGCACCAGCGGCGCGTCTCTGCGTCGAGGAACTCGCGCACCTCCTCGACCACCTTGTCGCACGAGGCGGGCAGGATGACGCTCTCGAGCGGGCGCTTGATGAGCATCCGGTCGCGGTGCCAGCTGTTGACTTTGGCGTTGAAGGAGAGGAGGGCGATCTTGCCCGGGCGGGCGGTGTTGTACTCGGCAAGGGCCGCGTCGCAGAGCTTCTGCATCGCCGCGACGACCGCAGCACCGGACTCCGGGTGCGACAGCACCAGCGTGGTGTAGATGCCCTCGCGCGGCCGAGGCGGGCCGAGGCCCTGCTTGGTGAGCAGGAAGGTGTACGTGATCTCTCGCTCGGCTACGTACGTGATCTCTGTCGAGCCGTAGCCGAGCGAGAGGGAGGTCGTCATGGAGTTGCGCCCGCCGCTTCCGCCGCGTGCGTCCTCCACCTCGTTTGCCACCACCGCTCCGGCGAGCCCTTTCATCATCGCCATCACGGCTGAGCCAGGGCTCCGCGCTGATGTGGTTGCCCCAGCGGCGAGACTTGTCGGCGTCGCGTGCTCCACCGCATACTCGCATAGGGCAGCGTGCAGCGTGCTGTGTGCGTGGATCTGCGGACGCGGCGGGGGAGTGAGTGGACGTGTGCGTGCGGCGGCCGCCGCGTCTGGCAGTGCTTACGCTTGCGACCTCCACTTGTGTGCCGGCGAGGCTGCTGGTTCCTCCGAAAGCATTCGTCATTCGAGGAAGAGGCTCCCGCGAAGCATCCTCGCCTTGCATTTGCACAAGCAGCTAGCGCAACAAGAAGCAGCCAGCTAGCGCAACAAGAAGCAGCCAGCTAGCGCAACAATAGAAGCAGCTGTGGACCGACAGCTTCTCTGGACGCGGGCAGCCAGGAAGAAGAATTCCCGCCGACAGCCAGGAAGAAGAATCGTGTTGTGCGAAGAAGAATTCAGACCCCAATACCCAGGTTGAACTAGGACGGCTAGCACCACACTCCTCTCCTTAAAATCCCTGTATGGTGGCGGCGTGCCGTCCTCCCATCCCTCCCTTGGTCCCTGCGGATTTCTTTCTTTCTTTTAGGTTGAACTAGGAGAGCGCAACCAGTAGGAGGCCCGCGCCTGCCCCCGTGCCGCCGGGTGCAACTTTGTCCTATACGAGAGGGGAATCCCTGGGACCCTGTCGTGTGGGTGAACCCTGCCCAGCGGCCCCCCTCCATGTCGCGATGCGCTCTCCCCACTCCCGTTCCCTCGCCGTTCCCCTGTGTCCCTGATCGTCTCCTTCCCAAATCCTGCTCGTGCAGGTGGGGACCCTGTTCTTCTCCCACCCCTTGTTTGGTGTGTCGGTTTTATTTATTTATTTATTAGCACACAGGTTCGACACAACTCACAGGTACGCCGCAGTACCAAAAGAGGCCCCGTCGCACGAAGAAGAATTCTTTTCGCTATGCCAAAAAACAATTCGGAGAGGGCGTCTTCTGCCCTGCGTCGTCTGGCGACGGGTCCTCCATAGTCGGTCGAGGTCGCCGCCCTCCTCGTGCCTCTTCCCAACGTTCCCTCGGCGGCCGATGCCGTCTGCTCCGGCTCCCCAGTCCCCGGGTCTGCCCTGCTCTCGTCTGCGCTAGTCTCTGCTTCGTCCTCACCGGCGTCTCTCCTCTTCCTTCTCCCCTTCTTGTATGCTTTGCACATCGCGTCGATTCCTTTTGCGTGAGCACCACCCTGAAGCCCCCCAGCTACTGAACCGCTCCCTAAGGCGAAGGTCCGAACCAGGGGTCCGAAGGAGCATCATCAGTCTCGCCCACTTCGCTCGCTGCCCACCGTCTCCGCTCCCTCCCGCTTGAGCCGCCGTCGCGGCCCTCGTTCGTCCCACTGGCTGTTGGCCCGTCCCTGCGTTGCCTGCGTTATCCCTCCTCTGCGACTCCCTCAAGGCCGGCCGAGCCTCTTTCCACCCAGTGAAGAGCTTCCTCAGCCACTCGATGTGTTCCTCTCTCTTCATTATGCGCGCGCCGTAGCTCATCATTGAGCTGGATCCACCTCTGCACCGCGCCCGTCGCCGCCTAAAGCCACGACTTGCATGTTTGCAAGTTTGACATCAAGAGTGTGAAAGTACTAAATACTGTCCCGTTTTGCTGTTCACAGCTAGGGACGGCCTCTGCCGCAAAGTCAACTCACCCCCACCACCCTACTGTCCACTATGAAAGTGTGGACCGGCGTGAACAGCAGCTCCTGACCACGGCGCCGCAGGCGCCTGTTGATAGGTCCAGGTGATAGCCCTGGATGGGCAATGCATACGCCCACCTGGGCCTCGGATCGCCCGACCGCGTCCCGGTGCTCTGTGGTCGGATTTGTGACGCCGACGTACCGCGCCGCGGCCGGGGGCCCTCCGGAGGCCGAGGATGGCCGTGACGGACCGGGACGAGCTCTGGGAGGTTCAGTGTCAGTGTATATATTGTAGAGACCAACCATGTGCACAATATCTCTCAGTCTAGCTAAGCCTGGGAAGGCAATGCCGGGGCCGTATAGCAGCTTGATGGTGCCTCGCCGGCGTGCGTCCCGGAGCGGTCCGGACGGGCGGTCCGGGGGACAAAATCGGGGGACAACGCCGACGGCGCCCTGATTCGACTTTTAACTTCAAACAAAGCCTACCGCACGCGCCGCGTCGCGGCGCGTGCGGTAGGCACTCGGGATTTTGCCAGATCGGCGTGTTCACGCCGGGATCGTGTCCTCCGCAACTGCCCAGACTTTAGGCTTGGACAGTACCACCTACCACCTCCCACCGCTTCAAACCTTCGGCTCCCGCTCAGAGGCGCCCCGCGCCCGTGCGGCGCGCCGAGGCGGCGCCGAGGCCGGCGCCTTGCACCCGGCCCGCGGCCGGCACCGCCTCGCCCCACAACTGACCGCCCTGCGGCCCCTGCGCAGGCGTGCCACAGGCGTCGCTCAAAAAGCGACGCCGGGTGTGGGCTGCTCCCTTGACCCGTCACCCGCCGCGCCCTCGCCCGGCCGCCTCACCGCTCACGGAGCGCTCGGCTGCTCGCCGCCGCCGCCGCGCGTCCCGCGCCGCCACGCTTGCCCTCCTTTGCCTGACGCGCGCTCTGTGCAGCGGCGCAGAGCGCGCGTCACTGGCACAGACGGAGCAGCGACCGCGCCAGCGGTCGCTGCTCCGCCCCTCCGTCGCGCGCGCCGCGCGCTGCCGCCGCCGCCGCCGCCGCCGCCCCCTCCTCGCCGTCTTCCCCACCCCTACCCTCTGTTGCGCGCGCCGCGCGCTGCGCGCCCCCGCCCCCACCCCCGCCCCCGCCCCCGCCCCCGCCCCCGCTCCCAAGCGCCCCTTCCCCGGTAGGAGTGCGTAGAAAGTGGAACCAATCGAGAGGTGGCAGAAGCCGCCGTGTGTGACACATATTGCGGCACGTGAGTGAGACAGCCCCGGCGCGCGCGCGCAGCGCCGCTGAGCGCAAGGCAACAGACAGGCGTTTTTTATGCAAACAGCAAACGGGACGGCCTGCGCAGCCTCTAACTATTCTAAATCTAACGAAAGAAGAGAGCCCCTGAATAAGAGAACATCGTACTGAAAAAAATGTTCTCGAAGTCTGTACAATACTGGGTTTTAGATTTAGTGCGACGCAAATTTTTTGAAGTGTCAAAATCGCTGTTTCGTGTTTGATCAACCTCATGTTTGGCCACCCGCAGCATCACTGTCCCTCACGAGATCGAGAAGCTCTTCGTCGTCCGCATCGTAGACGGGCAGCCACGCGAGGAAGCGCTGCGGCTCGCGCAGCAGCCTCCGGTGCGCGAGCAGCACATCCTGCGCCTCCTCGCCCCGCGCCTCTTCCGGCGCCTCTGCCGCCGTCCCCTCCCGCGAGGGGCGCAGCCACGCGCTCTCGCGGCCGGCGGCCACGCCCACCCACTCGAGGCACCCCTCGGCGTCGATGGCTGCTGCGCACGGCTCCACATCGGCGCCTACCGTCACGCTCGCCCAGCGTCAGTCGGGCGGCATCCGCTCACACTCAGCCGGGTTAGCGCGAGGCACACCCGGAGGCAGGGGCGGCAGCAGCCGGCTCGGCGCGGCCGCCTCCGACGGCAGCTCGCGCGGCACCAGCGCCGCCCCGCTCGCGACGCGGTACCGCCGGTCGGACAGCGGCTCGAACCGCACGACGCCGTCGGTGCCGCCCTGCGGCCGCTGCGGCAGCCACGGCCCGGCCGGGAGCAGCCTCACGGCTCCCCCCTCCTCGCGCCCCTCCTCCTCGCCGCTCGGAGCGCAGCAGAGCGCGCCCGACGGCACGCTCAGCCAGCCCGGGTTGAGGGCGAGCAGCCGCAGCGGCGGCGCGCGGAGGTAGTGCGCGAACGCCTCCAACTCCCCCGCGTCGAGCTCGGGCCGAAGCACGTTGAGCATGAGGATGTCGCGGTCGCACCTGCAGGAGAGGGATCCGGGAAAGGTCAGGGAAGGGGCAGGCGGCCGCTCCGAGAGAAGAGCCGTATCGTTGTCGCACTCGCCGCCGTTGCGCGTGGAGTGCGTCTGCGTGGTGTCCATCAGCAGGAGCTGGCCCTCGCGCCACCTCCGCCGCTCGCCGCCCACCTCGATCCAGCACTCCTCCCCGGCCGGCACGCGCAGCCCGAGGTGGCACGTCAGCCCGAGCAGGTTGCCGTCGCAGTGCGGAGCGATGCCCGAGCCTGGAGGCTGGCGCGCGAAGCCGCACGCCACATTCTGCAGCGGGTTGAGCCGCAGCCCGTGGGACGCCTCGAGCCGCCGAAGCAGCGCGACGGTCTGCGGGTAGCGGGCCACCGCCTCCGGCAACCACGCGCCGTCCTTCCAGAGGTGGAAGATCCGCCACTCTGCGGCTATGGCCTCGTAGTCCGCGCCGCCCCAAGACGCCGCATCCTCCGCCTGCTGCTCCTGCACCGAGAGCAGCTCCGCGCGGATGGCTGGAGCTGCGGCCTCGAGCGCGCCAGCCCACGGCAGGCCGCTGGGGTCATGCCAGGCGGGCGAGCCGGAAAAGCCGGCCGCGTCTCGCAGGCGGCGCACGGTGGCCTCGAAATCGGCCGAGGCCGAGTCGAGATCGTCCAGCGCGCCCTGCGCGGCCGATGCCTCGATGAGCCTGGTGACGCGCGGCGGAGGCTCGAAGCCGGAAAAGAGGAGCGCGCGGCGAAGGGCCGCGGCGGCAGGCGTCGGCGAAGCCGGTGCCGCGAGCTTGTGTGCGGCTGCGGCCGAGGCAACGAGCAGCATCCCGTGGCGCACGATCAGAGGCCTTCGGCTCTAGTCCTGGAGCAGCTCGGGTAGGCTGGAAAAGAATTTTGAAACAACATCCCTGAAAGAATTCATCGCACTCGTCCCGGTTGTGAGGCTAATGACCGCACTGCAAGTGCTCCGAGTGCTCTGCCTCAAAGAGCCGCAAAACGGCGCTTCTCACCCCTCCCCCTCTCCCGCCTCGTAGACGACACACACCGGCCCGCCCCCCGCGGGTCCCTGATGCTCCGCGCCACCCGACACGTACAGGTTGGTACAGCCGGTGAGCCCCGCGAGCAGGCCGCCGACCGCCGCCCGGGCGTGCCTCGTCGCGTGCAGGTCCGAGTCGGAGCACATCGTCGTCCGCTCGCCTCGCACCGCGGCGGCGGGGTCCGCCTTGGCGAGGACGGCGCGCACGCGCGCCTGCGAGGCGGGAGTCAGCTGCCCGTTGTCGAGAGACAGTCCCGCCTCGGCGAGCATGCGGCAGACCGCCGGGCTGTCGAGCGCGTCCCGCATCACGCAGTGAGCGGCGCGGAGAGGGGAGGCGCTGCCGGCCGCGTTGCCGAGCACAAAGACCTCCGAGTGCCGAAGCTCGATCCCGGCGCTTGCGCTGGCGACGCTGCTGCTGAAGCCGCTCAGGCCTTCCGGCTCGCAGAGCCGCTCGACGGCGGCGTCGAGGTCGCCGCGCGACAGCTCGCCCGTTGCTAGCGCCACGCCAAGAGCCGATGCGCCCCTGCTCAGGCCCATCGACGTGTAGCCATCGTGCGTCGCGCACGGCAGCGCGGCGGCGGCGACACGCTTCGGAGTGAGCAGCGGGCACTTGATCTGCGCAAAGCACACGTCCGCCGGCGACAGGTGCGCGTCCCTGCACGCGGAGAGCACGGCTTCATGCGTCGCCTCAACCTGAGCGCGCCGGCCGATCTCGTGTGCGCCCAAGTCTCGCGTGCGCGCCACGCCAAGGCTGAGCGCCGTTGGTGGGCCGGCCACGCTAGGCGTGTCCTGCGCCACATCGGCAAACACGAGAATGTGAGGCGTCAGCACGCCCTCCGTGCCGCCCGACATGATGATTGACGTGTCTTCGAGTCGGCCTGCCGATCGGAGGGCCTGCTCGACCACGAGCGAAGCATAGCCGCGTGTGAAGTCATTCACGCATCCGTTGCCTTCGGTCTTGCCGAGGACGCAGCGCGGGCGGGCGCGCTCGTTGGATGCGAGCCAGGCTGTCAGCGCGTGCGTGTCTCCCGGATTCGAGGTAGCAAGGCGGACGACCGTGGCGCTGCGAAGCGCGAGAGTCGCCTGCCGCATGTGTGTGGGGTTTGACCGGCAGCAGACGGTACAAAGAGATTCGTCGAGTAGCAACCCCCCCCCCCCCCAAGAATTCGCGGCTGGCACTTAAAACTTTCCTTACCTATGTACTCTCCCTTTCCTCCCGCTGTGATTCTGTGTGAGCTCTGTGTCGTGTTCTGCTAACAGCGCACCTACAACCTCTCTCAGCCGACAGGTCCCATTTGGCCCGCTATGTGTGCTCAGGCGGAGCCTGCTCCCACGATGCCGCTCCGGCGGGCCAGCGACACGATGCTCTCGGCAAAGCCATAGATCTTGTCGGACGGCGTGAGCTCGACGAGTGACGTGGCGTCGTCGGCGAGGGCGGCGGCTCCGGCCGAGGAGGAGGCGTGTAGCGACTCCAGCAGCGGCGCGCCTATTCTCGCACGGGCGGATGGCCACTGCACGGCCCGCCGAAGTGGCTCTCTCGGCTGCAGCAGGCCGAGCAGGTAGGCTCGCAGCGCGCGGCACGGCGCCGCGTGTGCCACGACCAGCAGCGGTGCCAGCCGCTTCTCCAACTCGAGCACACTTGGCTCGAGGCGGCGCACGAGGTCCTTGGGGCTCGTGCCCGCGCCGAGGGCGGCGCGCTCCTCGAAGCTGGTCGGGGGCGAGTCGCCGCTGCCGAGGCTACTCGGCAGCAGCTCGGCGAAGTGGATCGGAGGGCCGACGGAGGCCAGCCCCTGCTCGCCCCCTCCTACGGGACATGTCGTGGACATGTCGTGGCACGCTGCGTTCCTTGGGCAGGAGGATGCTGGCCAGCCCCGCTCGCCGTGCTCGTCGCACGCAAAGGCGGTCTTCCGGCCGTGCGACGGGCTCTGCGCCTGCTTGGCCTGCGCGACCCTCGCCGCCGCCGCCATGGCGGCCGGGTGCGTCGAGCTGATCACCTGGAGCGGGCCGGCGTGGTCCTCCGCCCAGGCTGCGAGCGCCGCAGCAAAGTTGCCGGTGTCGTCGTTGTCAGGGACAGAGACGAGTGCGACGGGGCGCGCAACGAAGGTTATCGAGAGGAGGTAGGGCAGGACCGACGACGAGACGCGGCCGTAGATGTGCGAGGCCTCGACCTTTCCAGGCGACGGGGTCGGGGAGCAGAGGGGGTGGGGGTTGTGGGCGGAGAGAAGATGGGGAGAGGCTCGTGCGGGGTGCGGGGCATGCGCCTTGGAGGAGAGGTCGAAGAGCTTGATGTACGGCCCCTCCTCCTCCGAGCAGGACTCGTAGTCGCGCTCATAGTGGACGATCCGCTGCTTGAGCGACTCCATCGCCGCCGGCTCGTGGAGCGCGTAAAAGTCGGGGCTGGCGCGCACCTTGGCCTTCATGTTTGCCAGCAGCAGCGTCGGCGATGTGAGGATCGACTCGACAAACACGATCGCGATCGGGCGGCCCGTCGCCTCGCCGTGGGCGTGAACACTCTCGGAGAGCATCGCGCGCCGGTCCTTGGAGGCGTTCGACGAGTCGAAGATCGCGATCTCGCCGCCCGTGTCGAAGAAGGAGAGCGCCTCCTTGAGCACGGCGTTTGCGATCTTGCCACGCGCCACAGACGAGCCCACGTTGGCGCTGTCGAAGAAGGCGGCACCGCCGCTGCCCTCGCCCTCCAGCTTGCGTCGCGTCGCGCCTGTGCCGAGAAGGGCCTTCTCTCCCCTAGTCCCCTGCTCCCCTCCCCTTGCGGCCGGCCGTCCCTCTCGCTGGCACGCGCCTGCCGAGAAGGCGCCGGTCTTCCAGCCGCGCCAGTTGAGGAAACGCTCCAGCTTGTCCGCGAGGATGGACTTGCCGCGAGCAGGCAAGCCAACGAGGACGAGGAGAAGGCGAGGGCATTCGGCCAGGCCACGAGCCCGCCTCGCCAGGTCGGGACGCGCCTTCAGCGCCTTTGCGACCAGCAGCGCCTCGTCGCCTCCATGTCTCGGAGCCCAGCCATGGCCGGTGACCGACTTCTTGCCGGACGCCGAACCGTCGCCCTTGAGCTTGGGGCTGGGAAGCGCATCGAGGAGCGACTGCGTGGTTGGGAACCCAAGCCCATCTGCTGCCGTCGTGGGCGTCTGGCTCGCAGCGTTGAGGTCCCTGGACGGCCGGCGCGAGAACACCATCGTGCTATCGCCGAAAGACACAGGCGGGACGTTCTCTCGGACGAGGCTCGGTGGGACGAGGCGCTGTTCAGCTCCGAAGGCCGGAAATTCATCGTGAAAGACCCCCTGTCTGTGCTTGTGCGTCTTGGGTCCGGGGTTGTGCGTTTATGTGAAAGACCCCCCCCCCCACCCCACCCCCCACCCCCTGGCTCTTACGTACATTCCCGTAGGATGACTCTGCTGACAGGGTTTGCGAGTTTTTGAGTTTTTTGGGGGGGGGGGTAGGACACACACAGGCCGCACCTCTAGTGAGGCCCGCATAGTATGTGGGTGACTCGGCTGCCGCCGCCCCTGCCACCCCTGTGTCAGTGTGCCTGTGGTAGCGAGAGACTGCCAGCAAGAAGCTGGAGGCAGGTCGCTAGACTGAGATGAGACCGCCAGTGGAGTTGGGAGTCCACCGTGCACCGCGCTGCGAGCCTGTCGTGTCCCTTGTCAGGAGCAGGAGAGCCCCACCTGTCCCCCTGATCGTCCTTCCAAAATCCTGCTCGTGCAGGTGGGGACCCTGTCCTCCTCCCCTATCCCTCGTTTGGGTGGTCTGTTTTCTTTCTTTCTTTCTCTTGAAATGGGGGCGATATTACCCCCAATCTCGCCAATGTGGCAATGTGTAGCCGCGGGGGTCGTATGATTTGAGGGTTTTGACGGGGGACTAGCACTAGCCGCCTTCCACATAACCCATGATGTGGCGCAATTCACAACGCTCCTCCCTTTTCTATGGCTTATCCCTCACAAGTACCTCCTCGCGCCTCCTCCGAGCGCGGTGGTCGCCTCACCTCAATGGTGAGCACGTCACGGGTTGCTGGTCCGGCCGCCTCGTCGGCCTGCAGCACAGGCAGCGCCTCGTGCTTCACCTCTCGGTCGAGGAGGAAGAGGGCGTCAAAGGGCTCACGAAGCGTGTGGCTGGCCAGCAGTCGGTCGCTGCGGACGGACTCGGTCGTCGGCTTGCCGCTCGGCTGCTCTAGGCTCCAGACGCGGCTGCCGCCCGAAAAGTGCGCCGCATTGTGCCGCCGCATCAGCATAACGATGGTGAGCACCGCAGAGTCCTGGTGCACGCCCTCGGGAGACGGATCACCAAGCGCTGTCTCGCTGCGAGTCACGCGGAACGCAGAGAACATTGCATGGAACGAGCCGGTCGCGCCGGCTGCCATGAGCCGATGGACGAGGCGCTGCACGGCCAGCATGACGGTGTTACTATCGGCAGACAGTGGCCACTGCTGGTGCAGCCGGTAGTACGACGCGTTGTCGCCGTTGACTGTCGTCGGGTCGATGTGCTCGACCACATGGCCCGGGAACTCGGGTTCCGTCTCGGCAGTTGAACGCTGTGCGTCGTCGGACCTGCTCGTGTCCATGGCGTAGTAGCTGGTCAGGGTGCCTTTGTAAGGGTAGATCTCGATCCCGTGCTCGTCGCGCTGAGGTGTCGCCAGGTCCCAGTACCCAGCAAAGGGAGAACGGCCGGTCTCAGTTGCACCATGCTCCAGAAGCAGAGGCCAGAGCTCGGAGGCCGGGACGATCGCAAAGCGATCCTGCTGGAGCCGCGCGTGGAGCGATGCGACGGCGTTGTGATCGCTGACGGACGATAGAAGGAGTCCGCAGAAGCAGAGTGTATTGGACATATACAGACTACCCGGGTAGCAACGATACGCTCCCGCAGAGAGCAGCAGTCCTAATAAGAAATCAGATCCACTAGACTGTCCTCCAGAATCTAAAATCCCGGTGGGGTGGCGGCGTGCCGTCCTCCCTTGGTTTTTGTTTTCTTTCTTTCTAGAGTACAGAAATTCAAACAACATTTTGCACGACGACTCTGTTCTCTTCAGCACCTGAGCTGACAGTGACACCTCAACCGCTCGAGCTCAACCGCTCCCTACCAGAGCTACCTTCTACCTACCAATAAAACCCAACCCTGGCAGGACCAGTAGTGGGTGCACAAGCGCATGTGCCATGTGCTCCATATCATTTCCAGGAAGGAACATAACACATGTACATGTACATGTAGCACTGAGACTTCTCTTCTTGTACCGAGGCATTTGTTGAGAGAAAATGAAATTCTCGCTCGAGCGCTCCATCATGCGCCATGGTCCTCTCGGCCGGCGCGCCTGCCGCTCGCTCACTTTGCCTTTCCAAACGCGTGCATCGCGACGCCTGCATACTCGAGTGGCAGCGGCTCGCCGCCCTTTGGCGCGGGCGCCTCGCGCACGCCTGGCAAGAAGCTGCTCCCCGACCCAATCTTGATTACTCCCGTCCTCAGCGCGAGCATCGCCGCCGGCGCAGGCGCCGCCGCCATCGCCCGCAGCGTGTGCGTGTCACCGAAGAGCACCGTCGCGCCGCTGGTTGCGAGCACGTCGGCGGTAACGCTCGCGCGCTGGCTCGGGTCGCCGCAGCCGCGGATGCCGCCGACCGCCGGCAGGACGACCGCGGCGCCCGCTCCGAATGCGGCGGCGCAGGCCTGCACCCCGAAGGCGTGCATGAGCGTGACGGAGCAGCAGACACGGTCCGCGGCGCTGAGGCCAAGCGTCGAGGCGGCGTCCGCGCCGAGATCCGCTGCGGCTGCGTGAGAGAGCGGCGCGGTGCCGAAGACGCCGACGAGGCTCTCGGGCGTCGCCGCGGGAGCGCCGCCACGCGGCGGGCAGTGCTCGAGGAGCTCGGCAAAGGCGACGGCGCCACGCGTGGCGGGGCGCAGGCCCTCCTCGAGCTCCAGGTAGACGGTCGGTAAGGCCTTGGCCGGACCCGCTGTTGGCGCCATGCCGTCCACCGTGACGACGCCTCGCACGTCGTGCGCCGCGCATAGAGCCGCCATTGCCGCCTCGTCCTTTGGAGGCGTGGCGATCGCGGCCCCGACATGAGCGAGCGCGCACTGCAGGAGGAGATTCTCCGCCGTGTTTGGAAAGTCCGAGATGATGACGCTGCCAGCCGCGTACCCAAGGTCCTCGAGGCCGGTGGCGAGCTGCCGCGCCTTGAGGTCGAGTTGGCCATACTCCATCGAGATGCCCTGCTGCGGCGCGAGCAGCGCAAGTGCCGACGGTGGCGGCGCGCCGAGCGAGGCCAGAGAGGAGGCAGCGCGTGCGCGCCGTGCGCCGCGTGCTGCAGCGCGTCCGATAGGTTGGCCGAATCCCTGCATGAGAGAAGAACGCGCTCGCCAGCTGCGCTCGCTGGCACTTGGCGCTAGTATCGCCGGGCCAAATTTTAGAGTAAAATTGGGCCTGCGAGTACGGGAGGTCGGGCGAGGAGCGGCGGGTGCTTGCTAAGAGCTAGCTAGAAAGAGACCGATTCGTCGCACTTCTCTTGCTCCAAGCGCTTGCGCTTCGGCGGTTAGTGGTGCACTAACCTCCGAGAAACCCGTCGGTCGCTCCTTTCCTCTCTATCTACATCGCAAACCCTGTCAGCAGAGTCCTCCTACGGGAATGTACGTAAGAGCCACATACAACGAAGAACGGGAGCTAGATAGAGAGAACAAACAAACAAACAAACCCGGCCGAGTCCCTGCTGCTCAACCGCAGGTTCGCTCGACTGCGCGCTTGGCGCGTCCAGTCTTCAAAAAAAGAAAGAAGACACATCAGCCCGTGATCGGTCGTCTCGTGCATCCGGGCGAGCGGGCCGGCACCACGAGGGGCTGGCATCATGCTCACCTCTCCCTCACGCTCACCTCCCCCGTTGGGCTGCACGAAGTAGCGCTTCTCCCCCTCCGGACCATCAGGGGCATCGCGGGAGAGCGTGATGGCAAACGTCCGGCCCGGCTGGGCTTCAAATCGTGCAGCGAAGTCTGGCAGGACGTTTGACGGCGCGGAGGCAGCCATGGCTTCAACTGGCACCGGGAGCGTCTCCGTCAGACCTATGGTCGCCCCGTTGCTCGACCCATACTTTGCCCGTTTCGAATCGAGGATCTTGTTGTCGAAACGGATAGAGTTGCTGCCAAAGCCCTGGACACGCCCGCTCTGCAAGAAGGTTGGGCAGGCTGCGCGGAGCGATTCGAGCGCTAGAGCTTCCGCCGTCGATCGGTCGCGGAGAGCCCCGCCGTCGAAGCTGGCCGCAAACGTCTCGTGCAGGGTCATGCCGCGACGCGGCGTAACCGACCGAGGCGCGAAATGATAGTTCTTGAAAAGCGGCTGCTATTTCTTCACCGGGGAGAACCACGGCGACTGGCGCCGGCGGCGCAGATCTGCGTACACCCCGGTGCGAGTTAATGCGCATTTCTTCTCTGCACTATAGCCCTTGAGAAAAAGCTCGCATTATGCAAACCTGTGCCTGTGTCCTAGGAAGTAGACTGGGAGGGGTACTCCCATAGGAAGAGGAGGTCTGGAGAGGCCCACAGCGGTCAGGAGAGGCCCCAAGAGGGTGCTAGATGAGAGTCAGCAGAGCGCGCCGTCTCGGCGGCTATGGGCAAGTGGGCTGAGAGACAAGAGGGATTTTTCTCTCGGGCGGAAGTGGAAGCCCCGACTTCTAATAAATTGTGCCAGGCGTAGCCGGGGGCGGACAGCAGGACCTCTCCTTCCTGAGTCACCAGATCCAGAAAATCCCAACGATCCTTGAGCGGAGGCCGCCTCTTGCGCCTTGGCCACTTTTCCGGCCTCTCCGGAGAATCTGGGAGAATGGCTACCATAGCCTAGCATGGCACCCGCGGGCAAAGCTGCCCCCAGGTCCCTAGAGCCCATGGGCATTCCCAAAGGATATGTCAGCGTGAGGTGAGGGCGCAACGGTGGGGGCTCTCACCAGCCCCTCAAAGTCGGGCCTCTCGGGCGGCGGTCAGAGGGGCGGGCAAGCGCACGTGGGAGAAGGGTCAGTGCGGCACACGGTGTGAGCTACCCCCTCTCCTGGTGAGGTGTGACTCTATAGCCCCTGAGGCCCTCTGGGCTGGGCACCATCAGCTTGGGCAGAGGTCCTCGGGGTGAGGAGAGAGGGAGCTCCCCTTTTCAGGCCCCCCCAACCGCGCATTAACTCGCACCCCCGCGTAGGCGGGCGCGGAGTATTGCTTTTCTCCGGGCGACAAAGCATGCACTGGCCGATTCGGCTACGCGCGCTTGGGTTCCCGTCAGCGGATCAGTTTACCGCGACCGAACGCGAGCTATTTGCTCTCGCATCGTGGCTAGAGGACACGCACATTCGCCAGCTCCCACCAGAGGAACGAGGCGGACTGCGGCAGGGCTCCCACGTCGCGCTCGAGGCTTACACATCTGAGCTGGTCGCGCCCGGCTGGGTAGCGTCAGCTCTGCAGGGGCGCGACTACGCGGCCGTGTGCTCGTGGCTCGTGTGTCTCGCATTGCAGTACGCTCATGAGGAGCAGTGCGGCGCGAGCGAGGCTGGTGCTACAATCGATGAGAGCGACTCTCAGCTCGCTGGCCTCGCGGGAGCGCTCGGCGTCGAGGTTGCTGGCGGCGCCGCCGCAACGTTGCACCGCGCGGCTGACGCGGCGCGCGCGCGGCCGTCAGCGGCCACCGCCGAGCCGGCGCCAGAACGCGACACGGCTGGCCGTAGTGGCGCCCTGCGTGCCTTGCCTCTCGGGTTTACCACGGGCGATGCCTTGCTCGACGACGCCGCGCGCGTGCTGCGTCTTCTGTACGTGGCGGACCTGCAGCGGCTGCAGGAAGGCGCCACCCGCGTGGTGGAGCGGCTGCAGGAGTCGTCAGCCAACCCACGGACAGAGCAGCGCTTGGGTCGTGTCGGTCGGTAGAGACTAACGAGCCGTATAGACATGAGTGACATGTGAGACTGGAGAGCGTTGCGTCTCAAAACTTACGCTTGACGCTGTGCATGCGTGTGTGTAGCGTGCATAAAGCCTCTCTCGGTCTGGGCCTCGGCAGCGCACACTGAGCGCACACGCCAGTGGCCCACTGCCAGTGCGGGGCGCGCGGGCTCCGACGGGTCGTTCCAGGTAACCAATCATAGATTCCTCCCACCGGCTCATCTGCCGCTACACCAGCGGCTCCCACCCAGGGAACTCAGCGAGCGAGTCGGCGTCGCACGGCCGCGCGTCGAGCCACACCGGCTCCGGCTCGCCCTCCTTGCCTGCCTCGAACGGCACGGCGTCGCTGCACCGGCGCACGATCTGCTCGGGCCACGGAGAGCAGACCTCGCGCCGCACGAGGCCGTCCCAGTCGACGCCCTCGAAGAAGGGGTGCGACCGCACCTCGGCCGCGTCTCCGCCGCCGCCGCCGAGTCGCTTCGAGGGAGCCCCGACCAGGAGCTGGCTCACGAGGTCGCGCGTGCGGCCGGCGGCATGCGCCTCGATGCAGGGCGGGTACGCGATGACGCGAGGGCGGGCCATGATGCGCTGCACGACCGCGAAGTGCGACTCCGCCTCGAAAGGCGTGCAGCCGACAGCGACCTCGTACAGCAGGACGCCCAGCGCCCACCAGTCGACTGCGGCGGTGTAGCCCTTGCCGCGGAGAACCTGCGGGGTTTGGGCTAGGTGCACCTGGGGTTGGGGTCCGGCGTTCGGGTCCGGGCTGGGTGTAGCTTTGGAACACCTCTGGCGCGAGGTAGACGGGGGTGCCTAGGGGAGAATTCCAAGGAGGCTCCCAGACGGAGCTCCGCACACCGGGCCCCGGGCGCGGAGGTGGACAAGGTGCCGCACACGGTGAGGGTGGGGCCGTGCAGCTCCTTGGAGAGGCCTACGGGGAGGGGTCCGAGATGAGGGGAGATTGGCCGAGATTGGCCGAGATCGAGCTCCGTGAAGAGGCCTACGGGGAGGTCCGAGAGAGCTCACGGGCAGCTGCGAGAAGTGCCCCCGGAAGAGGTGCTTGGGAGATGCCAAAGTCACACAGCTTGACGTAGCCGCGCGTGTCGAGCATGAGGTTCTCCACCTGGAAGGAGAGATGGCCGAGATACAGCCGAGATGAAGCGAGGTGTGTAGCCGAGGTGTAGCCGAGGTGTAGCCGAGGTGTAGCCGAGGTGTAGCCGAGGTGTAGCCGAGGTGTAGCCCGCGTCGTAGCCGAGGTGTAGCCCGCGTCGAGCATCCGGTGCTCCACCTTGAGGTCGCGGAAGGCAATGCCTGCAGGGCCAGCCGCGGACACGTCACGGAGATGGCGCGGGAGACATCCTGCCGCCTCGAGAGGGAGGCGGAGCCGTGATCGTGCAGGAAGCCGACCCCGAGGCAGACGCACGCGCAGAGGAAGCGGCACGGCTCCGCGTCGAGGCAGCGCCTGCCGGCCAAGTCGTGCGCTTGATGGCCGCGTGTCGTGGACGTGTCGAGGACGTGTCGAGGACGTGTCGTGGACGCGTGGTGGACGTGTCTGGACGCGGCTCGGAGAGGGCGCGCCCGTGCGCGGCGAGGAGCGACTCGAGGTCGCTGGGCAGCAGCTCCAGCGCGAGGTAGAGGTGGGCGGCGCACTGGCGGAAGGCGAGGGCGCGGCAGGCGAAGGCGGCCGGCTGGTCGCGGCAGCAGGCGAGCACCTCGCGCTCGCTCGCCACCATGCGACAGCCGTCCTGCTGCGACCGCACCTCCGCCTTGCGCAGCACCTTGAGCGCGTGCGGCGAGGGCGAGGGCGAGAGATTAGGGCGAGGGAGTAGGGTGAGGGAGTAGGGTGAGGGAGTAGGGTGAGGGAGTAGGGCGAGGGAGTAGGGCGAGGGAGTAGGGCGAGGGAGTAGGGCGAGGGAGTAGGGCGAGGGAGTAGGGCGAGGGAGTAGGGCGAGGGAGTAGGGTGAGGGAGTAGGGCGAGGGTAAGGGCTCGGGGGGGGGGGGGGGGGAGCACCTTGATTGCGTAGCACTCGCCCGACGCCGCGTCGTGCACGCGCCACACCACGCCAAAGCTGCCGCTCCCCACCACGCCCTCGGGGGCCGCCTCTCTCCAGACGATCTCTTGCTCGCTCCTCGCCGGCGGTGGCCCCTCCCCGTCCGCCAGGTCCGCCGCAGACGAGTCCCCCGCCGTGGCGTCCATGTGCAGAGCGGCGGCTGGCTCGGTGAGCGGCGGAAGCAGCGAAGACATACTGATGCGGGGCCGCTGCGACGCGATGGAGAGGCGGCTGAACCTGCGCCCCGCACTCGTATCGGAGCCGAGGGCGGAGCGGAAGGAGGCGGTGTCGCTGGAGCTCTCGGCGAGAGCACGCCTAGCATCCGCCACATCGACGTCCACATGCCGCCACTCTGCACCGAACCTCGCCGCGAGATCGCCGGATGGAGAGAGCGGAGAGGCGCTGGAGAGTGCCGGAAGCCGAGCAGCCTGCGAGCAGAGGCTCGCCCGTGAGTGGTGCGTGACGGAAGTTATGCCGGCGGGAGGAAGGAGGTTCCGACGGTGGCGGCATACGACACGTCTCCGCCGAGCAGCGCCTCCTCTCCAACGTGATCGCCACGGACGAGCAGCCGCTGGCCAGCCTCGGCGCCATCGCCCGCGCCGCAAATCTCAAACGTGCCGCTGGCCACAACGTACAGGTGCAAGGCAGGCTCGCCTCGCTGGAAGACCATGGAGCCGGCCTGAACCTCGAGCGGTGCCGCCGAGGCGGCGAGCGCCGCAACCACCGACTCATCGAGGACAGTCTCGCACGCCGATGACTGCAGCAGCGAAGTAGCAGACACGAGTGCGGCAGCCACGGACGAGCGATCGGTGGGCATGTCTGTAGGCATGTCTGTGGGAATCACCAGCTCGAGTGGCGCCTCCATGATCCGCTCGGTGGTGCTGGCTCGACGTTTTAGCCGCTGCCTGAGGCTTCTGCGCCTGGCCTTCAGCTTCGAGGCGAACGTGACAGCTGACAGTGCAGCACCCATGCTGCAGTCGTCGTCTGCAATCATTGTGTTGGGGTCTCGTCGCGTGAGCTCGTGGGGTCTCCTCGGTGTTCGCGCCGAAAACTAGGTATCGTCAACGCGAAAAGAATTTAAACAACACAACTCTCTCTCACAGCACACAGGCTCGACACAGGTGCGAACTGGCGCGTGCTAGTACTATCACCGGCACACAGCGAAAAGAATTTAAACGGGGAATTCTGCGAAAAGAATTTAATAAACACGCCCTAACTCACAGCAGACAGGCTCGACACAGGTGCGGACTGGCGCGTGCTAGCACTATCACAGGCAAACATACGCGAAAATAATTAGAGGGCACGGCGACTCAAAAGACACAGCCGCATTCCTGAGACGCGCGAGGGCAGCCTCCTTGAAGGCAATGGCCAATGGGGGCTAGATTTGGAGCGCTCACCGAAGAGGAGTACGACAAAATAGCGCCCGTGATTGCCTGCCTGCACGCTGCCCGCACTCACAGACTCCATACCCGAAAGAAAGAGAGCTGAGAGGGGAGCTCGCAGGAGAGGTGACGAGTGAACTACAGGTAGTGGGGAAGGCAGCTTCGATTGCCATACAGACATGGGTGCGAAACAACGACAAGACCAAGGCACGGGCAGAGGAGCGAGAGAAGAACATAGGATGGATATTAGGGCGCCTGTTCACGGCATGGAGGGTGAGCCACGATGAACGGAATGAGCGTAGAGCCGAACGAGAGGAAGCGGGGGAAGAGGACTCCGAGGAGGACGAAACACCAGTGGAAATCCCGTCGTCAGCTGTCACGATATACCCGAAGGGAACCCCAGTGCCAACACCGACCGTTGAGGTACAAGCGCTCGAAACGAGAGTGGACCTGAGCAACGACATGACTTGGCGGCAAATGATCGGAGTGGGAGTCAGAAATGTGGTCCTTGCGCGAGGAGAGTTCGATAAACTAGACTGAGGGAGGGTGTAGAGGATGTAGAGTGTAGAGCGCTGTAGAGCTGTAGAGCTGTAGAGCGCTCTGGAGCGCTGTAGAGCTGTAGAGCTCTACATCCGGCGCGGGACGAACTGCGTCCGTTGTAGAGCGCTGTAGAGCGCGATTTTGCTGTAGAGTTTGTGCAGAGGCTGGGACCGCTCGGCGAGGGCGATGGGGACGACGGAGATGGGCTGGGGGACGGGCTAGGGGAGGGAGACGGCGAGAGCGACGGGCTCGGGGATGGGCTCGGTCCATCTCCACCGCACAGGACCGTGCCACCTGGGCACATGCCGCCAATAAAGTCGTAGCACACTTTATTTGCCGGGTTCTGGCACAGAGTGCCCGGCGAGCCCGGGTAGCAGTCAGAGCACACCCCTCGCGAGGTGTTTTTGAGGGGCATTGCAGTGACCTGTTGGAGCACCGCCTTGACGGCATCGCCCGCCTCCTCGACGGCGGCCACAACCGACTCGTCGACATCGTCGCAGCTGCTGAAGTAACCAAAGAAGCTGCAGACGTCAATGCTGTTCATCCACACGAGGCGGATCGAAGTGGGCCTAGGCAGGACGGCAACGGAGAAGAGCGTGCCGGCTAGGAGCGAAACGACGAGTGTGGCTCCTCGGCACGCCCGCCGAGGCGCCTGGCTCGCCTCTCTCGTAAGCATGCTGCCGACCCGGAGCGGGAACGAGCGAGCGACCGACGGAGGACGGCCCGATTGTAACGTTTGCATCAATTGCGATGATAGCAGACGCCGGTTTTTCTCAGTGTACTTTAGGCCGGTTTTTCTCAGTGTACTTTACCTTAATGGGAGAAAAGGGAGAATCGGGGTGTGACTCTAGGCCCCTAAAGGCCCTAGACGCGCGGGCGTGAGAGCTCCGGAAGCGAGGTTTGCACGGCTCTCTCTCTCTCTCTCTCTCTCTCTCTCTCTCTCTCTCTCTCTCTCTCTCTCTCTCTACGTCTCTCACTCAGTACAGATAGGTTGCTCTTACGTACATTCCGGAAGGAGGAAGACTGCTGACAGGGTTTGGAGACACGCAGATTTTCTTCTTCTTGGGTTGGGCGGTTTTTGAGGAGGAGCGACTCCGAAGCGGGGGATTTTTTTGCGCTTAAAATTCTTTTTTCGGACAAATATAATGCGCGCACCCTCGTCTCGAGGCGACGTTCTGCGCTGCGGACATATATGGGCCCTTCTGGACCCTCCTCCCCTATCCCTACCGGTATGTCGCGGAGGGATTCTTTTGACAAACACATGTTATTCCTCGTTGCGGCCGGCCTGGCGCCGCCGCGGCTGGTGGCGCCGCCGCGGCTGGTGGCGCCGCCGCGGCTGGTGGCGCCGCGCCGCGCCTATGCGCCGCGCATGACCGCGACCGACGTCTCGGAGGCCGCGGCCTCGGCCGCGATTCCAGCGAGCACCAACGTCTTTTGCAACCGGGCGCTCAACCTCGGCGGTGCGATTCACCAGAGACACGTGTATGCCATCCTCCGCGGGCCCCTCCTGCCTCACTGCCGCGGCGCGGCTGCTGCGCCTCAGGCATTCAGGCGGTGGGCTTCGACATGGACTACACCCTCGCCGAGTATGTTCCCGAGACGTTCGACCTCCTCGCGTACGACGGCGCGATCGAGAAGCTCGTCAACACGATGGGCTACCCGGCTGCGGTGCTTGATCTCGTGTACGACCCGCACGCGTACATGCGCGGGCTCGTCATCGACAAGAAGCGAGGCAACCTCCTCAAGCTCGACCGGCACAAGTACGTCAAGGCTGGCCGCCAGCCTCGCCTCGCCTCCTCCCTCCCGCTCGGGACACTCGAGCCCGCGCGCTCGTGCAGGTTGCGTACCACGGCCTGAAGCGCATGACCCCGGAGGAGCGCAAGGCCATCTACGCCACCTCCTTCGAGACGGCGCCCGCCTTCACGCCGCCCGACTTCTCCACCATCGACACCGCCTTCCTCCTCGTCGACGCGTGCCTGTGCGCTGCCGGCCGGAGGGAGGGAGGGAGGGAGGGGAGGGACTGCTCACCGCGCGCCTCGTCCCGCCGTAGCTTCTGCCAGCTGGTCAGCTACAAGGACGACCACCCCGACGAGGTCAGGCCCGGTAGCGAGCGAGTCGGCCGAGAGGAGCCGGCGGCACAGAGGAGCCGGCCGCCGGCAGAGAAGGGCGAGAGGGGAGAAAGAGGGAGAGAGTGTAGAGGCGCCGCAAGAGGCTCGTCACGCGCGGTGCCGCCCGCCGAGCAGGTGACCAAGTCGTACGAGCAGATCTACCGCGACGTGCGGCGAGCAGTCGACCTCTGCCACTGCGATGGCGAGACGCAGCCGAGATGCAGCCGAGATATAGCCGAGGCCGAGCTAGAGTCGGCCGCTGCACGGCGTCACCAAGGGCGCGCGCTCGCCATCCTCTCGCTTCGACGTCCGTTGACGTTTGGGTCGTGTGGAGTGAAGGCGTCATCAAGGACGCAGTCGCCGTCAACCCGGCTAAGTACATCCGGTCGGACCCAGCCCTCGCGACGATGCTGACCGCGCTCAAGCAGGGCGGCAAGCAGGCGGGCCGCGCCGAGTCGCGCCGGCCTTGCACGCGGCCTGCCCCCCGCGCCACCGCCCGGCCAGCCACCGCCTCTGTTCTCTTCCCTTCTCTTCTCCTCTCCTCTCTTCTCTTCGCCAGCCACCGCGTCTGTTCTCTTCCCTTCCCTTCTCCTCTCTTCTCTTCTCTTCGCCAGCCACCGCGTCTGTTCTCTTCCCTCCAGGCGCTCTTCGACTCGCGTGCCGCAGGGACCTGCTCGGCAGCCGGTCGGCAGCTGGTCTGCGCCTGTGAGTAGGTCTTCATCGTCACGAACTCCCTCTACGACTACACGGACGTCGTGCTCCGCCACTTGCTCGGCGCCGTTGGCTCTCGATTGCCTCGACCTCCTCGGTGCGTTTGCCGATCAGCGTCTCTGGTCCACTAGGAGCCAGCTGGCTCGACTACTTCGACCTCGTCGTCTGCGGCGCGCGCAAGCCCGGCTTCCTCCTCGACCCGTACCTGCCCATCTTCCAGGCGCGCGACACCCCCCCCCCGACATCACCAGAGATGCACCGGGATGGACCGAGCTTCAAGACTTGTACAACAGCCCCTCGCCTCCCTCTTCCGACCCCGCGCCTCCCCCTCCGCCGCCCTGCCAGGTGCGGCAGGACGGCTCGCTCGAGAACGCGGAGATCATCAGCCCGCAGGACGGCGCGCGGCTGTTGCAGCGCTCGCGCGTCTTCCAGGGCGGAAACTGGCAGCACCTGCATGCGCTGCTCCAGCTCGCGTCCGGCTCGGGGCTGCTGTACGTCGGCGGCCGCAAACCGCGCGGGTCTCGGCTCGTTTGCCCGCCTCCCCCCGCACCTCCTCTCCCCCCCCCTAGGCGACCACATGTACTCTGACATTCTCCGCTCCAAGCGGACGCTCGGATGGCGGACCCTGCTCATCGTGCCCGAGCTGCATTATACTAATTATAATTATTACATATTCTTGTTTAAGGCGGACCCTGCTCATCGTGCCCGAGCTGCGCGACGAGCTCCTCACGGCCGAGGACCAGCCGCACCCCGGGAGGCGGCCGATCTCGGTTCGATCTCGGCTCGATCTCGGCTCGGTCTCGCTACAGGAGACGCGCCACCTCGCCGCTGCCGTCGACGAGGCGTACGCCGAGCGGGCGGCTGTCGAGGCTCTAGCCTCGGGCGGCTCGAGGATGCGGCCTTCGTCTCGCTCAGCGGGGTGGTGGGTGGAGGGGTAGGCGCGGCTGCAGCACCTCGAGATCCGGCGCTCGCAGCTCGAGATCGACTCGGAGGTGGAGGCGCTGCTCGAGGGCGACGGGGGGGCGGCCAAGGCGGAGGCGCTCTCCGAAGAGGAGCGCGCGGAGCTGCTCGAGCGGCTGGGCCCCCCTCCCGTCCGCCTGAGCGCGGCCTCGTCTGTTGCAGGCGCTGGCCGAGCTGGACGAGCGGATAGCGGAGGCGCGCGACCAGCAGCGCGTGCTCTCCTCGGCACTGAACGAGGCTCTCTGCCGGCAGCACGAGGCCTACCACCCCGCTTGGGGGCGCCTGTTCAAGACGGGCGCCCAAAACTCGCGCTGGGCGCAGCAGGTGCAGGAGTACGCGTGTCTGTACACCTCGCACGTCACCAACCTCGTCCAGTTTGCGCCGGACACGTCTTTCCGCGCGCTCTCCGACCTGATGCCGCACGACCGCGCCCCGCCGGCTTGAGCTTGGGCGAGAGCGCGGCTGTGACGCCTCTCTCGCTCGAGCGGACGACGACGTGTGTGAATTGTCGCACACAATTGTATACAGATGAAAGAAAGACACAACCCATCAAGAGACAAGACCACAGAGGCACAACACAAATTGATTTTGTACGTACACTAGGCAGGGTCGACAGCACTGTCGTGCCAGTTAGCAGTTTCAGCAGACGTACAGAAAAAACAAAGTGAAAGTGACCTGTTGTCACACTCACAAAAGGGTTGTTGCACGAGTATATGGGACACGATGTCTCAAATATGAGGGGCTTTGACTCCTACCAGCTCCTGACGCTATCCCTGGCAGCTCTAATGACCAGGATCAGTAGTGCTATAATAGAGGGTGCCCATACTAGCGCAGGAGCTGCCACACTCGCCCGGACCGTCCCCTTCTGGGGCCGGTTCCGCAGCCCGCGAGAGCCGACAGCGGGGCCGTGCCGCGGGTGCCTACTGCCGAGTGCCACAAACACTGCGCCGTCCCGCCATCACCTACAGGCTGTCTTGTGTGATGGTTGGGATGTCCAAACGCCACCATCTTGGCTCTTGCGACCTCAAACCCGCGAGCTGTATGGGTGGTCCTGACGTCGACAGACGCCCGAGGACCACGGTGAAGCTGAGCTGGAACGAGTCGACAAGTCTCGTCTGAGCCCGTGGCGGTCGCCGGCTGAGTCGCTGTGCACGGACCGGTACCTCAGGCGTCACCTCCGCAGCCTCAGGTCTCACACTCCATCACCTCCGCCGGGACGCCGTCGGTGGCACGCTCGGCGGCGAGTTTGTGGCAGCTCCACAGCGAGCGCGGCATCGAGCCTATTCGGTCTGGTCGGTTAGGCGCACTCCCTGGGTGCCAGGGAGTGCGCCGAACGCGCGAGCGGTGCGTCCTGGCAGCCCGCGCTGGCTCCGGACATTTTCGACGCTTTTGTCCCACCGCTACAATATACTCGTTTATTCACGAGGCGACCCCAGGGAACCGTCTAGGTTTCCTAGTGGCGTGCTGTGAACAAACAGCGAAGAAGACGCCTGCTTTTGTCCCATATACTCGTGCAACAACCCAAAAAGTGTCCCAACTGGGGTGACGAGAAAAGACACAACTCACAAGCTGCGCGCCAAAAGCAAAAACAAGGCCCGAAAATTTGCTCGTGTCTAGGAAAAAGAAAGCGCAGACGCTAATCCCAGATGCTCACCCATACACTATTACACACATACCTGACCGCCGCTTCGCGCCCTCCGTGTGTAGGTGCGCAGCCGCAGGGGGCGGCTGCGAGCGGGAGGGCGAAGGTGCCACCCCTCCCCCGCACCCTCGCCTGTGCCCCTGCATCCGCCTTGCCTGCCCTCGTGACGCGTTATCTCCCACCACGGGTTCATGCAACCTCTCGCGTCCGCGAACAGTCCGCGCGCAGGCGCGCCTGACTTCATTGCGTTTTACGACACTTGGCGAATCCACACAGGCCGAAGGTGATGGGTTCGCGTGTCTGGAGGTCTGAAGCCCACCCATTGAGGAAGTGGGGCACTGCTCCGCCCACCCTGATCATGCTGAACAAGCTCCTCTTGTAGCTCGATCGGTCACACCGCCATCGCCGTCGGGGAGAGGGGGGACGACACTGCTTCGGCAGCGTGCACCTCGATCCTGTACCGTGTTTGTTATGACCCCACCCAATGAACACTCCAGTGAGGGAGGGCGAGACGATCGAGGGGTCCCGTACCATGCGGAATCGACCCTATCCAGTGCTCAAGTGCTCACACTTGGCTCAGCTTCAGGCCCGCAACCCCCCGCGATCCCCTGCGATCTCCTAGGGGGTGCGTACCGCCGGTCGGGGGCACGATCCGCCAGCAGCACCGAGCAGCTTGGCAGTCAGCCATCCTGCAGCCTCCAGTTGCGCACCGCCCTGCGCGCCTGGCGGGGCGCGTGCTACTGGCAGCACGGAGCCTGGCTGTGAAGTGTGATCTGTCTGCACCTGCTGTGTACCGCCCTTCATTCTCCCGAGAGATACCAGACCCGGCCCCTCCCTCTCCCCCAGGCACGGGGCAGCAGCCTAACGCCCCCCCCCCCCCCCCCCCTCTTTAGGAGCCTGAGAGCGGCAAGATCTGCAAGACCCGTACTGGCCTGCAAGGCGTCTGTGGGATGGATGGTGTCCTCTTCACACCAGATCATCAGCACACAAACATCCTGCTGGCTCTCACCTCTCGGAAATAGCCAGCCCTGTCTGAGACGTGAGAGTCAGAGAGCCAAATCAAAGAAGAAAGAGAGCTTCTAAAAATCTCTTCAAGAAGAAATCGAGAAAAAATCTTTGAAGGTCGTGTCCCTTGTCAGGAGCAGGAGAGCCCCACCTGTGCCCCTGATCGTCCTTCCAAAATCCTGCAGGTGGGGACCCTGTCCTTCACGATGGAGCAATTGGAGCACGAGGTTTTCTTCTTTCCGCTGCTTATTTCCGCCTGGCTCTCGCCGGCAACGCTCTCAATGCAGCGACGCGTCCTCCTGCTATTCCCGGTGCTAGCCACGGTCGGCGCCTTCGCGCCGTCTCCGCACCGCTTGCGCGTTGCGCCAGCCCGTCCCGCCGTCTGCCGGTGTGCGCCAATCGTGGCGAGCGCGTCGGCCTCGGCTGAGGTGGCAGCGAGGACAGTGGTGGTGACCGACATGGACGAGACGCTGATATCGAAGAAGAGCACGGGGTATGTGATCTCCTTCCTCGTCAGGCTGCGCTCCATCCGCCTGCTCCTCGTGCCGCTCGTCGCCGCAGTGCTGATTCCCGTCTCCAAGCTGTCGCGCACCTTTGCGGTGCGTGTCATGTATTGGTTCGCCTTCCGCGGCGTGCGTGTGGAGCGCGCCAAGGCGATCGCCGCCGAGTTCCTCGCGCCGCGCTACGCCGCCGACTTGCAGGACCCGGTCGCCTCGGCCGTCCTCGCGGCGGACGACGCGATCGTCATCACCGCCTCGCCCGACTTCATGGCGCGCCCGTGGCTCGAGCGGTACCTGCGCGTGCCGCCGTCGCAGGTGTACGGCGCCGTGCTCGAGGAGCGCGCGGGCCGCTTCACCGGCAAGACCACCCAGATCCCCATCGGCGAGGAGAAGGCGACGCTGCTCGCCTCGGACCCGCTCGCCACCTCGGCAGGCGTCTCGACGGTGGGGTACGGCGACCACCCGACGGACGTGCCCTTCATGAAGGCGTGCGACCGCGCCGTCCTCGTCCACCCGATGGAGCCTATGCCGCCCGGCGTCGAGTACGAGCCGGCGCAGCCCTTCGACTCGGCCGCGCTAGGCTAGCGAGGCCGGCCAGATAGAGGAGGTGCCGGCGACCCGGCGTCTCTGGAGTCGCCAATGTTCCTCGAGATGTTCCTGCTGCATGTGCGTGTGCCTTTTGGCGTAGGGAAGGCGGTCGAGGGGAATTGTTGAGGGAGGGGAAAACCATACTCCATCGAGGCTGCACGGTGCACGCGAGATAGACGAGGATATCGAAGACGAAACACGAGATAGCTCGACGTTTAAATCGTTATCGTCGTCTGAAGCTCTGAACACGCATTTCCATTATGACACGACCTCTCGACGCGCGCGGGGGCTACACCAGAATCCACCGGCGGCGTTGCGGCCGTTGCACCACAATCCACATGTGCGCCGCTCTCTCACTCGGTTCATTCACGGCCGTTATCCACCGCGTATTACAGACCTCCACACGCCCGTTCTCCACGAAGGGCATCGAAGGGCACTCTCAAAGCTCAGGCAGACAACCCGAGGCGGTAAACACTCAGGCTCACGGCCCGGTCGCGCGCACTCTGCGAAGCGCGGCCTGTCTCGCCTTCTTGATCGCCCTCTCGTCGAAGATGTAACACGGGAGGGGAGAGCGGCAGGCGCCGGCGCAGCCGCAGCTGCCAACGTAGTTGTCGTGATAACAGCCAATGCCGTCCGCGGCACACGGGCACGTGTCGGGTGAACAGCCGTCTGCCGCTCATTGCAGAACGAGCCTAACGAGGCCACACTTGGAGCACTTGGAGTGCAGTCAGCAGCCTCACATCCAGGGCCGGGGAGCTCAGAAGCGCACCCAGCGGGCCGGATGATCGGGCCACAATTCTTTGGGCGCGAATTCCGGGCCGGCGTCATGGTCGAGGCCTTTCACGATGGGCTCCACCTTCATCTGTCGCACGCTGCGGAAACTGGTTACCTCAACATAATATTCGCGCCCAGAGAAAACAGCTTTGTTATCGTTGATCCGGATCGTAGACACCGCAAATGCGTCCGACACCCTCATCGTCGACGAAGATCCGGATCGTAGACGAGGAAAAGCCGGTTCGGCGAAGCGCGGGCTGGTGGCGAGATGCCGTCTGAGCTGTCGACGCGTCGGCCAAAGAGGCGGTCGGTGCTGGCAGGCCCAACCGGGCCAGTGATAGCCGCCGCTTGCGCGGCTGGAGCGTGGCCATGTAAAATGGAGGAACGCGCGCCGCCCGCGAAGCGAAAAAAGACGAAAGCCGCGGGCACCTACCTATTGCGGTGGCATGAAGGTTGCAGCGAGAAGCGGCGAGAGACTGCGAAGAGAGATAGGAAGAGGCAGACTCCCTAGGGTGGGCGACGGCTAGCGCACCACAGCGAAGCCCGCGCCGCGCGCGGCACCCCCACCGACTCTGCCTCCGACCCCAGGGCCTAGGCGGCCCGCCATGAAATCTAGCCGTGTGTGCTGGCGTCCGGGTCCCAGCGGGTTTTCACGTAACAAGTACACACCTCTCCTTAAAATCCCTGTGTGGTGGCGGCGTGCCGTCCTCCCATCCCTCCCTTGGGTTGTCTGTTTTCTTTCTTTCTTTCTTTATCCCCACAGGGGCTAGCTACCTATCTACCGCAAGGTGCCGAACTTAAGGTAAGGTAGCTTGAGTTAGGTTAGGTGCTTTGCACTGAGTTAGGCACGGGGTAGCAGCAGTTAGGTCCCTGGGATTTCTTTTTTGGTCCGACGGCCGGCGCCGACTCGGGTGCGGCGAGTGAGGAGGAGGAGGAGGAGGAGGGGGAGGAGGAAGAGGAGGAGGAGGAGAAGGAGTAGGGAATCTAGTAGCGTAGGCACTCGTACTTGAGCGTAGGTGTTCGTAGCGTAGGAGGGAGATGCCTCAGTGGTGCGGGCCGCGGGGCCCGTATGTGCCGGTCCGGCTGGACCCGGAGAGGTGGGTAGCAGGAGTTAGGCACATTAGAACAGGAGTTCGGCAAGAGGAAAAGGGCTCCCTAACTCAAGCTACCTTACCTTAAGTTCGGCACCTTACGGTACCTATCCCGGGGGGGGGGGCGCGCCCGCGAAGCGAAAAAAGACGAAAGCCGCGGGTACCTACCTATTGCGGGGCCCTCTGCTGGCTCTGGGGCGGTCAAAACCGGACCTACCTACCTATTGCATAGGTCTAAACAGACTGGCCGGGAAAGAAAATTTTCCGGCACGCGAGCGTTTTTCTTCCTGTCCGAAACGAGGGACGATCGTCGCGGCGACGGCGAGGACGAGTGCGAGCGACGAGTCGCAGTCACATCGATCCGACGATGGCAAATGACGGTGGCATCGTCCTTGCGCTCTTGCTACTCATCGCGGCTCTCTGCGCCGTGTTCTACAGCTCAATAGCCCTGTACGCGAGCGCGCCGACAAAAGAGCCTGCGTCGTTCCCTGCTCGTCTCGCCCGGCTGTTGTCGGGATGGGCGAACGTGGGAAACGCTGTGACCCATGGGTTGCTCATCGTCGTGCTCTTGACCGACAAAGGTCGCTACGGTGCTTATTTTCCCGACGAGGTGAACTCCTACGCCGCTGGCCCAGTCTGCTTGGGGCTGATCAACGGGCTGATCGGCTTCTTTTCCCTCCGGGGCGGCAGCCTCAAAGTAAGCCTGGGATGGAACACATTTGTAGCTCTAGCAGGCTCGCTCGTACCCATGGTCTGGCCAAAGTTCATTGACGTCGGGATGACAACCTGGCCTTACGTCACCGTGTTTCTGTGGTTTGCGATCTACGCCTTTGAGAGCACGGCCTTCTTCTTTTCGGCGGCCGGGGTCGCGCTCAAGGACGCGCCGGGTGCAAAGGCAAAATAGCGGCAAGCAGCGCACACGTGGAGGATCCACAGTGTCGAGATTGAGAATCTCACTGTTGATTGATCCCAACTTGTGCCTCAATGTTGTGCGCTTGAAGAGGCCCGCTTGTGGCGGGGCGCCAGGGCTGTGCCTGTGGGGAAGCGGTGGTGCGTGCGTAAAGTGTGCGTGTGGGTGTGAGTGTGGGTGTGGGTGGTGTGGAGTGTGTGCGCACAGCTTGCTTTCTTTTCTTAGAAGGTTATGGAGAGCGGGAAATGCCTGAGCGCTGGTAGCGTGTGGTTTCACCTCACACCCATGGTCTCACAGTGTGCCGGCTGTCGCCGAGCGCAGTGTCGCTCACACAAGCCGCAGCACAAGTGACTGAGGGTCAGTGAGGGCGAGCCCATCGCTGTCACAGCTGTGGCAGCCGCACAGTAGGCTGCCATCTGTGCAGAGTGTGTGAGCGGAGCAGAGGAGCTGCTCTCCAGGCTTCAGTCGCAAAGAGGTGCATGCCACCGAAGGCGCTGTCGAGGTTCGCCGAGTGGCGAGTGCGGCGCAGGTTGAGGGACACCGTCACCGACGAGCGCGTTGTAGTATTCCGGATAAAGACGGCCACACGCACACGAGCTGCGGTCGTGTGGCCGTCATACATAGAGCGCAAGAGCGGCGAGGCGCGGGCGGGACCGTCTGTGGCGAAGCGGGTCGCGTCCCTCGATTTCCGTCAAGCCACGGTCCACACGCACACCCTTATGGGCTTGGGGGGCCGCTCCGAACGCCCTCATACCATACCACTCCCCAGGAGAATCAAATAAGTGGTAAATACCACTCATTTACCAGAGCGATTCTATCAGTAACCAGCCTCCGGCGGGGCCCCCCGCTACCATCCAAACCCGAGTACCGGTCTACTATCATAGGTAGAGGCTCAAGTGTGACATATAAGTCTCCACACCCACACACATGCACAAAGCAACTCTCACGGCACACGGGCACCGGGTGGAGCGGTGGCGGCGGCGGCAGCAGCACGCGCGGGCGGACGGATTCGGACGGGGCGGAGCAGCGACTGCCTGGGCGGCCGCTGCTCTGTCTGCCAGAGCGCGCCGTCTGCCTGCGCAGCTCGAGCGCGGTCAGGTGCGAGGACGCGTGGCGGCGCGGGGAAACGCGGCGGCGGTGGCGGCGGCGGCGGCGGCGGCAGCGGCACGCGCGGGCGGACGGATTCGGACGGGGCGGAGCAGCGACCGCCTGGGCGGCCGCTGCTCTGTCTGCCAGAGCGCGCCGTCTGTGCGCAGCTCGAGCGCGGTCAGGTGCACAGGGAAGCGTGGCGGCGCGGGGACGCGCGGCGGCGGTGGCGAGCAGGCGAGCGGCCCGCGCGCGGCGAGGCGGACAGGTGATCGGCAGGCGGGTGATGGGCCGGAGAGTGACCGCGCCCAGCGATCGGAGCGAGCCGATCGTCGCTCGGCCGCAGCTGACCTCGAAGGCGTGCGGAGCGCGACTGTCGGTGTCGGAGGGCGGCCGTCATGTGGCGAGGAGGGAGGACGACAAGTGCGCGTCGTACGGGTCGCTCTTCATCGGCCAGTCGAGCGGACGGTAGCGTCGGTCAAAGCAAAGAGGGCCGGTGAGGCCGGCGAGATTCGTTGCGAGATACGGTTCGCGCCCAAAGAAGTTTGGACGCTCGGGGGACGCGCCGCAAAATCAAGCCCATGGAAAGGGGGCTACTGGGGCGGCCAATTCACACCTCGCGGGACTACTTATGTTTTCGTAAACGTAGTTGTGGCCCCCCGCTACGTCGCACGAGTGCAACCGGGTAGCGGGGGGCTAAAATCAGGTGTGGCACTGGGCGAACATCGGCCGTCCCTCAGTGCTTCCAGCCTGCCCGCTTCAGTTTCCTCCATTGGCTCGAATTTTGTAGAAAAAAGAATTTAAACAAGACAACTCTCTCTCACAGCACACAGGCTCGACACAGGTGCGAACTGGCGCGTGCTAGAAAAAAGAATAGCGCCGCTGGCGGGCCGCCGGAGCCGGCATTTCGAAGCACCGAGCGGGCAGCTCGAAGCACGCGGGCGCAGGCTGCCACCGCTGCCCGGGCGCCCCGAGCGGCGGCGGAGGGCCGCCCAGGCCACCACCAGTGCCCCTCCCACCGGCGGCGCGGCGGCAGCGGCGCCGACCGCCCCTCCATCAGCGGTGGCGCGACGGGTGTCGTCGGGGCGCCGGCAGGTGCCGCGCGCAGAGGGTGCCACCGGACCGTCCGACGCGCG